GCAGGCTGTCATACGGAATTAGTTTACCCACATAGATATGGGGTTCTCTTGGTAACACACAAAAAACCGAGGAAGGTTTGAATACTGTTTAGTGTATAGTTGTAAGTCTGCCCAAACAAACAATATATCGTTGATTTCCCAAGAGATAACTGATCGATTCAATCTATAGTTTATGGTAAATGGGTATTTTCTAGTCGGAAAACGGAAGCCTCGTACTTGTTTCTGTTTGCACCATATATTATTCTATATTTTCCACTTATTTATGATGTTGTTTGTTTATTCCCATCGCACGACTGATGACGATGATGATGAACTGTCGCTGCCACCGAGGCGTTCACCTGAACCGGTTCAGGGACGCTCCTTATCCCTGCGGTGCTATGGACCCCGCTCCGAGCCACTCGCATCCCATTCTGTTTTGTATTCAGGGACAACAACTTTCAAGTTCAGGTGGAACATTTGGCAGCCGAAGGAACTGGGCCAAGGTCGACTGTTACCGGCAGCCAGAACGAGAAATGGTGCGAGAATAAATGGAGGAGGTGGAGAAGAAGCCATTAAGCAGAGAGCGGGGAAACCTTCGCAGCATCTTACATTTTCATTGGGAAGACCGCAGTCCCGATTGAAGGTCGACCTCGACCCCACCTCTTTGTATACACGCTGCTTACAGCAGGCCTCTCCACCGGCCTTGATCCAAAGATTTGTAAACGCTGGTTCTCTCCCTCCCCCACGTCCCCCGGCGTTCCGTTCCGTTCTGTTCCGTTTTTCAGCTTTCGGCTTTGGAGCAACGCGTCAGTAGGCACGTAGGCAGAGACGTCGACCGCGGCAGAGAGAACGCATCACATGTGAGGGGATTAGGGCACATGATGGGGGGGTGGAGGCGAAAAGATCAGAACTAGCTACAGGGAAGCCTCCAAAAACTACCAGACAAATGCTGACAAGGCAAACAGTTTGCCTAAGAGAAGCTCCATATCTACTTCTCTTAGCAATAAACAAAATAGTCATCTTAGTAGTAGCTGCGATTCTACGCCAACTCATTTTATTAGCGCAGATACTCTGCCTAAACAAACCTAACAACCAACTATCTAGAACTTGATAAAAGTATGGGATTATTTATTAAAAGAGTTATCTTAACTTTTAAGTAATCTTTAAAGTCTCGAGGTTAAATCCTTTTATATTTGTCTAGAATATTCAAATACCAAATCCACTTAAAACAAATATTTCTGATGCTTAAGTTATTTTTATGGGCTATAGGCGAAGAAAGTCGAGGATTGTTCATTAAAATGAAAGTCTTAATTTAGACATGTGTCTGAAGTTAGTCATGTGAGTCTTTATAACTAAGATAAATATTTTGGCATATTGCATATTTATTATTATCCGCAACTTCAAAAAGAACGGCGGATGTTCGCCAAGATGATCAGCATTGTAGACAAATAAAAAAAAGTTTCAAATCGTGGTGAAATATATAGGAATGACAAATAAAAATTGTTCTTTTGATAACAAATCGCAACATAATCTTCAATATAGTTTCATTGGGATGTTGTACTATTTTTTATTGTTACTTACAAAACTGAAACGGCCATGGTTGTAAATCAAAGATTTTTTCCAGTCAAAATTTAATCTCAAGTTTCCCATTTTATCGTTCGGCCAGTTCCAAAGAAACCAGTTTGACCCATTTCAATCTCTTCAATTGTGGAAAATCTTCTTGTTTGTAAACATGTTTACAACTATGCTAAATGGAAATTTCTGTTTAATTCGTATTTCATCAAAGATGGGTAAACAAAATGAAGCCAAGAAGATATAAAGTCTTCAGTTGAAGTCGCGAGTTAGGCTCATGACGTCATGGAGAGTTTTGCCGATCTTGGCGCTTCTTTGTGGGGAATATAGAGGTTGAAATAAATCGGACGATAGGGGGGTTTTACCCACGCCCGGTGCCAAGAAAAGCCAGCAAACAGAAACATTGGGGGCAAACTGTTTGCGAAAGTGAACTTGAATCGGGCAACGGGAAGTGGCTGAATGGGAAATGGGGAAAATAGGAAAATGGGCGTCTCATTTGACGCTTTTGACGTTGTTGCCGTGGCGAATTATAGACCAATTCCTCATGAACAATTTGCTCGGACTGTATGCCACTCGGTGAATACATGATTGAATGGATATATAAATGTGAATAATGCGAATAAGCAGGGTTCTTTTTTGAGGGCCTCTGACGTCAGGGTCCACCTGTGATTGACGCTCGACCAACGCCTCCGACCAAGAATTGCCTGCCTGCGCCTCCTGGCTCGATTCTGTTTGCGAATACTCTCCTCACTGATAAATAATGAAGGGCGTAGGAGGCCTTGAACCCGGCGGAAGCTAACGCCAACGTCACGCCTCTTCCGCTTTGACCTTTGACGCGCAACAGGACCAAATCCAGCGTGGGAGTGACGTCACCGAGCCAACGAGTCTGCTACGTAATGTCAGATGCCAGACGAGGGTTACGTCAATGCGCAAACTCGCTCTGCGGAGAGGTAGGGAATAAACCCAGTCGCCTTTCCTCTAAGTCGGCATTTTGGCACACCGCAAAAAAAATGTCTTTTGTTCTGCTTATTTTCAAAGAACAAGTTTCAATTTGATGAATTCTCAGGTATATATTTTAGTTTTCTTAGCTTTAAGAGTAGCTGATGATGACATCTTGCAGTACTAACCCAACACAAAAGCGCAACTGTATCTCAGAAACTGGAGAAGCCATACTGAAATTGGATTGTAGGTTCCTCTGATTAAATCTTGGGGAACTGACCCTCAATTTTTTCAGTTTTTTTCCAGTGCCCAGCGGCCTACGTGATCTGAGAATGTGCGTGGGTACACGTGAGTTCTGCGAGTCCGGATTTTGCCGCCCGAGATAATGCGGGTGGGCGTGGGACCTCCGTGGGCGAATGCAAGTCAAGGGAGCTGAACTTGAACCCGCCGGGGAGCCGAGATGGACTGCTAATTTTAGATCTAACCTGCGGCTGCTGATTGTGTTCTGCGTTAGCGATGCACATAAATTCCTGCCTGCTGGTCTGCGGAAAGTGGGGGTGGGTGGGGCAGTCCAACTGCGGCGCAGTTTGCATTTAAAATCTGGGGGGAGTACCATGGAGAGGGGGAGCGGTAACGGTACGTCGGCCCATTTACACGCCCACATTCGCGAGAGAGTGGAGGCCATCGCTTCAGTTCCGCGCGAAATTTACACACGAATTCCGATTCCAATAACAAACACGAAGCGAAAACAGAAACAAAAACGCAAGTACTGCAAACACGCACACAGTCGCACAGATAGGCACGCCACAGACTGCTGGCTTTTTTAGCCCCCCAAAGTATCAACAAATGTTCACGTGAACATCATGAGGTCAACGCGTGATACCAGACGGACCCACACAGACACTCACACATACCAGCAAGCGCCCAGGCAAGCGTGCTCAGCCAGTAAGAAGGTTATTCGTGAAGGGGTCGACTTGGGGATATCGTGGAGGGGTCGAGCTATCTGGACCATGAATACATAATGCGGAAATACAAATATTTGCATTGCAATCTATGTATCTACAAAATGTTTTTGGGTTAACAAACATGACACATGCGTATATCTGTGCTGGAGAAAATGAATATGAACACTAACACTTCCTCAGAGGATTTCTTGGCCAACATCACATCCTCTGATACCCTAGACGGCGTGAACAGTCGCCCCACAAGTCTGGTGTGGGGTATGGGTATGGCGTGCTAGTTATTCGCTGAGGTTGTTGTTGTTGCGCAAGAGAGCCGACGAGCGCCGCCTTATAATAGTCACAGCTGTTTCTGGCGCTCGGTCTTGCCCGCTCTCTTCTGTGTGGGGCACGAGCCCCTTTTTGCTTTGAAAACTGTTACAGGCGGAGCGAGCATTGCCAGGTGGAAATTACCAGAGCAATAGGTGGGGTTTTCAGTTAGATGAATTTAATCAGGGATTTAATCGATGTAACTGGGGAGCTGGTAAACAAGCCCATTTTAAAATGGCTCTTTTTCATGACTCATCCCCGTTATCTCCCCATTTGTTGGCCTGGCAATGCCGCTGCTCAACTGTTGAGCTCCCACACTCTCTTGCTTTCTCGCTCTGCCTTTCGTTTATTAATGAAATCTACGTCTGCTCAAAGTCAGACTTGGATTTAAAGTTAATGCAAATATATGCGGCCAGGTCTAAGATTTCAGCTAGAGGGGCGTCTGCCCAGGTTTCAAGCCAGTTTTTAAGTATTTTTTCGTCGATTAATCACAGACTTCCGTGGCAACAACTGCGTCAGCTATTCAGTCACGGCTTTGGGGTGTGTCTGTGAGTGTTTGTGTGCGCTGTGCACGCGGCTTGGGCATGCACAGCCTATGAATAGACAGCCCCTGGAGCCCCCTGTCCCCTCCTCTCGCCCCTCGCCAGACGCCCCGCTCTCTCTCAAGTACCGAAAACAAGACCCCGCAGTAAACAGCTGATGACGTCCATGCGTTGGTTACGTGCTCCATAGGTCTCTCTCTCAAAGTCTGTGCCCCTGCACAGCGAGAAAATGAGGTATGAGAGGATGAATATCTGTCATTCATCATTTTGGTTCAGGTGAGCTAATATCGCTTTGGATAAGTTTATAACATGCTCCTTTTATTGTTTAAAGATATCTATTGATCATTGGCAATTACAACATTGGGAAAGTAAACCAAATTCGGATTCGAAAACTGAATATGTACAAATATTATTTTTTCTCAGTGTGTGTGGCTTGCTGAGAGGTAAGTGAGGAGGAGACCTGACCTTTTTCGAGCCAGAGAGAACGGGAGGAGGCACTGCCCACGTTGCTGGTGGCTGATGTTCGTCCGGGTTTCGTTGCACTGGTTGCTCCACTGGCGATGACGATTGCCCTCTCACACACACATGCCCACTTACAAGTGATTACGTCGGCGGCTCCACTCACCCCCACTCACACTGGCGCACCGCTGTCGGCAGCGACGTCGGCAGCGCCAGCTCTGCTGGGAGCTGAATGCCTTTGCCTTTTTCATTCGTCTCTTGAATTCTGAACGCAACGGTCGCCTCCGCTCCAAAACGGCAACGGCACTCGAAAAGCGCCAGTGCAAATTAACCAAAGTGCAAAACTCCACAAAATAAAGTGAGATTAAACCAAGTGATAAGCCAGAGAGCTAACAACAAACAAAAACAGACTTTTAAAGACTCTTCGCCGGAAAGAGAGTGCAGTTGAAAGTGCAATGGACATGGATACCTTGCTACCTTCACCGCCCGCAACACCCCCGCTGAGGGATAACAAGTTGGAAAACGTAAGTGACCTACAAAGCGGATATACATATGTAGTGCATAAATGCCAGCAGAGTGATTAGTGCTTATTGAGTGGGGATAGTGCATTCAAGGCAGCGGAAAATCAAACGGAATCGGACGTTAGCTCGTTCTCGCTTCCACTTGCCGCATTTCTAAAAACAAAAGTGCCCCATCTCGCTCGCACTTGCAAACAGCCATTCGATCACGCAGTCAGCACGCGTTCACGTGAACACCGCATGCACAGCGAGTGATACATGAGTGCGAGCGAGAAGGCCTCTAGCTGAACATTGGACTTGGCCCCACTAGAAAAAAACAACGGAAAGCGCAAGAGAGCGAGGGAGAGAGCCCGCCGACTTTGTTTGAGAGCGAAGGTGAGTTGCCAATTGGCAACGGTGGGCGAAAAGAGGGGGGCGACAAGAGCTAGGCAAACAGGCCAAGCCCCAACCCATAAAAATATGTCACATTTCTGGCTCGTTTTTTTATCTGGCCAAGAAAGAAACAAACAAACACTGTCGCACATTTGAGCGCAACGTGCCAAGCCCATAAAAAGATTTCGACGTCTCCCCACGAGTCATAATACACCCCTCGCTTCGGCCTTCCCCCATTGAATTGCCCACCTGAGGCACGTCATAACAATATTGGTGGTGTGGCTGCGCCTTTCCTTGCCTAGTTTTGGGCGCTTCTTTTTAATCTGAAAATCTAGACAATTTTGATATACGAAAAATCGTTAACCCTTCGTTAAAAAAAACCATTGTTTAAAAAACTATGTAACAAAAATGAAGAGGGCTTAGAAAAATATTTAGATAGAGTTTTCATGTTTGCAATATATTTTAGCTCATTGAGGGAAAACTTTTAAGTTTCTAACTGTCGGTATTATTTTTCAAGGTTCAATTACCAATTTATTACATAAAAATAAATCCCATTGAGATTTCGTTAGACATAATTTAAAGCGCAGTTGGTAGCAAGTCGACATTTAATGAATCGTAATTTTTCACCCAAAACGGCCGTCGAAACAGTTCAAAAACCGCCGAAAACAATGTCCCCTTGGCCTTTGGCGGAGCATTGAACCTGGGGGATGGGTGGGGGGCATCAGGGTGCCGCAGGGTGTGTGAAGGTTAGCGGTGAACGGCCTTGTCAGGCGTCGGCGTAATTAGCGAATTGCGAGGGAAAAGTTATTGTGGGTCAATGCTGGTCAGCGAAAAGTGAATGGGAATGTGAATGCACTCCTGAGAACCCGAACCCGAACCCGCTCCCGATGTTGATGAACTCTCACTAACCCTGAACTCTTGTTTCCTTTCCTTCAGGTCGCCAAGGACGAGCAACAGGTCAACGAGAACCTGCTCAAGGCCAAGCTGAAGCTGGTGGCCCAGAAGAACCAGAAGAATGGGGGGATCATCACACCCAATCCCTCGGACACGGAAGACGAGGCTGCGGACGTGCCCAACCAGAAACCCCGCATGGAACAGCCTGCTACGACCATGACACCACCGCCGGATCAGAAGCTGGAGGATGAGCACAAGGCCGAGAGGGTCAGCGTCATCATGAGGGTCAACAGCTCGGGAGCAGTCTCCTCCAGCAACCAGGACGAGAACTCATCCAGCTCCAGTTCCAGCTCCAGCTCCTCCTGCAACACAACCACAAGTACAAGTTCGGTGCCACCCACGGTGGAGGACGACTACCCGGAGGCCAATGTGTGGCGCAATCTCAAGTTCAAGATGAACAGGAAACGGGCTGCGGAAGTGGCCCTACCCCCCGTACAAAAACCCAAGTCACCGACTCCAGAGCTCCCAGCTCCATCAGCTCCAGCGGAAAGCGAGGAGATCAAACCAATCCTGACTCCCATCTACGTGGCTCCAGTTGCCTCGCCGGCCAGTCAGCTCATCCTCCTCAGCACAGTGGCCGCCCAGCAGAGTCCCACGCCGATTCCCCCAGTTCCCACGATGCCCGCCGAGGAGAAGCTCACCACCAGGATCACGGCAGCGCAGGCGGCGGCCACCAGAAGCCGCATCTACGAGTGCAGCTTCCCCGACTGCGGCAAGAACTACTTCAAGAGCAGCCACCTGAAGGCCCACCAGCGGGTGCACACCGGCGAACGACCCTTCATCTGCAAGTGGGCGAACTGCGACAAGAGGTTCTCCCGGTCCGACGAGCTCTCCCGACACAAGCGCACCCACACCGGCGAGAAGAAGTTCCAGTGCAGCGTGTGCCAGAAGAAGTTCATGAGGAGCGACCACCTGTCCAAGCACGTCAAGCGCCACAACAAGGACAAGGCGAACGGGGTGAACCGCCACGTCTCGCTGGCCAACCCCAGCTCCGCCTCCTCGGTGGCTGCCTCTCTCTGCGACGCCACGCTCCACCTGCGAGCGATAGCGCCGGCGGCCCCCTCTAGGGCCAGCTCCTCGCCCATCTCCCCCGCCAGCCTGCAAGTGTACACCGCCCAGGATCTGCTGAGGCTGCAGCAGCAAGCCAGCAGCTTCAGTTTCGGCGGAACCCTGCTCCAGGTGCAGCGATGAGAGGAGCAGGAGCCACTGAAGCCCCAGGACCAATCTCAGCCCGACAGTATCGCCAGCTAAACAGGGGGAAACTCCCACACGAATCAGAAACGCAGACAAGATTTACCCCCGAATCGAATGCCTCTTCTAAAATAACTAGTGCTAGGGTTTCTAAAATCTTATATTAAGACCACACATGAAGATCGAACTTTCCCGCATCGAGAATGTTCCCTCTTATCTAGGAATTCAGATTTCTTCGAGTTTCTCCCCTCTCGCAGCTGGTGTAGACTTAAGCTTAGTTAAGAGCTAGATCTTGTCATCTTTTTGTGCATATATCAACTTCAGATTCAATAAGCTTCGCATTTGCGATTCAAGAAACTTCTTTCCAAGGGCACACAGCACACTTCTTGGCTTGGCGATCCTTTTTAGATTCAGATTTAGATACTGAACACCCCTAGTGCTTGTACATATTATAATAGAGACGCAGTCGTCGTCCAACATCTGTGATATTTAAGTTTTCTTAACTCTTTTCTATTGTACCATAGTTTTCGGACTATTTCTCTTAAACTTAAACACACACAAACAATTGTATTTATTGCTAAATGTGGAAAAAAGAGAACGAAAAACAAATCAAAAAAGAAATAGTGGATCCTTACACGATTCCAATCTCAACAAAAGAAAATATACATATTTTCCAAATAATCACAAACTGTTTGTATAATCTGGCGGGTTGGAATGGGAAAAAAGTCTGTTTCACTTGTGGAGTACGATTTTTATTCTTAATTGTATGTTAATCCTCGAACCCAGCGAATAGCTGGGATTCTAAAACGGGTTGACACTAAATTGTCAATCATGAGATGGAATAAGTATTTTATGTTGGAGTTCAGCTAAACTCCCAAAAAAGTGGTAAGCTCGCAGACAGCTCTGGGCTTCGACTGAGGAGAGCACGCCTGGCGCACAGCCATTTCCCAGGTGTCCAGCAGATGGGACAGCGAGTAGTTCTTGGGCAGCTTGGATATGCGAGCGATCAGAGACTGTTGCACCGTCTGCAGGAAGGGCGTGGCCGAGTACTCCTGCTCTGTCAAGGAGCAGTCCGGAGCCTGCCAGGGATACTCCTCCGGCACACTGACACTTACTGGCGGCACACTGGGCAAGCGTTTGTCGTCCAGGCAGCAAATCAAGCGAATCGCCTTGTTGTTTATCTGCGACGTGGTGTCCAGTTTCACCTTAAACTTGCTATCCAGCCGAGCAATTTCGCCTTGCAGAACATGCGGAACATCCTGTTCGAAGGGCGAAGACTTTTCCTCCACTCGAGGCCGCTTTGCGGGCACTGGAGCTGCTATATCCGTGCCGAAGAGCAGTTCCAAAGTTGGACGGAACGTTCGATGCAGTGTGTGGTTGGCCACGGGACTTTGCAGGGTGGTGTTTATTACCTCCAGCAGTGGATTTGAAGATTTCTAAACAAAATAAAGTATGTAGTGAGGATTAGTTATGATCCCAGTTGCATTTGCTGACTACTTACACCAAACTGCTGTCCGGAATAGGAGATGAGATCCATTTTCTCCAGAGCCTTTTCACATTTCAGAAGAGTTTCCAGCGGCACACGCTGTGTAGGATTGCAAAGGATCTCCAGCAACTTACTCATCTTGGTCATCTTTTCCACATCTATAACAAATAGGGAAAATATTAGTACATTGCACGACTTCCTCTTACAAATTTGTATACTTACTTGTCCCATCGTTGCTGATCTTGGCCAGCATCCGTTTCAGAGGCTCAATGTATTTGGTCAGCTGCTTGTACTTCTCGCGGTACAAAGCCTCCTCCTGCGGGTTGAACGGACTGTTCCCAGTCACCTGACCCGGCGTGTTGATCGAGGCACTCGGCGATTGCTGGCGGATGTTGCGCTGCGGGTTCTGCATCTGCATCATCTGCGGACTGGACTGGGGCACCAGCGCCGGACTGGGAATCATCGGCGTCGGCATCTGCGGAGTCGGAGGCTGCTGCGTGGGCGTCTGATTGCCTACGACCAGCTGTTGCTGCTGCTGCGCTTGTTGCATCTGCTGAAGCTGGGCCTGCTGCTGCTGCAGTTGCTGGGCATCCGCTGGCGACGGACTGGACCTCATGAATGGCTGTCCGGGCTGCTGACCTCCGACTCCCACGCCACCTCGGTTGCCTGGGAACATCTGGCCACCCTGTCCCATCGGCATGTTGGGTTTTTGCTGCAGATTCGGCGGCATGTTCACGCCCATGCCGCCCATTGGATTCATGCCACCTTGCTGGACTGCGTTGGGCGGCAAGCCCGTTCCGCCCACCTGCTGCTGACCGGCCGGACCGCCGACCACATTGTGGGGACCCTGCTGCATATTCTGCGGCATTCCCTGCATGCCTTGGCCTGGCATTCCCTGGGGTCCGCCCATGCCGTTGCCTTGGCCCATCCGCATCATCGGGTTTATGCCCATCTGTCCGAAGATAAGATGATGTAATGCGCGAATTTAAAAGTTTAAATACCAATTACTTACTCCCATTTGGTTCTGCTGGATCTGTTGCATAGGCGGCATCTGCTGCATGGTGTTCATGGGTCCACTTTGCATTTGATTTGGGCCGGGCCCAGCGGATCCAGGGGCAGCATTCGCACCGCCTGCTCCGCCGACAGCAGGCCCACTGTTCGGACCTGGTCCCACCATCTGGTTGGGCATACCCACGCCCATCTGTTGTCCCGGATTGCCGACGATCTGACCCTGGTTCTGTCCGCCACCGGCGCCCATGACGTTCATCACTCCTGGAGCGTTTCCACCTTGCATCTGCTGCTGCACCTGCATCATCTGCTGAGCTGCACCGCCCCCGCCAGCGCCCATGGGCATTTGGCCGCGTATGTTGGGCATGGGCTGCATTTGCTGCTGTCCAGGACGCTGTTGGTTTAGTGATTGAAGCAAATTAGAGGCGGTTCCCGGTCCGCCGGGCACTGGAGCTCCGCCGGCGCCCATAGGCATCATCTGGGGATTCCGATTTCCTTGACTGGCCAGGTTCTGCAGGGCGTTCAATGGATCCTGCATCATATTCTGCCCACCGCCCATTTCAGCATTCGGGGGAGGGCCGCCCTGCTGCTGCTGCTGTTGTTGTTGCTGCTGCTGTTGCTGGGATTTTCGAGACATGTCCTTGTAGTGCATGAAGAGCTTGGCCACCAATCCTAAATATTCGTCTTTGCTGCGCGACTTCCGGAATATATGGTTTTCCATAACTCCGGCATTTTTTGATTGATCCTGCGCGTTCGCTGGCAACAAGTCGTGGCTAGAAAAGCAAACTAGATTAAGCAACGAAAAATAGCTACTCAGTTCAGCTTACATTTTTGAAATTACATTCTGGCGGAACTTCTGACTCTGCCAGTCCTCAGTCATTGTAGCAAGCTGTTGTTAAACGTCAACTATTTCTTGATATTACTCTCAATCTTTTCTTTCTTGAGTTCAAGCCAGTGTGGCCGTTCGGGGAAGCGCTCTTAATACCTGAGTGCGCACACTGTTATTTTACAGCTCTTGGCGGTTCTGTTAAGGGTTTTCAAATTTTCTGTTAACTGCTAAAGCCCTTGTCACCCTTGAATATTCTGTTGATTTAATTTTTTTCTTATTTTTGTTCGGTATGGCAGCCTCAAAGGTTTTTCAACAATAGTTTAAATCAATCAATCAAAAGAATTTCTCACTATTGGCTATTCTTGCCTAACGGTTAATATAACTCAGGAGCGCAGGCGAGTTCAATTAACACCTTTTTGATTGCGTTGGTTCTTAACGTTTACGCGAGCATTGTTTACTAATACCACTGGTACGACTACAGAGAAAGGAAAAAGTTAAAAGACATGATGAGTTCAAGTCGGTCTTTCGAAGAAAATGCTATGGGAGGTGCACATATATTACTAAAAAATAAGCAATTTTTCTCCGTGCAGTAGGCCAACCCCCCACCAACCACCTGTATGAGCTGTCTCCCTCGCACGTCGACAGAGAGCGCGTTGCACTCTCTCCACCGCTTTCTCTCTCGCTCCAGCTCGTTGTGGCGCGTGCTGAGCGCAATTAGCACTCATACGCCGTGTGTGCTTTTACCGTTTGTCCAATCGCTCACTCGCGTTTTTGTCTTCGAAGAGAGCGGACGTGCACGACGCGTACGCTGGCGCATCGCATCGCTGGATTTCGTTCGGTTACGTTCTGGCGTGTTTTTTTTCTGTTTGTCGCGTTGTTATTAACTTTTGTATTTTACTACCACTACGGAACATTGTATAATTTCTGTTCTCCGTCGTTTACGCGCCGCTTTTTTTGCCTTTTTGCCACCTGTACAAGTGTGTACTGGAAAAAAGATAGTTCGGGAAATAGAACGTTTTCAATGCCGGCTTTAAAGTGTGTGTTTTGCTGACGTTCCCAACTGTCATATCTAATTCGTGCTAACCGTCGGAAGAAATAGTAATCATAAAAGTGGAAAGAGCAGAGCAAGAGTGCAAGCGAATATATTCAGTTATTATCAGCAGATATCGCGTATACGACGCGTGTTGCCTTCAAGGTAAAACGCAAAGTTAGTGCCCCCTTTTCCCCTCCTCCTTTTTTCTCTCTGTGTATGTTTGAGTGCGTAGCCGAATATTAAGTGAATTACAGAAACAACAACGAGCTACAGTAGCAAGTACATCAGTTACTATTAAATTATATTGCAAGTTACAAGCAGAGGGAGAGAAAACAAAAAAATAAAAAACACAAAAACAAAAAATAATCAACCGAAACAAGGCGAAAAAAATACACAACAAAAACAAACAATAACAGTGGCAGAGGCAGCGAAAAGAACGTTTAAGTGAGCAGAGTCGTCGACGTCGACTGCAGCAGAGGGTGCAGCAGCGGCAGCAACAACAACAGCGAAAACAGCAACAAAATGTCGAAAAACTGTTGAGGTTCGTACACAGACAAAAATATTTAATAAGAAACTTTCTGTAATGTATACTGGTTAGCGTCTTAATTTCGAGGATCTTCCGGCTTCCAATATTAAATTGATTTAGACATTTAAAATGAACGTTATTAAAGTTGTATGATTTGGAAGAAATTCAATACTCAAATTAATCAAAAACTTTAGTTAAACTCAAAAGTAGTCTTTAGTTTTAAAATCAAATTGATCGCCTTTTTCGGTGTGTACTTTTTTGTAAATATCTGTGTAAGTATGTCGAGTATGTGCGAGTGTGTGTGATACGTGGTTTTTTTGCTGCTTGAGTGCATACACTTCCCCCCAGCCGTTGGCCCCCCTCTCACATATTTTTGCTGAGTGCGGCTTACGCTGCTGGCGTCGCTGCCGGCATTGCTGCCGACGCCGACGTCGGCGACTTGGGTGCTCTACTTTATTCTCTTCTTTGGCATTTTTGTTTTGCGGCGACGGCAACAACAAAGTCGATTACAACGACAGCCCCAAAAAGCGCCACACAGACAGCAAGAATAATAAGGCCCGTCCGAAAAGTTTCGACCGAAACATACCCCTTGCACGAAAAGCAACCAAAAACTAGGCTACACTTTTGAACCACGACATTTCCTTGCTATTAATTCTAGTTGGTTCATAATCCATGGATGCTTTATCTGTATCTCAAAATACCTCTTTTCGGATCTGAGCTCCTTTGAAAGGCGTAATAAGGCTTATCCCGTTGGAAAAAGTATTTCTTTCAGTGCATTTCCCCCACTGATATTTTTAACCTGAATGGTATTTTGGGCGGTAGTTGATACACGGCCCTCCCCTCGGTCTGTGCAGGGTATTACATCAACAACAATAAAAGTGTGTTGACATTTTTGTGTGCTTTTTTCCTCGATTTTTACGTCTGTTTTGCTCTATACGTTATGGCATGTGTGCGAGTGTGTGTGTGTCGGTGATGGCGCTGGGGGCTGGATTGGGGGCTTACGGGGGTGGTGCTCGATGGGTGGTTCGGGGTTCGCAGTCCACGGCAGAAGCTCTAGTCGAGGGCTACGTGTTTAAATTATCAAGCCGAGCTTGTCATCGCCACACGCACGAACATCAAAACTAGTGACACACATACGAGTGTGCACGTTAACGTTCGAACGGCAGCTATATACGTACTTGTTCTGAAGTATATATAGATTTCTATATATGATTGAAGTGAGCTTGCCGGCTGACATTTGGATCGCACCGACATTTGAATTCCGAGTTCTCTGCCGGCGGGCAATCATAGAAAATGAATGACAAGCGGCCGAGCCTATTGATTTTCAATCAATATTTTGTCGTGGCCACATAACGTTCGCCTGCTTACACAGGCACACAGTGGGGGTCAACATAATAGTTGGGGCTTTAAAAACGATGACCCTTTTTACGTGCGACTTGTAACTCGCTTCGGTTCCTATTTAGTCACTAATCTCACAGGGCTTAATTGTATAGCCGTCCGAATAATAACAAAACATTTGTCAAAATAATCGCCACTTTCAGTTAGATAAATAAAATAGCAATGAACTTAGCTTTTGTTTGTATTGATATCTTTACAGATAAGATAAGCTATTAAAGCTGACTGGCATAAACAAAATTCTGTCATTAACAAACAAATTTTCGTTTTTGCTGGAATATTTTCAAGGGATTAGATTCTTGCACTCTTAAACACTGATCGTGCACATGATTTTTAATGCACCAAGCATAAATGGACTCAAATGAATTTGTTTATATTTATTTCATAATGTTTATTAGCAAGTTCATTGCCATAACGTAGTATAGAACATCGTAACGTAGTACAGACATCCTCAGATAAGATATCTAAGTCAGATTGTTTAGCATGTTTGTTTTAACACTCAAACGTTGGGGCTTCTTGGCCTCTGGAGTCGCATTAATTAGCACAGATTCAATCCGTTTTATGGGTCCACTCGGAACTCCTATAATTGCGACTTGAGTCGTCTGGTTCCATGCGATGACACCGAGTTTCTTTCTTCGCTCGCTTTCGTCAACGTCGCTGGCTTCTACGAGTACGAGTATCTGAGTATCTGTATCTGTTCGCTGTTCGATTTTCCTGAATTTGTTTTGCATTTGAATGTGGAATTGGGAATTGCTATAGCTTCTTCGCTCGGCCCCTCTTTCTCCGCTCTTTCTTCGCGTTTCACCTTTGGAGACACCGTATATGTAGTATGCAAAATAATCGGGGACCGAAGCCCCACTGCGGCAGCGGCGTCGGCGTCGGCGTCGCAGCCGGCGTAATCGTCGCTGCTTTTTATTATCATTTGATTGCGTTGCCTTTATGATTGCCCGTTGTTGCTGCTTGTCGCCTATTTTGTTGCTGCCTTTTTCCACTTTTTGTAGGTTTTGCTTTTTGCCCATTTGCTGCTCATTGTTAATTTCAATTCTCTTTCTGAGCTGCCCCTCTGCACATGGAAAAACGCTGGAAACATCTCAGGTTTCGCATTTCAAAATGTTGTAGTAAACTAAATAAACCAAACATCGCCTATTTTCATTCAGAAAATTATTCTCTGTGCATCGCCCCTCCCCCAAAGTTTTTACCACAAAGCCAGATTTGTTGTTGTCGCTCGTTTGCTTGTTTACTGAATTTACTTAATTTGTTTTTGCGGTCGATGGTTTAGCCCTATTTAAGCAACTCTCACTCCGGTAGGCCCCGAAGTTTCTAGGGTCTGTCACCCCGGCGGAAAGCCTCGATGCACTTTTCCAATCATTTCGATTGCTCGGAGGCACTGCTGTTGTTATTTGTCACGCTTCGTCATCGAACTGGAAATGGGGCGGGAAATGGAATTGGGGAAGGAAAGGAAAGGAAAGGAAAGGAAAGGAAAGGAAAGGAAAGGAAAGGAAAAGGAGTTGCAAACAACAAAATTCGAACGCTAATGGGAGCGTGGAGCTGTCATGTTTGCTTATGAGCGGCGGCTTCATTTCCGCCCATTTCAGGACTAAGGACCTGGAACAGTCGAGCGGACGGGGTGTGATGAGGGAACTGGAGCTGTCACATGTCTGGCGAATGCTTCGGGAGCGGCTGCAACGGCAGACCCCAAAATTGGATTGATTTAGGGGTATGCTAAGCTCGTATAATACTATATAAGCATTTAATTTCACTCTTACTCGATTCTGTCAGTTGTAATATGGAGCTACAGGTGATTGTCTCAATGAACGTGCACGTTCCCCAGAGATCTTATCATATTTTTATCCAGCTGATTCATCGGTGTCTTCCCTAGGGATATTTGTATTTGTGTCCCATCTGCAGCTACCTAATTTCTTTTGTTTGAATGGTTATTTTAACAGACATTGAATTCATTTTCTTCAGTATATGAGTTGAGTGGGTTAATGACTTTGGGTGCAACGGGGAGCGACTCGACTCAAAACAGGGTGCCGATGCAGTCGCCCTTCCTTTCCGTGGCTCAATCCTTTCGCTCTATTTTCGTGCCCGTTTTTTCTCACCACGGCAACCACTTGTTTTCCCAAGCACAACAACAACAGACACATGGCTACACACCCGGACATTCTTGTGGAGAACCCACACAGCCGAACACACGAACACACTCGCCACTCGCCTCATTGTTGTCCATCCTGTCTGCTCTTCCCATTTTTACCGCTTTTCCACCCCTTCTGGGGGTTTTCCTCGTCGGCTTTTCCTTTTTGGCGTCTGCGTCGGCGCAGGCGTCGCTGCAGGCTTCGCTGCCGGCGTCGCTGCCAATGTCAGCTTCGACGTCACATTCCTCGGCTTGAACAGCTTCAACAGATGAAAAAGTTTTTGCTCGAAAGTCGCACGCGCTGTCACGCCTCCTTCTCGTAAAAATAACTGCAGTCCTCAAAGTTTCATAATTAAAACAAAGGCGGCGCTGTGTGGGGAATCCCCTCGCACTGGCACGCACACCAGCGCGACCAACGTGTCCTTCCGCGTGTGTGTGTGGCTCAGTGGCTGAGTAACTGTGTGTACTTGTGTGCGGGTGTGTTTGTGTTAGCCCGCGTTTTTTCCGTTCCCAACATATGGCAGCATAGTTACTGGCATTTTCGGTGAGAATTTCATTAAAGTTGGCCCGAATTCTAAATTATTTTCATCACTGCTCTACGTTTCAGTATTTTTATCATTTTTTATGCACTCGCAATGGAATTTTAGAGTCTTTTGGTAAACTTAAGTCACTCACTTATTGCTGACATAGTTCGACACATATCTTTAGCTCGGCTGCTTTGTTTACTCAGTTTTTCTGGGGGTATTCAAATATTACTTTCGCCTCTATCTCTGTTACCATTCTGGGTGGCTTTGCATATGAAAATAAGTTTCCATTGCAGAAATGTGTGCTCTCTAATTAAAATGATGGATTCCGACGTTGCTCGAATAGAAGTAAACACACACGAACTTTCCATTCCGTCGGGGGCTGCAATCTCGTTTAATTCAATTGTGCCGATCTCAGATATCGGGTACCCTTGGCGTATACGCAATGTGCTCGAGTTACGACGCTGCCCGGCTTGGCATACCGCTGTGTATATCGGATGGCGAGCCGAACTTCTTCGATTACCATTTCCCCCTTTCGGTTCGCGCTCCCCGGCCGTGATTTGCATGGCGATCCCATTTCGATTAAAGCCTCCGGTCGCCTCCGATTGCCGGCTGGCAATCGCGATCTCATTATTCCGGACGGTCGCTTCACGCCCAATTAGACTAAAAGCCGGCCCGAATCGAGAGGCAGAGGTCGATTATCCGGAGCCGACTAATGGTCGAGAGCCCGGGTCATCAATAATATTCGCCTCGGGCGAAAGTGAATTATCATAATGAATTCCAGTTGCTCAGTAGCCGTGCTCGGAGTACAATACTCGTATTCCTCCGTTTTAATTTTATTTCGTGCGCGGCGCTCTTCGGTTCCAACTGTCCAATTGTCCGTAATAGACTCCAAGCCATGTGGATTCCGCCGGACGGCAGCTGTCCTTACGGCTGGAACTGCCCTTGGTCCTCCTCGCAGATGGTCGTCAATGGACTGTGGATGAACCTCCCGCCTGGCTACTACGACCGCGGCAAAGGGAAGAAGGGTACGGCTACGGATGATTTACACTGCTGAGAAAAAAAACCGGACACTGACATACTTACTTTACATGGGGTTTATTTTTGGTCATTTTATTTTGCTCCCAATTTACATAGTTTGCTGGCAGTGAATGACGAAGTTGTGAAATCGTTCTTCCCATTTATGTACATGTTATGCTATTCACACCCTGCAAATGCATTATTTTATTTTGCCATTTTCATAATTTATTGAAAAGAGAAAACCATTCAAGCATCAAGCATTTTAAAAATAATCTATACAAAATCCCAAATGGCCGTAAAGTCAGTCATTAATAAATAATCTTGTCTGGAGTTCAAGAGCCACCGTCTTATCGACTGGCAAATAATCGTGTTCTCGGAATTGCTCATCTTCCACGAACTGATCTCGATTGGAATATGGGTTTCAGTTCTCCGATGGCCTCTGCTTCCGAAGCAAGCTCAACAAATGGAGCTCTTCAGATTTTTCCCAGTGTGCGGCTTCTGGCCGAGCTCACAGGTATCGATGATTAAGGATCCTGAAAGGCTGCCTGAAATCCACCCCTCCATTCGCTTCTGACAATTATCTGCGACAATTATTGGTTTTCCCAGTGTGCGAGTGCTTGTGGCCCACTTTGCGGTGGGCGGTGACATTGAGGGGGCGTGGAGAAGGGGTTCGCTTGTTGTTGTTGCTGTTTCCACTGCTCTTTCCATTGTCCATCCCTTTCGCCGGTGTGTGCGTGCGTGTGTGTGGCGGGTCAATCATTAATATTTCATGAACATTCCACATTTCCATTTCACAAAGCCGAGGCGCGCGTTTCATTTTGTAGTCGCAGGCGTGCACAGGGAGAAATATCTGACTCACTTGATCAAGCAACTTGTTCTTAACGAGGATTAAAGAGGACCCTTTAGTAGGGATTTTTATGAATTTATATTAAATTATATGAACGAGTATGGGCTCCCCATACAACAAACACTTTGAACAGTCGCTCAGATTCTTTTCAGCGTGTGGTTTCCCCTTTCCCGCTGCATTTAGACATCAAAAACCCCACTGACACACTTGCCAGGACAACGAAGGACCTGCGTGCCGTTGAAGACCACATTTAATGACCAACAAAAGCGAAATTGTCGCGGGGGCGTCTCTTGTACGGGGGGCATGTTGTGGGGCTTTCCATTTTACATTTAAATGCCAGGGAATAATTGCTTTTTCCTGTTCGCGGTGTGGGGCACCTTCAACAATTGCGAATGCAATTTGAGAATGCAGCCGGGCGAGCGAAGGGGAAATCCTCGGAAGGAGAGCTCGGGAGGAGGTGGAACTAACCTTGGCAGGTGGACGGATTGAATATGCTGACAGAACATGGCACAGGGGAGCAGTTACCATTTTGGTACTCGCACCACTTGGACGCGACTATGTACAGATTTTTAATAAGTAATGCCAACCGTTTTCTTCAATTGGAGCGTGATCTGAATTACATTTTTGAATGGCTTTCCAAATTTGTTTACACTTGTAATCAAGCAATTATACCATTAACGTTCATTCTAAAAATGGTTATTATTTTCAAAGAGTCAACATTCTTAAAAGTAATTCCGCTCGTCCATCAATCAAATTACTCGATGGAATGAAGTTTCTTCATCAGTATTTCTACTAGGTTGATGGATTGGAATTTTCCCTAGGTTAATTTTCATGTTGAGTTGGTGCTTTTCCCCTCTTTGGATTTCCATTAAATGTCACATTGGTGTTCTCTTTGCAGCCAACAAGATGCAAGCGGTCATGGACACGGCCGCCATGGCCATTGCCGTGGGCTCCTCCGTTTCCGGCTCCGCTTCCGGCCTGAGCTCCGGCTCCAGTTCCGGCCCAGGTAGCAGCAGCAGCAGCGGGAGCAGCAGCGGCTACGGCAGCGCCACGACCACGCCCACCGGCGGCGGCCACTACGCGGACAACTCGCCCACCTCGCTGCCGATGGCCACGATTGCCACGGTGGCTCCGTTCTACAGCGAGGCGCTCACCTCCCTGGACGCCCAGCAGCGCCACCAGCAGCAGCAGCAGCAGCAGCAGCATCAACAGCAGCAGCAGCAGCAGAACCCGGGCCACTACTACCACCAGAACTACGGGTACGACCCCGGCTACAACTACAGTGCGGCTCCGTACAACGCGTACAGTGCGCCCGCGGCGAGCCAGCAGTTGTCGGGCAGCAGCTACCCCGTGGGCAGCAACCGCTACGAGAAGCTGGCCCCCAGCTCGGGGGTCAAGTACGGCCAGGTGAACCCCATCGGAGGCAGCGCGGCCATCAAGCCGCAGGCCACGGCCACGCCCTTCTACGCCCAGCCGCTCTCCGGCGGAGCGGCAGGATCCGGCGGCTACATGGCCCAGTCGAGCGGCATGTACGATCCGTACAAGTACAAGATGGCCCCTGTCCAGGCGACCTCGCAACCCATGATGCCGAGCAGTCAGACGGGTGCCTCCTACGGCCACGGGCTGTCCCTCAATCCCGGAGTGGCGCAGAAGCAGGCGCAGATGCCACAGATGCCGCAGCAGCCGCAGCTGACCCAGCTGGAGCCCAACTACGCGGCCATCAAGCCGAGCAGGAGCTACCAGGGAATGGCCCCTTCTGCGGTCTACGGCGGAGCGGGGGCCAGCTCCGGCGGAGTGGTGAGCAACCCCCGTCGGCGCAGTACTACGACAAGTACGGGATGGCCATGTCCATGTACTCCCCGAATGCGGGACTGCCCATGTACAGCCAGCCGGGGGAGCTGGGACCCGACTCCGGCGGACTGCAGACGTACCGCAAGTCGGCGAGCAGCTGCCACTGGGGCGTGGACTACAACTCGCCCAACTACCGATCTCTGCCGCCGACGGCTCCGGTGGCCAACAGCTCGTACCACCCGCACCCGCACTCGGGACCCGCTCCCGGACCAGGACCAGGACATGGACCAGGACATGGAGCAGGAACCATCAACAGTGACCTGTACTACGGCTCCTCCAAGTACGAGAAGTACGGCGGGCACGGGAGCACGGGAGTGACGCCCTACGGCAGCAATCCGTACGCGGGTCCCGCGATCACGCAGTCCTACGCCGGACGGAACCTCTGGTCCGGAGCGGAGGGGGCGCCGGCCAACTCCCGCCAGAACTGCTGCTCCCAGGGATACGCCCTCAACCAGCAGAGCTGCTACTTCCCGCGGCAAGTGGCCAATGGCTACGCATCCGGACCCTTCGCATCCGCGGGCAGCTCCGCGCAGGCGCAGCCCCAGTATCCCGGAACGGGAGGAGTCGGAGCAGCCGGAGCAGCCATGAAGCTGAAGCATCCAACCGACATGTACCACAGCCCCTTCGTGGGCGAGGCCACGCCCACCCAGCTGGGCTACGGATACAGCCCGCCGGCGCTAGCGGGATCCAGCAGCTCGAGCGGCATGAGCAGTCAGAGGTACGCAGCTCCTCCTCTTGGCCTGGGAATGGGCATGGGCATCGGAATGGGCATTGGGGGGAGCATGGGTGGCATGGGAGGAATGGGGATGGAGCCCGGCAGCGGGGGCTACTACAACGACCTGAGCCTCAGCAGCCTGGATAACTACGTGGCTCCCGCGATGCCCTCGATCCCCCAGCCGACGCAGATGAGGACGCAGCCGTACCAGGATTACCGCAAGCGGTCCGCGATGGTGGGCTCCTCCTCCTCGGGGAGCTGCTACCTCAGCCAGCCGGGAGGCGGAGGAACTGCCCTCAGCAGCCTGGAGTCGCAGGTGGAGAACTACGTGGGCTTCAACCTGCACGCCACCGCCCCCTCCAACATGAACTACCAGGTGGAGGCGGCGAAGGCCACGCCGAACTACAACATCCGCGACTTCCTCTCCACCTGGAAGGTGGACGACGAGGACGAGGCCGCGGCTGTCCTGGAGCTGGATCCCCCGGCGGTGGCCGTGGTGGCCCCGGTGCCCAACCCCGCGTCCAGCTTCATGTACGAATCTCTGCCGCCGACGGGACCGCAGGCCACTGCCGTCCAGGTGGACCACCAGGGCATCAACCTGCCGGACATCATCATAGACATCGAGAAGGCGAATGCGAACGGGAACGGTGTTCCCGTGGAGGACTCCTTCGCCAGCTTCGACGTGGAGAAGGAGCTGGACGAGCTGCGGCTCAAGACGAGTGCCTCGGAGCAGCCGCCAGTGGGGGAGAGCGACGCCCTGGCGGAGATCCTGCGCCAGCCCGCGAGTGCTCCCCTGATGGAGGAGCAGCCCCTGCCCAGTCCCGTCCTCGGCGGCAGCGAGGTCTTCTCGGCCCAGCCTCCCGTGGCCATGGACTTTGACCAGAACAACAGCTCCAACTCGAACGAGTCCACCTTCGCCAAGGAGTACGAGACCTTCATCCACAAGATCGAGGGTTCCGAGAGCGAGGCGGAGGCGGAGGCCGAGGAGGAGGTCGCCCAGGAGGAGGGCGAGTACCGGGAGAACCCGAAGAGGTTCAAGTTCTACAAGAGGAAGCGCAGGACGACGGAGCCGCAGGATAACCTGGTCCAGAACGGGGAGGTTCAGCAAGTGGAGCAGGTAAATTCGAACCCCAGCGGGGTCACCCTTTCGCCAAAGGCTTCGGCCAGGGCCAGTAAGAAGCTGCTGGCCAAGAAGCGCCGCAACCGCATCCAGATGCTGAAGATCCTGGAGTTCGAGAGTCCCAGGATCAAGTACCGCCACTACTTCAAGGTGCTCAAGCTGCTGCGGAAGAGGATCGCCTACAGCAGAACCAGGCAGCTGCGAGCCCTGCTGATGAAGAAGCAGATGGCCCGGCTGAAGGAGCACAAGCTGCCCCTCATCAAGAGGCTGGTCAAGAAGTTCGTTCCCGCCCGGGAGTCTCCGCTGCGGAATCCTCCCAGTCTGAAGGGCCTGAGTGTCTCCGCTCTGAACTCCTCGGCGTTCAGGAGCAGCTTGCTGAGCGGGACGGACCGGGAAACGGTCATCAAGAGTGGCTACAACTGCAGGGAGAAGACTGAGGAGAAGGAATTGGCGATGGAGATGGAGATGGAGGATCCCAGCTTGGACACCAACTCCGTGGAGCTGCAGTCGAACTTCAAGGGCTTCGACGACATCGAAAACACAAACTTGTCGCCGGCAGTCAAGCTGCGAGTGGAGCCGGAGGAGCACGGAGGCACGGAACCGCCAGTCGAGGACCTTGTCCAGAACAAGGAGGAGCAGATTCAGGCCTGGCTGGAGAGCAGCGTGGTGGCCACCCCGGAAAGCGAACCTCCCAAGCCGGAGGCCAGCACAACTATTGCGTCGCCCGCTTCATCCTCTTCGAGCTCGAGTTCCAGTGGCTCCAGCTCGGATGACGACTCCAGCAGCACGAGCAGCCAGGAGGACGAGGAGGGCTCGTCCAGCAGCACCAGTTCCAGCAGTCCCAGCTCCCAGAGCTCCTCGGCCGCGGAGGAGAGCGACTTCAACGAGCTGGCCGCCCTGGAGAAGGAGCTGTCCCAGTCGCAGACCGAGGAGCCCAAGCGGGAGCTCTCCCCCCTGAAGGCGCAGGAGATTACCCCAGGCGAAATGGCGGAGAAAGAACACCGAGGAGCGGAGGTCTCCAACCACGACATTGCCAAACTGAAGCGGATCCTGGAGAGCGACGGCGAGGAGCTGGCGAACGGCTCCCAGCTGGCCAGCGTACCAAAGCTAAGTGACCTTAGTAAGATTGCCTTAAATAGTTCCTTAAAAAGAAGAGAGTTAGTCGTAAGCGAGAACGGGGAAGCCGAGGAGCAGGAACGGGAACCTGAGGCGGACCCGGAGGCGGAACACCCTAGCGAGAGTGGAGGAGATCCTGCTCCCCGAGAACTGAGCGTGGAGGAGGCGCTGGCCGAGATGTACCAGCAGATAGGCGTGGCCTCCGACCCCGAGGACTTCGAGGTCGAGGGCAAGGAGGAGGGTGAGGAGGCGAGCGCCAACGCGCAGGACGTGCTGCTGATCAACCTGGCCGAGATCTTCGACTCCAGCAGCGACCTGTACGTGGTGCAGTGCGACATGAACGAGAACATCCTGGGCGTGGTGGCCAACGAGGAGCAGGAGGAGCTCGAGGCGGAGAACGTCGGCCAGGTGAACCTCGTGCAGGTGAGTCCCGAGGAGGCGGGTGGTGGTCAGGTGGACACCCTGCAACTCATCCAGCTGCTGGCGGAGCCGCAGCCCGAGTTCGACGCCACGCCGCTGATCCACCACGAGGAGATCATCCGCGACGAGCAGCCCGACCCGCACGGGGACCGGCGGGAGCTGCTCCGCTACCTGCACGGCAAGTACGTCCAGAGCAGGATCAGCCGCTTCTACCACGCCCACCGCGTCCTGCGCAAGTACAGGCGGCAGCGGGCCAGCAGGAAGCGCCCCCGCCAGATCAAATAGGACTCCAGCTTCAACCAAAGATATTTCTGGTCCCTGGACAGGATCAGATGTGTCCGGCTCGCCTGATGCCGGATGCCAGGCGAAGGACACACCACACACCAAACACCACACACACGCGTAGATACACCACAGAAGAAAACTACACTTTACCAGAATCTCAAGACTTTTTAAATATTTGGATTAACGTAGGAAACGGAAACGGAAACGGAATATAGCGTACGGTAGCTATAGTCGTTGATTTAGGGAACCATTACTTGTAAACTTTTACGATACTTACTTTACACCTACCACATAGAGTCATAGCGTACCGTATACATACATATATTAACCATATATTTTAGATATCTGTGCAATATTTACATGGAAATGTCGTGTTTATCTGGAATGCGCGAATTCGAATCTCGACGGGTTAAGCATGAGTAAGCAGCGTTAGACGATAGACGAGGGTTAACCGGGGGTCACTCGGGGAGTTTGGGGAGTTTCGGTCCGAGTCGCGTGCAATTAACCAGATACCAGATACATATACATATTTTATCGGCTAATGTATCTGCGTTTTAGCCGCTCAGCGAGCCGGGCCATTTTAAAACGCTTTTCGCCAAAGGTCAGCCGCAGATCGAGATACTCGTACATCGCAGTACGAGTACCTACTATATATATGGAATGTACATCGGGGGCAGTTGCGTGTTAGCCGCGACATTAACTGAGGGCCAAGATCCCCGCCTCCCCCGTAGCTTAGATTTTTTATTGCCACCAAATGCAGCCTAGACCAAAAAGTAAACGAAACTAAATACATCTGTTGCAACTGTTTGATCTGTTAGTTGGAAGAAGACTTTGTTTGTTTTAGTGCAATTATTCGTTAGGTTCCTAGAGCAATTTGTTGTTTGTCTTAGACTTAGGGGACACCGGGATCGTTTAGCTTTGACCCCGCATCTCTGAGCATAGAGCCCTATTCCTATACCGACCAGCAGATCGCGGAAGCTCCGTTCCGTTCCACGAGGCCCGTCCCTAATCGATGCCAGCTATATTCCGCGACTCCACGGCATAACCGATCCGGGGAGTAATCTAATTTGGGCAATTCTCAACGCTCGACTTTTGCGAAATGCGAAATGCGCAATGCGAGATGCGGATGCGGAAATCCAAGGGAAATTCAAGGGCAATGCCAACTGGGGAACAGAATCGGGGAGAATGGTCTGCAGTCCTAGAATCCTGTACAATGTAATATTATCTTATAGTCGAGACCACCTAGATGTCTTTTCTCTCGTAACACATTCCAAAGGACCAACTTTCGAAACTAACCAATACCTAATGTCTAGCTAAGCTTCTAAGTGTTCGTTTTTCATTAGTAACTGGTTTAAACTAAGTAATACGCTTAATTTTAGTACAAAAGCAGAATGCAATGCTAGCCCACTAAATGGAGTAACAACGTTAGCAGTAACGATAATATTTATTGCGCAATATGTACATACATTCCCCTCACTCCTTTGCCACTCTACACATTCCTCGATGGATATACCTACCATATATTTTCCTCTAGCTCTATTCGTGCATGTCGGAGGGTTTTCACTGTACCTTAGCCTTAAGATTTGTGACTTTATCAATGTGAGTGTCTTGAGCGAACCAAACAAAAGAAACGATATACGAAATCCTAAGAGAGAATAAATGTTTTATGTAAATGTTAACCACAGAGGTGTTTTTCTTATTGATCTTTCAAAGGATCTTCTCAAATACAGAATCTCCAAGGGTAAGTAAAGCCTTGTCTTCTATTGTACAGAAATATTGCAATTTATTTTGTAGAATTAAAAAAGAACAGCACAGTTCACAAATCTAGTATTTGCAGGCTAAAAGTAAAAAACCAACTTTTGGGGTTATCATCATCTTCATCTCTCCATCCTCATCATCATCATCATCATCTTGCTGTGACCAACCTCAGTTGATCCCTGCCTTTGGTATCGTTTCCCGCCTCTCCTTAAGAGGGCTCTTTGGTCTCTCCATCTCCGCATCGACCTCCATCCCCGAAGGCTCACTCGAAGTAGCGCTTCTTGAGGTCCGGCGGATAGGTCACGTAGATGTAGTGCTCGTTCTGACCCAGACCCGCCTCCTGCTGCACGATCTCGTGCGTGGAGGCGGAGGCACGAAGGGATTGCTGCGAGGAGCCCGCGTGGCGGTGCCGCGTGTCCAGCGGCCGCGGGTGCGTGTTGTAGTGCCGCTGGGCCTCGCCGGCTGCTCCTGCTGCTGCGGACTGTCCCTGTCCCTGTCCCGCAACCGATCCGGGTCCTGATCCCGATCCCGATCCAGCCGCCATGCCGGCGGCGGTGGGGCGCGAGGAGCTACTTGTATAGTCGCGTCGGTCTAAAATGTCCTGTGGGTAGGCCAGGCTCGTCGAGTGGCGGTGCTGCAGGTGGGGGTGCTGGCCCGGGTGCCCCGGCTGCACCACCCGGTGGTGCAGCGGCGTGTTGGCGTTGGAGGAGCTGCTGCGCCCGGCCCCTTGGGTGGGCGTGCCCACCTGCGGACCCACCGGACGCTGATCGGCGATGTAGTGCCGCGGACTGTGCCGGTGGAACTGCACCTGCTCCGGGTACAAATCCCGCACGGAGGCCGCCTGCTGCTGCTGCTGGTAGTAGTACTGCTGCTCCTGGAGCAACTGCTGCTGCTGCTGCTGCTGCTGAAGCTGTTGATGCTGCTGCTGGGCGTCCAGATCGAGGTCGTGCCGCGTGGCATAGTCCACATGGTAGTGGTGGGCCGCCGCCGGAGCGCCTGGCATGTAGATGCTCCCGCCGATGCCGCCGATGGAGCCCGGGCCGTAGTAGTGGTTCGCGCTGATTGTCGTCTCTTCGGAGCTGAAACAGACGACTTGGGTTCGCTCAATCTCAATCTCAATGGGGGGACCAGGAGGCCGGGGCACACTTACTCGAACAGGATCCAGATGATGTAGTAGCAGAAGCAGATGCCGGTGGACAGCACGAAGATCAGGATCACGATCAGGCCCCACGGGAAGGCGCGCGGCTCCAAGGGACCGTCCTCCCAGTAGCGGTCGCAGGTGAGGTACCAGCACACCGCCTTGTTCATCTCCTCTGCGGGATAAGGATAAGCATTAGTTGCTGTAAAGTATGAAGGAGTCCAGATGAAGATCTCACCCTCCATCTCCTTAAAGGCCTGGTCCGACATGGAGAGCAGCAGTCCGCCGATGCAGCTGCGCAGGAGCAGCTCGCAGCGGTTCTTCAGCCTGCTCAGCTCCTCCGGCTTGCAGTTAGCCCGCGCCTTGTTCCCGTTCCCGCTGGCGCCCGAGCCCTCCTCCGCCTTGGCCTCGTCGGCGGAGTGGCCACTGCCCTCGGTTCTCCCGCTGCCCTCCTCGTCCTCCTCCTCGTCCGTCTCGTTCTGCCTGCCGGACTCCGCGTCCGCCGCCGGTTGCAGGTGCGCCTTGCCCAGCTCCTTGAGCTTGTGCAGCAGCTTCTCGCCCGCCGACCTCGGCCTGGCCGCCGATCCGTCCTCCGGGGAAGGGGATGGATCTAGGCGAAGGGGATTGGCTGTGGTGGATGCTCGCTCTCGGGGATAGACTTTGTGGTGGTTGTGATGGTGGTGGTGGTGGTGGGTGTGGGGGTGTGTTCGCTCACCTGCCGGCGACTGATCCTGTTTGCTGGCCTGACTTGGCTTGTCTTGGAGTAATTGACGGTTTTGTACTTTGGCGGCACGCGAGGCACCCAATGTGGAAGTTCTGTGTTGGATGGACAATCAAGTAACTGAAGAGTGAGTAAAGCAGCAGAACCCACCTTGGTATTAAGCTCAAGTAGGCGGCATTCGCTTTGGCCAACGCGGAGTTCTGGCCGAGGGAGTCGCCCCAGACCTCGATGTCCGTCACGATGTGCTGGTCCCCGAACTTCAGACTGGACGCATCCTCCGTCTCGAACACCTCGCACCGCATTATGTCGCAGAAGTCGGCCAGGCAAACGGCATCCTCCGCCTGATGGGAAAACATTTAAGATTAATTCGGTTAATCGGGATGTACGCATCACAACCATAAGTTTGTGAGCTACTTATCACTACGGATTACTGTGAATCGAAAAGAGTAGCTAACCTCATTGATGATGCTCTTGTGGCGGGTGTCGAAGTGCAGGTCCAGGTGCTTCTCCTGGTAGAAGCTCTTGCCGCACTTCCTACACGTCCACTGGGTGGGTCGGTCCCTCTGCTTGGCATCCTGGCGAGGGGCGAAAACGTCCCGGAAAGGATGCAGCGGGCACTCCAGCGGCAGCTTCACCTGCAAACGAATTGATTAGAGAAACCCATCAAAAGCAAAAGCAATCAGTCGACTCACCTGATGCTTGTCCAGAATCGGAGTCCATTTGGAGCGCACTATCTTGCGCACCAGTCGGCTGTTATCTCGCGAGCAGAGGATTCTGATCACATTCGTGGGCGGCCATGGAATCAGCAGCAGAAAGTAGACCAGTGCAATCTGAAAGGGTTTCATCGAGGCCTCTTAATTTGGCACGAAACGAGGAGCACGCAACTTGCCGGCTGACCTAAAACCACCCTTCCTTTCTTTTTTGGGTCACTTAAAGTTTAGGGGAGAAACCCCGCAGAAAATCGATAGCGAAAAAATGAATGGACGGGGAGGGCAGTTGCGTCTTCGTGGAGCACGGAATCCCTGGGATTGGGAATTGGGATTGGGGACGTGGCAGGGAGCCAGGGACTCACCTCGAAATTATGATATTTAGGCGACATTCATACTATGTATTTGTGGTCGCTGTTGTTTTTCGTGTCTCTCGTTTTTCGGGCCGCAGGTGCAAGGAATTCCTCTGAATCTTTGCTCCTTTCTAGGTTAGGTTTCCTCCTTGGCTTTTTCGGGGAGTGGTGGAAAGTCGTAAGGCAGTACAGTAAATATAGCTTGCAGCTTCTTCTGTGATTGGTTTTCCTGTTACGGATTTAGCTATCTGTAAAAAAATAAAGTCCAGATTGAGCTTGTCCTACGTCCGCACGGGTGAAAATTTCTACGCTCTCTGAAAGCGAATTCGCCACTTCCTGTACCGCTTTCTCTCCCTCTCTCTCTCCGCGCTCTCTTTAGACCGTTGTCCTGCGCCAATTATCGACAGCTGAGCCAGGGTTTCTTTGACAGAGTTTATCGATGGGTTAACTTTAGTAACAGGTCCTTGTCTTAATTTGAATTTTATTAAAGATAAGCAAATACAATTAAAGCCTAATGCCAAAGTAAAACACACTTGATTCATAATTTAAATCCGTTTTATTTTGTAGTGGTTGGTTTTTGTGTTGCAATTCCTTTTTGTCGGCAGGAACTGCCTGTAGGTTTTCTTTTTTCCGCTCATCATCTTTTACTATTTTACAAAATTCTAAACTAAAATTAAATTGTTTTTATCGCACAACTTTCTTGAACAAAGTCATCTCTTGAATTGGGGGCGTTTCCAGGCCGAAAACGCCCAGCTAGGCATTTAAATACTAGTGTACAGCCGGCGAGCGCTTTCTTGAGAATGGGCGATGAGGATTCACAGTCCATTGTAGACGCGATTGATGGAGGATTGGTCGAGTATTTTCTTGAGCGCTAAAATATGAAAAATAAAAGTTGAATTAAAGGCATAAACATAGAACGTAGGCTTATCGGTTGTTGTGGGAACGTTCGAAGACACTCACCTTCCTTATCCTCTTCCGTGAGATCCTTTTTGGGGAACTCCACGTCGAAGGTGATGTACAGGTTGCCGGTGAGGTTGTTGTTCTCGAAGTTGGGCATGCCCTCGCCCTTCTTGCGGATCCTGGCCCCCGGCCACGTGACCTTCTCCCTCGTGACAGGCACCAGGTGCCCGTCCAGGTGCTTTATCTCCATGGAGAAGCCGACGAGAGCGTCCTGCAAGCTGATGGTCACATTGGTGTACAGATCGTCGTCCTTCCGCAGGAATCGTGGGTGCGGCATCTGCTGGACCCTCACGATGAGGTCTCCTGGCTCGCCGTCGATGTGGGGCTCTCCCTCGGCCACGAACCTCGTCTCCTGGCCGTCGACCATGCCCTGCTCCACCTCGATTTCGAGGGTGCGCTCCTCGTTCACGAGCTTCACATTCGGGCACTCGTCGCACACGGTTTGCTGTATCATCTGGAAGCGACCGGGTCCCAGGTTCCGCGTGACCATCTCCTGCCGGCAGTTGCACTTCCTCGTGCCCGAGGCGGGCTTCATCACGGGCTTGTTCCGCACAATCTCCACAAAGTTGCCGGAGTAGAGCTCCTCGAGGGAAGCATACAGGTTCATCACGATGTCCGCCCCCCTTGGTGTGTCCTGCTGCTGCGGGTCCCCGTTGCCGAAGTGGAAGCCGAAGTCCCCGAAGAAGCTGGAGAAGGGATCGCCGCCGTGGTCCATCATGCCCTCCTTCTTCAGGCACTCCTCTCCGCAGCGGTCGTAGGTTTTCCGCTTGTCCGGATTGGAGAGAACTTCGTAGGCGGCACCCAGGTCCTGGAATTTGGTGGAGGCATCTGGGTCGTCCTTGTTCTTGTCGGGGTGAAGTTCCTTGGCCAAGCGCCGATAGGCCTTTTTTACCTCGTTCGTGTTGGCGTTTTTCTTGATGTTCAGTATCTTGTAGAAGTCCCGCCCGGCGAAGGCCTCCTCCACCAGCAAGAGGGCCAGCTGGACCACCACCAAGCACTTGATTAGCTGCATTTCGTTTTCGAGTCCGGTTGTTTCAGTAATTCATGCTATTTTCCCGGGAAATTGAATCTTAAACGCTGGCAAAAATGTAGAATTGTGTAGTTGTCGCCGCTTGCTCGTTGTTTGTGTGTGTGCGTCGTGGTCTGCGCTGATTGGCCACCGCCGGCGGCAGGGTTGTCGTCTTTTATCGAGGCTAACAGCTGACTGCGCCTAACAGTCAGCGACAGAAGCTCTGGCAACGTTGCTTGCAGTGCTAACAGTTCTGTAAAGTACATCTGGTCACACTGGCCGAAACGCGAAGATAAATAAAGAAATAAATTGTTTAATCCAATTAAACCAGGCAAGCTGCAGGTTTGTCGCTTATGTGTGGTTGTTTAAGGTTCTTCGCCAACACGCAAGTGCTCTTATAAATAGTTGGCTACCGGATTTCAGCTTACTAACGAAGACGTCCAGGCTTAAGTTTCGAGGTAAAAGTAATTGAAATTCAATAATCCTCTTGAATTAGGCCTACATAACGGTATTTTTTGGAATTTCAGGCTGTTTTAATAGGGATATTAACCACAAAAGCGGGAATCCCCGTAAAACTATTGCAATTCCATAATTACGCATAATTAAGTTCAAGGCCAAACGAAACTGCAACTGTGTGCGAGATTAAAGAGGTGAGTAATTCATCACTTTACTTATTCAGCCGGTAATTCAGTGTAATAATACGTGATAATTTGCGGCAGAGAGAATCGCAAGTCGATGATGTCAACAATGCTTAGCTTAGCTAAGTCAAAGAGCAGGGCTTGCACTTTTAAAAATCCGAACATCCCATTAGGTTGCGAATTTATTGCTGTTATTGACAGTGAAACCTGTTCCAATCGAGTTCTCACTTATATAACCACCGCTTCTAGGATTACAAAGAAGACCAGTAATCTCAATTGTAGGATAATCATAAAGTGGAGAAATTTGTCTAACTTTTAAGTTTGATTTAGAGATCTTCCACTGTAGTCGCGAACCCCTTTTTCCCTGTTATCAGTCGTTGAACAAAGACGAGTACATAGTATAGAGCCCAATAATCCGACAAAAACAAAACTGAGTCAGCCAATAAGAGTAAACAAAGGAGTAAAGAATGAATTCAAGTTTCAATACGATATGCACTAGACTTCTGATAAAAAGAGGCCCCGTTTTTATTACATATGTAGGTATGTATGTCAAATCTTCCGTTTGATGTGTACAATACAAAGAAGATATAGTATGCTAGAGTAGATTTGGCTTAGCACATGTCAACCGGCTAATCGATATCTCCCGAGAGCTTATCTTATCGGTGCCATAAATAGGAACCCCTTGTGAGCGTTTGCATGTACCAAACATCTTGAACAAGCGCAAAAAACAAATGAAATGGCCAAGAAATGCGGGTATTACCAAGATAAGGATTTTTATCTAGCATTTCAAGCTGCCGATCTGTGCCAATTAGCGTCCAGCAATCCCATTCACATTTTTGGGCTCATTTAGGATCAGTGAAATAAATAAAATCGGCGGTTATCCATTTAAAAACGACGTATCTACAGGTCTATTGTTGTCCAAATAAAAAATATTTAGAGCTTTTGGAAGCGTACATTTTTGAACCTTCTATCATGCAAACATTCCCGATTAGCGAAATCCTAAGATTAGTTAGTAGTAAACGTCAAGTGGCTCCATTTAAAGACCACAAGAAGTCCGCTGGCCATCAGTTTCTCCCTGCCAGGGGACGCGTGCGGTTGTGATATTTCCCATAGTGCCTGGTCTGGAGTACTTTCGATCCGCCTCGATTGGGATTTAGTAAGTGTTGGGCTCCTCAACAGTGGCAAGTGCTTCCTGACTGGGGAGATCTGCGGATGTCTGCACTTGAAGTTGGCTGTACGGCGAGTGGACTGTCCCCGTAATCTTCTCCAGCTGTCAGGGCGAGTGCAGCGGACGTAGACCGCTCATTCAAATACGAACGGACCTAATCGCAGATGCTTATCGAATACTTAAGCAGGGACAAAACAGCGATTAGCCGGGTGTTTTTGCTAATGTTAGAAACTCTGCAGGGTGTCAGGATGGCTGAAACCGGGAACAGTCGAATAAAAATTCCCCGATAAGCCGCGATACGGTTTATGGACACTGATTATGCAAGCGAAAATAACCCAACGGACTCTGCTCCACTTCCAGATGCAACGCAGTGCCTGAAAGGAATTGATCGCTGCCCGAATCCTTGGATCTTCCGCATCCCACATATCCCACCATGTGCTGCAAGTGCTGCGGGGAAACTCAACGCAAGGCCTGGGTCTTCGGCCTGGGATCGCTCTTCCTAGTGCTCGGAATACTCGTCGTGGTTTTCTGGCCCGGTATTGCCGATAACCTCGTGGAGGATGTAAGTACACTTCATTAAGGAAACAAATTTGAAATTGTAAAATCCAAAAGTAGCAGTTTTAGTTACTAGTTTTCTGCCGAAGATCCATAAACTGAGTAATTAGACCATTAAACTTATCAAGTCCGTGTTATTTATAAAGCAGCTGTGTTAATTGGCATTTAATAGAATAAAAACAAAGAATGTTAGTATTGACCCAAGACCATTATTCAACAAATGCGTTTTCATTTTCCTCTGTTATATTCTGATATTAACTGATACGATCTCAATAGCCCTATCAAATATTTTTCTTTTGATTGGTTATTATTTGAAATTAAAGATTTATGGCTCAAATTCAAATTAATACGTTGATTGCAAAGATTTTAAGTCCTTTTGATTTAGAGATAAGATAACAGAAATTTATGATTTATTATCTAGCTACACCAATTTACATTTACAAAGGCACTAATAACTTGTTTTTCTGTTTCAGGGCCTCACCCTGAAGCCTGGCACCGACACCTACGACAGCTGGCTGGAGGCACCCATCCCCATTTACCTCAGCTTCTACATGTTCAACTGGACGAACCCCGAGGACATTAGAAACCCAAACATCAAGCCGAACTTCGTGGAAATGGGTCCGTACACCTTCTTGGAGAAGCACAAGAAGGAGAACTACACGTTCTACGAGAACGCGACGGTGGCCTACTATGAGCGCCGGACGTGGTTCTTCGACCCGGAGAGATCCAACGGCACCCTGGACGACCTGGTGACCGCTGCCCACGCGATCACCGCCACGGTGGCGGACGAGATGCGGAACCAGCGCAAGATCGTCAAGAAGATCATAAACTTCATGTTCAACCGCGAGGGCGGCGAGCTGTACACCACGAAGCCGGTGGGCGAGTGGATCTTCGACGGGTACCAGGACAACCTCACCGATTTCCTGAACCTGTTCAACACCTCCATGATCGACATTCCCTACAAGCGCTTCGGCTGGCTGGCTGATCGAAACGAGTCGCTGACCTACGACGGCCTGTTCACCATCCACACGGGCACCGACGACATATCCAACCTGGGCCGACTCACCCACTGGAACGGAAAGCCGCAGACCGGCTTCTACGATATGCCCTGCGGAGTGGTCAACGGCACCACCGGCGACTTGTTCCCGCCCAAGATGAACGTGAGGGACGAGATCACGGTCTTCGCCACCGACGCCTGCCGCTTCTTGAACCTCCGGCCGCAGGGCACCTATGAGAACCACGGCCTGACCGCCACCAAGTGGGTGGGCACCGAGGAAACGCTCGACTCCGGGGAGAACTACCCGAACCAGAAGTGCTTCTGCGACGAGGCGCGATTCGGCGATGAGTGCCCCAAGACGGGCGTCGTCGAGTGCAAGGAGTGCCGCGACAAGGCGCCCATCTACTCCTCCTTCCCGCACTTCTACCTGGCAGACCAGTCGTACATCGATGCTGTCAGCGGAATGAAGCCGGAGAAGGAGAAGCACGAGTTTTTCCTGGCCGTGGAGCCCACCACCGGAGTGCCTGTCCAGGTGCACGGCCGTATCCAGATCAACATGATGATTGAGCCCGACGACGACTTCGAGTGAGTATCAAATGAAGCGGAGTAACCGTCACTATATAGAGTATTAATAATTTAAATTTACTTGCAGCATCTATCGCGGTGTGCAGAAGGTCCTGATGCCCATGTTCTGGTTCGACCAGTACGCAGAGCTCTCCGCCGACCTGGCCTCCAAGGCCAAGGTAAGCGTTAACTCGCCATTGAAATCCGATCCATGCTAATGCAATGCTGCCCCTTTCAGTTGGCCATCAACCTCTCCAGCTATGGAATAATCTTCGGCTACTCAGTGATTGCCTTTGGCAGCATCTTCCTCATCACCGGCATCACGTTGACCGTGACTAAGAAGTGGGTGCGACGGGCCCCCGAGGACGAGGACATGCTGACCAACTAGATGTTAGTAGTATTAAGCGCAGCCAAAGTGCCAGGACTTGTTAACTCCCCTAGTTCATTCTGATAGTCGCGACTCGCTTGTTGTTCGTTGCCAGTTACGCGTTATGTAATATGTAAGTGATACCGATCGGCGTTCGTCTTGCATCTTGTGATAGCAAAGCCTACTCTTAACCTAACCAATCCCTACTCTACCGGCAGTATCAGGATGCCGCCTACAAATCATTTCCAAGCCAATACGTTCTGATGGAGATTTTACTTATGGTAGTCGTTAAACCAAATTACACTAAACTAAAACACACCAACACAATTCGATTTTACTTTTCATTTTATTTTGAAAGATAATTTTTACAATTTTTGAATTTTTACTCATGGACTTTTTACTTATCGTATACGATTGTTGGATGTTTCAACGGTTTGCTTTATAAATGCATTAATTGAATGTTGATGTTTTGTAAAATAATAAATTATAGTAATTGTATATGCATATATATTTATTTATATATATATGTATTTGTGTTTATGTAAGATATATGGCAAAAATTTAACATTTTCTCAAAGATCACATTCCTCAATTTAGCCATAGACTTTTAGTCGAGAAAAATCTACGCAAATATTTGTGACATCCATCAAAAACTCGAAATCATTTTTGCACGCACACTCACACATCCAAAAAGTGTTGGGATTAATAATCGAACAAAAAATAATAAAACAAGTGGATATAAAATAAATCAAAATCAAAATCGTCTCTCGCTTAAAATTACGGTGGGGGTGGAGGGCAAGTCTAGGCACTCTTGAAATTCTTTAGTTCCTCTCGTCCAGCGACCGAATCGGACTTAAATCGTTGAACCGCTTCATTACCGATTCGAACGAACGATCCTCGCCCGATACGTTCGCTGGCCCGATTCGTTGTGAGTTGAGTATGTGTGTGTTTCGTGTGAGGGCGATCGCTACGTACTAAAAATTTGCATAGCTTGCATACTTTGTCGTATGTGGTTGCGTTGTTCCTGCTGACTAAGGTAGTTGTAAATTTAGCGTAAGTTTAAATAAAATCAATCACAGTTGTTTGGGCGGAAGTAGTTAGTTAGTGTTAAGTATTCGCGTTTCTGGCCTAACTAAGTATTTGCAGCTAAGACTAAGGTCCTACGAAGTAGTTGGTTAATTAAGTAGTGCTCGTATATTATACTTGAGTATTGTTCCTTCCCGATTCTGTTCGTTCGTCCTGCTTCGTCCTGCCTCGTCCTATTCGCTTTCTCTCTCTCTATTTCTCTATTTCCGATGGTGGTTCCGATGGTGGTCGTTGTGGCTTGTGCTGTGGCTACGTTACCGATTCCCTAAGTGACTAGACTGGGTTCTGATTGATTCAATGCGTGTCTGAGGTTAGTGGCTCTCGTCCTGGTTCTGTAGTGGTTTCTTGGTTTACTGGCTTACTGGTTGCTTTGTTAGTCTAGCTTTTGACTCGGTGCTGTTCAGTTGGTTCACTGTTCGTTCTTCTGTTTTAGTCTAAGTTCTTTGAAAATCTGGCTTTGTTGGCTAAATGCAAGTTGGTTAGTTGGTTGGTTAGTTCCTGTCAGGCTCTCACTCACTGCTGCTCTCTTAACTGGTCTTTCCCTGTGGGTTCTGTTCACCCCTCCTGCCCAGCGAATCCCTACCTTCCGAAACACTGTGATCGAAAATGGAAAACTCTCTACACACTTCTTCGATCTATGCAAATTTCCGGACGCAGGACACCTCTCGCCAGCGAGCACACAAATACCTCAGCACTTCGAGCGGCATCGAACTAGAGAGAAGAGTGTCGTCTTGGACCCCTTGGTCCACTTCCGTTTCCGTTTCCGTTTCTGGTTCCGCTTCCGGGTCCGTTTAGCTGGTCTTGTGGTGCTGCTGCTGGTGATGCTGCTTCATCATGACCGCGGGGTCGATCACGTAGTTGTTGGCCTCCGCCAGCTGCTGGACGGGCAGCGGCGGCAGCTTGTCCTGCGGGTGGCGGTGGCTCACGGTGGAGCCCTTGGAGGAGCGCATCTTGCTCAGGGTTCCGCCCCCCGAGGAGTGGGAGCCACCGTTCGTGGTGGCTCCCGACGGCGGCGAACTACCGACGGCGGGCATCGGGATCTCCTGGCCCGTCTTCGGGTTGACCATCACCTTGGTCTGCTTCAGCAGCGAGCGGTCGTTGCAGAGCGCCGAGATGAGCGGCAGGTCCAGGTGCTTGCTCTTCTCCCGGAGCAGCGCGATGTCCAGGGCCTGGGCTTGGGCCTGGGCCTGCGACTCGGCGGCCATCGAGGCCTGCAGCTGCGCCAGGATGCTGTTGTTGCCCCGGCCCATTCCCAGCCCGAGATCGGGCCTGGGTCGCTCGCCCGCCCACTGGGCGCCGCTGGAGGTCTTGGTCAGCGGCGAGTTGGCGTGGTGCGGATTCAGCGTGGGTGGTTTCCGCGGCGGCAGCAGGCTCATCATGCTGGGACTGGGCTTCGAGGGAACTGAAAGGCAGTAAGAGATTGTCAGGAAGTTGCTTTGAAGGAACGGTATGTATTATATTAAGCGGGAGCTAAGGGAGATTGGTTAGAAGTTGCTTTGAAGAGAGAACAAGATATTCCCACTTCTCTGAGGAAGGATTTCAGCTGGAGTTACTGACAGGGTAACACTGGTTTCTACTCACTTGGAGGCGGCTTTTCACTGGGCGCCGGCATGGGCGGCTTCTTCAGTCGCCGGTTGACGTAGGGCGGCGGAGGAGGCGGCGGCAGGCGCTTCCCCTTGGGCAGCGAGTCGAGCGAGTTCAGAATGTTGTCGTCTGATCGCGATCGCGCGAACATCGAGGAGGCGGCGGCGGCGGAGGAGCCACTGGCCAGAGCCGCGGGGTGCAGGGGCGGCGGCGGGGGCGGCTCGTAGGAGGAGCAGAGGCTGGCCATCGAGGGCGAGTAGAGCGGCGAGTAGCTCGCTCCCGGCAGCTGGACGTAGGTGTCGGACAGGTTCTGGGTGGAGGCGTACCGCGAGTGGGTGGACAAGGCCAGCGGGAGGTAGGGCGTGCTCCGGTAGATCGCCGGCGAGACCTGCATGGCCAGGTACGGGTGGTGGGGAGGGGGCGGGGCCGCCTGGGCCATGGCCGCCAGGAGGGAGCCCTGCTTGGCGTCCAGGTACTCCTGCTGGCTGACCGCCGGATCCTGGATGGGGTAGATGACGTAGTCGACGTCGCTGTACAGCTGCTGCTGGTACAGCTCCAGCTGCTTGCGGGCCAGCTCCCGTCCGTAGAGGTGCCCGGCCAAGTGGGGATGGGGATGGTGGTTCTGGTGGCTGGGCGGCGGCGGAGGAGGCGGCTGGCGGGGCAGGCTGGGCGGCGGCGGGGGCAGGAACTGGCGCGGCTTGATCACCGGAAGGAGCACGCAGGACTGCTGGTGGTGCAGCGAGGCGGTGCTCTTGTGCAGGCCGTAAGGAACTATTGGGATCCCGATGGCCGCCGACCCCGAGTGGCGGTGGTGCGCCGCCGCCGGCAGGTGGTGCTGGTGGTGGCTGTGGTGGTGCAGCGAGGCCTGCGAGCCGCCGGCGTAGTTGGAGTTGTGCAGCGACTGCTGGCTCAGCTGGCTCATCTGGCTCAGCTGGTGGCTGCTGCACACAGATCCGTTCGAGGAGGCCACCGAGGAGCAGTGGTGCGGGGCCGCGTAGCTCGGCTTGGCTCCGTCCGGGAGCAGGCTGGTGTGCGCCTTCAGGATGCTGATCTGCGGCCGCGTGGTGATGAAGCGGGCCGTCACCTCCTCGGACTTCAGGGAGCTCATCGAGCCGGCGGCACTGGGTGGCAATGCGGGGTTGGCCGAGGAGCTTACGGATATCAGGGAGGTGGGTCGCGGCTTGCTGGCGCTGGAGTACGGCGGCGGATCCCTCCTCCGCAGGGCGGCAGGCGGGGCGGGAAGTGGTGCAAGTGGTGCCACCGGCGGACTGCAGGGCGGCGAGTCCGGCTTGGGAGCCACCACTGCCACAGGTTTGGGCACTACTGACTTGGCTTGGATCGGTGGTCCGCAGAGTCCCGTCTTCTCGTGCCTGGCGCTGTACGGCGGTGGAGGAGCTGGCGGCAGCTCCTGCTCCTGGTGGTGGTCCTCCTCCGCTCCTCCACTCTCACCACCCATTGGCAGCGTCACGTAGTCGCAGTCCGAGTGCAGGCTGCTGGAGACCGTCTTGCGGCTGGGGTAGGTGCCCCTGCCCACGATCAGGTTGGTCAGCTCCTCGGCGGAGAGCAGCGAGTGCTTGTTGTCCGTGGGGTCGCTGCCGTCGCCGCGGAAGGAGCTGCTCGTGCTCACATTGGAGTCGGAGCGCAGGCGGAACTCCTCCGTCTTCTTTCCATCCACGGAGTTGGTCCGGGTCACGTGGTCCTCCTCCTGCAGCTTCTGCGGCTGGAAGAGCCCGTAGTGGGAGCTCTTCTCCGACTCGGCCAGCTCCGAGGACTGGCCGGTGAGCTCGCTGCTGTGCATGGTGTACACCCCGGAGGTCTCCGTGGGCGGCGCTCCGTGGGCCAGAGTGTACACCCCCGAGGCCCCGGACACGCTCTCCGTCTCCACGTCCCTCGCGGAGGTGGACAGGAAGTCCTCGGGACTGGCCTCGCTCAGGGCGGAGTTCTGGGCGGTGTGACTAAAGCCCAGCTCCAGACTGGAGGAGGTGGAGTGCACCGGAACGGGCGCTCCCACTGCGGGGGAGGATCCCGCTCCGCTGGCCGCTGGCGAGGTGACCACCACGGTGCTGCAGGTGGAGGAGCACTGGGAGCCGATGTTGTGCTGCGAACTGGGCGAGTCCGTCGCCGTCGAGGAGTCGTTGTTGGCGGCGCCAATGGAGGAGCTCCGCTGGGCGGAGGAGGAGGTGGCCAGCGCCATCGCCATCGAAGTGGCCACCCCGCTGGAGGTGGCGTCCGGCGGCGTCCGCACGCTCAAGGCGGCCAGCTGCTCCTCCAGGTCCTTCAGCGACATCTGGCCCACGCTGGAGGTCTGCCTGCTCACACTGGGCCTGTCCAGGAGGTGGGCCAGCGCCAGGCTCTCGGTGGAGGGGGCGGCGAGGGGCGCGGGCGGGGTGTTGATCATGATCTCCAGCTCGTCCTCGGAGTGGACGCGGTCGCTCACGATCCCGGAGGTGGTGTTCGAGCTGGTGCTCGAGATCACCGAGATGCGCTGCTCGTTCTTGCTCTTGTAGGGCAGCAGGAGGCTCCGGGAGCAGGCGTAGCTGGCGTGGAGGCGCTGCGACTCGGCGGCCTCCTCCTCCTCGCGCTTGGAGACCTCCTTGAGGCGGGCGGCCAGCTTCATGCTCCACTGGTGGGTGTCCTTGCAGAGGGTCAGCAGCAGCTTGTTCTTCTCGTCGGAGGCCGCGTACAGCGTGATCCGGCTCTCCCCCGAGCGGATCTCGAACTTCTTCCGCTCGAACGAGAGCTTCGTGATGTTCGGCCAGAGGAAGGTGGTGGCCTCTGCCGCCTCGCTGCCCTCGCAACCGCCTCCTGCCGCTCCTCCCAGGATCTTGATGCCCTTGGCGTAGACCACGAACCAGGCGCTGCCCGATCCCTGCTCGCTCTTGGCCAGCCGCATGCGGTAGGTGTGCGCGTTGATGGTCTCGTGCAGGCTGCACGCCTGCTGGATGTACAGCAGCTCCGCCTCGGCGGCGGCCATGCCCAGGTGCTCCCGGTGGCAGGCGCGCATCGCACTCCTCGCCCACGCGGTGTGCAGTCCGCCGGGCAGGTACTCCTCCATCCGGAAGTAGTCCGCCCCGCTCGAAGGCAGGCTCGGCGGCAGCGGAAGAGGGACGGAGTCCCGCTTCGAGGTGGAGGCCACGTAGGTGGAGAGCCGCAGCATCCGCTCGTTGGCCCGCTTGCTGATCTTCGGCAGCGTGGTGGTGGCACTCAGTCCCCTTGCTCCTCCGGCTGGCGATGGCGATGGGGATGCCGCCGCCTCCTCGCCCGAGTCCTCCTTGGAGTGGCCAGTGCCCGCACCCGATCCCGATCCCGATCCAGGAGGAGCGTCGCCCAGGTCCGCCTGGAGGGCCAGGCCGGACAGGAAGACGAGCGCCTGCTCCGCCTGCTCCCGCGGCAGCTCACGCTGCAGGATGTTGTGGCGCAGCTGCAGGTAGTAGTTGTGGCGGGAGGTCTCATCTTTCAGCATGAACGGACTCTCGATGTAGAACTGCACGCGGAAGTGTAGCTCCAGGAGCGGTCGTCCATTGGCATCCAGGCCCTGAGATCGGGACAAACAGGAATTACTTTCTATATTCCTTCTTTGCTTCGGAGGATATATACTCACGTGGGTGTGCGAGGATCGCCAGCTCTTCGGGCCGTATTTGGAGAGCTTGCTCTCGGGATCTGCGAACATGTACTCGCCATCTGAAAAATCAGAGAATATAAATATGATTAGTAAATAAGATGAAGATAAATTCAAATATAAATACATTATACGTTCATTCATTAAATCATTTCTCAAGCCCATTGATGCCACAAGTTCCTTGAGATATGTATCGGTTGTCAAGTCGGATTCCATCTCCCGACTGAATTTCCGGTTGGGCGAAGGAACTTTTTGGCGCGCAGCCGCCAAGGTCGCTAATCAAAATTTTAAATGAACTTTCGGCTATGCGAGAAAGGGAGGACTAAATCGGATCGAGACCCCGACCAGACTTCTGTCAGTTTGTCAGGCAATAAACAAGCAGCCCATTGACATCGACAAGAGTCAGGGGCTCCGGCAGACGAAGGCGATGGAAACGATGGAGACGATGGAGACGACGGTGATGACGATGACGACACGTCAGGCTGTCAGATGCCCGTTGCCCGATGGTCGATGGTCGATGGTAGAAGAGGAGACCGGTATATAGACCGGGTCATATAGCTTTAGCTCCAGCTCCGATCCGATCCGAACCGAACCGATCCGATTGGAGCAGAAGGGCCCAAGGGCATGTCGGCGGTGCTCGAGAGGGCAGGGAAGACGAAGACGAAGACGACAACGAAATCAACACACACTTCATCGAACGAAAAATTGGAATTCCTGCATACGAAATGAAGAGCAGCAAGATGGAAAATAATAATTATGAGAAGGCAGGCTGGCAAGCTGGCAAGCTGGCAGGTTGAAGGGGCCACGCCGTGGATGTGGAGTCGAGGAGCGAGGAGCGAGGGGCACATCCACGGCATCGCAGCATCCACAACACGGCAGCAGCAGCAACAATATCATAATAATCATCAGCGGCCGAATAAGTGCCTATCAATGACGTCGTGGACGCGGAGTTGGAGTTGGAGTGGAAGTGGCAGCCAGTGGATGGATGCTGGGGGAGAGGAGCTGTTCGAGTTGGAGACACTCGAAAAAAAAAGTATTAAATGTGGCTACACCAATTAACAATTAATTTGAGAGAACTAAAAGGAAGACAGTTTTCACTTTTCTTTCTAAGACAACTTGAGTAATCTCTTTTATTAAAACTGCAATTAAATTGTTATAAATATTCAAAGAGTTTCCTCTTTCGGCTCAGTGTAGAAACGGAGCGAGAGCGAGTGTTGCATACCAAGCCCAAAACGCAGCGACCAAAAAGCCGGAGAGAAAGAGGAAAAAACAGGTAGAAAGACAGGTAAGCAGCGCTGGAAAAGAGGCAGCTGAAACCCAAGTCGCTCGTCGCTGGTCGCTCGTCGCTCGGTTTTCAGCCGCAGTTTTCAGCCTCAATCCTCAAACCCCAAACCTCGAGCATCGAGCATCGGGCCTCGCAACTCCAAGCGATTTCTTTTCGCATTCAAATTTCACTCCACTCGAGGAGGAGTTTTGGCCAATGGCCCTCGAATGGAATGCGTTCCTGCACGGAGGAGGAGGAGTCCTCCGACCACTGCGAGTTCTGCGAGCAGGTGTGAAGGCCAGAGGAGTCGCATCTGAGGTAGCCAGCCAGCCACTCGGCGGCTGACGGATCCTCACGCAACCCGCGTCCAGCGTTCCATTCTACGTCGTCCGCTCCCCGGCGGCAAGACCTAATAATTAACATATTTTCCATCGCATTCCTCAGCGCTCACAATTAACACGCACGCACACCGCTCGTGGAGGAGGCAGTCCGAGGGGGCAGCGAAATAAATCTTCAATTTGAAACACATGCAACACAAATTACAGCCTCAAAAGCAGAGGCAGCAGGCAGAGGCAAACCAAAGGCGAAGGCGAAGGCTCATCAAGCGGAGGAATTCCAGAGGTAATGGCAGGAGGAGGAGGGTCTGCTCGGAGATGGGGTCTCGAGCTGGAGGAAGATGCAGGAAGAGAACGAGACGGAGACGGAGACGGAGTCGGAGACAGCTGCGCCCAATGCCATGGCCTGGCATTCTTCAGATTCAGATTTATTTTCCAAAAGGTTGCAGTCCGAGTTTGAGTGGCCATAATAACCAAAAAAAAAGGTGCCTGGTAAGATTAGACGAAGAAATACCCTGCAAGAAAATGACTTTTATTACTTAGTGAAAACTTAGTAAAACTTATCTATCAAATTACACTTATTCTTAAACCGAAAACATTATGAAATCCTTTGGTTTATATGTAAGGAAAAGCCACATAAATTCGTTTTTAAATGCCAAAAGTTCGATCACAGCCTGGAGGTTAATTGTGGAGTTTATAGGGTATCCCAAGAATGGACAGACTCGGCGATAAACATGTGTGTGTGTGCATCGAAACTGGCTGAAGGAAAAAAGAGAACGAACGACGAAAAAAAAAAACATAAAACCAAAAGAATTTTAATTTCCGATGTTATCAGATGCACGCAGCCCGAAGAGAAGGGAAGGGGAGAGGGGCAAGGAGCTAGGGGAAGGGGAAGGAGAAGGAGGAGGAGGAGGGACAGCCGCTGCAAGGCCGAGTGTCCAAGTCCAAAGATTGAAGACGAAGACGAAGACGAACCAGCCAACGCCATATAATAATGATTATGAGCCATTAACAATAAATGGAAAAGAAAACGCTGGTCTACAGATTACAGCTACAAAGGGGGCGGGGCCCAGTAAAAAGGGGCGGGGAGATGACGATGAGCCGGGGGAAACCGAACCGAAAAGGTTGCCTCCTGCCCCGGAATGCGGCAGCGGAATCCGAGCAATGCGACGGCCTAAAAATAACACCAATCGCGGAGGATGACCACTCGGATGACCACTGACAATGTTGCAAAGTTGCCATCGGCCATCGGCCATCGGGAATCGGGAATCGGGCGAGTGCCACTTAAAGTGCATCTTCGCCGCGATTCAGCGACTCGGCGATTCCGAGGGAGCAGCGCGAATTTGCATAAAGATGAAATTTATTGACGCTGGCCGGCCATAAAATTGAAATTCATTTCCATCGCCGTCAACGGACGCAGACGGGACATCATTTTGGCCATTTTCTGTCTCCATTTTTTAAGGGCCAGGCCAAAAAAATCGAAAGACTTAGGCAACGAACTCGGAAACGGAGCAGGAGCAGACATTCCAGACTAGCTATTCAAACCAGATGGGGGTACACTGAAAGTTCGTTCTTGGTAACCAATAAAATAAGAAACCCACAACTGTTTTACTCTTTCATTAAAGAAAGTCTACATTCAAATAAAGAGTCTATTAAATACTAAAACCTCTGAAATATTGTAGTATCTGATTGAAGTGATAGCTAACAGAACTTCTAAACCCTCGCATTGATAATATTTTTCTGGATTATTACTTTTCTCTTCCTTTCAAACTTGGTGATATTTTTCAGTGTCCTACCTCTGAGGTTGGGTGAAAGAGTGCGGCGCGAAGTGCTGGGAAGCGCGGACGGCGATGGACGGACCTGAATTCAGCGAAGAAGAACAACAGCGACATAACCGCATGCCACTCACAAACACACTGTCAACTGGCATTGGCATTGGCATTGGCAGGAATCCTTGGCCACAAACCGTATATGTCACACACACACACACACACAGACAGACGCGAAAGCAGAATGCAAACTGCCAATTTCATAGTTGAGCCAGAGGAATCCTCGGCGAGGCGAGGACGTTGGCATGCCCAGACCCATCTTCGGATTCGGATTCAGTTGAGGCTGCATCCACAGCTCCACAGCTTCAGCAGCGAGTCCGGCCTCAAACTGCATACCAAATTCTTTGCTGAAGATGTTGGGGCCACTTGCACGCTCCCCTGCCTCTTGCCACGAAATTGATGCCAACCAGATTCGAAAATTTACGTGTTGTGTTCTTGGGCTCTTGCTCTAACATCGTAACACAAAACGAAGGGTATGTGGGAATAGTAAGTGAGTTTGTACTACATATCAATCAAAAAGGTTTTTTGGGTTTCAGAAATTAAGAATTACTTTTCACTATTTTCCTAATAACATCCTTATACCAGCTCCCTTTCTATTGAGTATCTTTTAAGGAACATTTCCCCTTCAGAGTAGGAAAACTTCGACTTGCTGCAAGCGGCATTGCTCGCTCCTTTCTCGTTTGCTCCTCCCTGGAACCACTCGTCCCCTCCATATGGGAGTGCTTGTGGGCCTTTGCAGAACGCATACATCTGAGGCCGCTGCCAAAGAGGTTGTCTGCTCGTTCTCCGGAGCTCTGGGCTCCTCCATCCTACAGCCTTCGTCCTCCATCCTCCATCCTCAGTTCTCCATCCTCGAAACTCCATCCTCCTTGGCTGTCGTTCGATTCGTTTGTGTTAATGCAACGCGCGACGGCTACCTGAATTACTGAACACGCGTCTTGTGTCTGTTCCCCTGCAGCTGCCCCTCCCCCTCCCCTCCGCCCCTTTCGTGGGCTGCCCCCTCCCCTCCCCCTGCCCCTCCCGGGTGCCTGAAATTGTTTGTTCGCCATGGAGGCGACGCGTTCCCTGGCTTTTTGTTCGTTTTATGTGCCATTTTTTGTGTTGCTCCGCTGTGTTGGTATTTTTATGTGTTTTGGCAGATCGCTTTGGCCAGAATCGAGGATGGTAGATGGTGGATGGTCGATGGTCGATGGTAGATGGAGGTTGCAGGATGGAGAATGGAGGCTGAATCTTCCGCTCTTTTTGCTGCTGCTGCTGCGGCTGATGATGATGAGCAGCTTTTAGAGCGGACTGGTTTATGTTTATTAGTTGTATTTTTCATGCCTTATCGCTGGCATTTGGCTACTCGCAACTCGGCAACTCGGAAACGACTGGCTGCAACCTGGAACCCCAGAAAGCGGACTGCGGACTGAGGAGTGCGCTACTCACCTATGAGCACAGCCAGACCGAAGAGCTCGGTGTCCAGCATCCCTTGCGTGGCAAAGTGCAGACATGTCTGCGTGTAGACCTCGCGAACCCGACTCTTGGCATCGACTAGGAAGTACAGGGTTTTCGGCTGCTGCTGCCCCAGGAGCCTGCAAATTCCACAAGAGTTAGGCAACCACAATCGCACCCGAGGGCGGCCGCTTCCGCGTCGGGACACTCACCTCAGGGCCAGGAATCGCGAGCCTGGTGATAGTTGCTCGGCTGAGGACGCGCATACTTCCAAAGGCGCGCTGACGGTGCAAAATGCTCGCATGCTGCATCATTTTCCGTATACAGCGCGCGCGTTCGAAATACGTTTCTAAACGGGGGAAAAGAAAAAACTATATTTAAATATGCCAGGATCTAAAAAAGGGTAATATTACGATTGTAGGTAGGGAGGTAATACTATTTCTATAGGTAATACCATAAAGATTGCTACTAAGCTTCCCCTAAGCTGAACCCCACTGGTATTTAAAGACACCGCTTATACTTTCCTAAGATGAGCCATTCGGAGATGAAATTTCATCGCATTCCGGAGACAAATCGCAGCATCCGAAGCGTCATTTCTAACCGCATTTCTGGCTCATCAAATGCCGATAAAGCTGCCGTTCGATCGGCGCGGTTAGGCACCATTCTTTCAGGCAAATTGATGCCGCTGGAGCCGCCCCAGACGGAGCTGGAGACGCGAGCCAGAGGAGGGCGGAAGACGGCGGAAGATGGCGATGGCGCCCGCCTCTTTTGGGCTCACCGACTGCCGAACAATTTCACCAATCAATAACGAAAGACTTAGGCGACAAACTTGATTAGCGGGCAGGGGACTCTAACTTGGACTCCGACTTGGACACAAAACCGAGTGGTGAGCAGTGAGCAGTGAGCAGTGAACAGTGAATTTTTGGGGTCTGGGGGGACTCGAGGCGGTGCGTGCGTGGCAGCCGAACTCCCTCCCCCTCTCGATGCGTTGCGCATAAAATTATTAAAATTCAGTTAAAGAAAGTTCCGAGAGTGAAGCGGCAAGGAGTGCGAGAGAGACGCCGAAACTGGCCTCGTGATGAAAGAAAAGTATTTTATGCATAAATTAAAATCAAATCGAATCAAATCAGCTTTTTGTGTGGAGCGCCGGCAGCGGCGGCGACTACGGTTTCTACCAACCCGGCGGAGACGCATAAATTTCAATATTGGCGCATTTTCTGTGTCTAATAAATTTCAACGCCCAATAAATTTATTCAGAGCCAAGTCGAGAGCCGAAAGAGAGGGCCAGTGGCATCTGCATGCCGCCGAAAGAGAGAGAGAGAGAGAGAGAGGGGCTGGCAGAACCGCCCTGACTTATAGGTACATATATAATATGATCGGTCCGATCGGAGGAATGCCTCCGCCACCTCCGTCTCCGCGCCGAGAAGCGATCATCAATCAAAGCGCGCATTTGACATAAATTAGAAACCAAAGAATATCTGGGAACACAACAAACGAAACTCCCCTCGCAGCCCCTCCCTTCCGATCCAGCGAAAGGCCCCTCGAAAAAGCTTTTGAGAAGCAATTATATTTAAGCCGATTTCCATGCGCACCTTGGACCTGGCTAAGGTGATCCGGAGAACAGGCTTGGACAGACAGACACACACTTTATGCCAGATCACCGGCGATTACGAAACGAGAATTGGAATTCCAGGTCTCTAATGTGCTGCGATTGACTTATTACCGAGGAATTTATCGGAGGAACACAGAAACTACATTGTTGAGCTCTCGAGAGGAACTGGATTAAGCGATCACTCAGTCTTGGAGGTTGGGCGAGTGATCTTAGGGGAAAAGGGTTTCGAAAGATATTAAGTGAAGTTATATATTCCAAACAATTAAATTACCGTTCTCTAAAGCCCATATGCAAATGTTTTGTTTTATCAAGTATCATTAAGTAATGCAAACACACAATTGTCTTCAGCAATCTTCGGCACTTAAGTCTAATAACATACGATTAAGCTCCGCAATAAAAGGAAGCGATGAATTGTCGCTAACGAAGGCATCCTACCAATTCTGATAACAATAAAAGGAAGCTAATTAGCAGATTACAGCGAATGGATGCAAATTCCCTGGGAAGCGAGCGTGGCCTTAATGAGAAAGAACGCTGGGGCGAAGATATCTTTCATGTTCAGCAAACGATTCCTGTCGGATAGACGAGATTTCCCCGGAAGTAGTGGCCCGGGGTCGAAATGATTGATCGAACTACTTGATCAATGGGTACACGATGTTAGTGGGGCGATAATTCCTGTGAAGACTGCTTCGAAGAAAGCCCCTCGCAGACGCTTCCCTCGAATTCCAAGGCGCTCACAATGCCGGTCATTATGCAATCGCCAAAGCCAAAGCCAAAAACCGAAACCAAAACCGAAAAAAGTACATATGTGTGATCACGATTCCCTCGGGGATGAGTCAACGGAAGGGGCGAGAGCAAAGCGTTTTTAATTCGAAATGCAAACAAATTAAAAGCATTTAACAATTTCAATCATAGCGAATTATCCGCATTCCGTTGGCTAATGAGAGCGGGAAGCGAAGAAAGCCGTGGCGACGCTAATTAGCGAGCCAACAGGAGGCGGAGGCGATAGGTGTGCACTGTAAGAAAACCTCGTCTCTCACACAAATTTGAAACTAGTTTATATCCCCTAAAGTCGAGCTTTTCTTTCGGTGTAATGGGGCTGGCAATTAAAACACGCGGCCAAGAAGCGAGCCAAGTGGAGCTGAGCGAGCGCAAGAGACACGCTAATCAGCAATTAGCAAATGGCAATAAATATTTTGTTTATGATTAAGCGGCGGCGGTCTGTTCAGGGGGTGGCTCCGTGAGTGGGTCGTCTCTTCGAGGGAGGCGACGGAGTGCAGACGCTGGTGGAGAAAGGGGACTGCGGCTGGGGCAATAAAATCCCACGGGCTCTGCCGCGAGCAAAGTCAATTAAATGGCGCAAGCGCCAGCGACGAATGCTTTCTGCTTTTCTGCTGGCTAAGCGAATGTCGAGGGGGCAAAGAGGGAGCGGGGAGAGCCGAGCAGTAAGTCAGCGGAGAAGCAGAGACGTTCCGCATACGCCACGTTGTGCTGCGACAGCAACTCAAACAGCCAGCACCGCAAAAAGTTTAGCACTTAAGCCCGGTTGCTTCGGAGGTGCATACACCTTGGAATTCCACAGCCGAGTGGTAACTAAGCAGGAAATTGGAAAAGCCAGATATTCAAAAACTCATTTAAACTGATTGCAATTCAATTTTCCTTGGGCTGAATGCGATAACAGAGACAGAGACCTTTTCCAACTCCTTTTCTCCCTGTGCAAACCCCCGTGCAACCAGCAACCAGCAACCAGCTGCTATGTCAACTGCACATGCCATTGCACTGAGCTCATTCGGGGCGTGTGTTTGTCAACCGAGTGAGCTCCAACAATCGCCAAAGTCGAACGATCGGTCGATCGACCAGACCCCGCACCTCCGGGGTTCTCCGAGGGGAGCTCAGAATTGGCGGACTGGGACTGCGACTGCGATAAACGCTTTGGCTTTGGCCGCATGTGCAGCCCATTGAAATGCTGAACGAATCAGAAACGGAATCAGAAATCAGAAATTGAAAATATCCATATGGATTCCAGCGCGGAATGCGCGCTGAGCATTGAGCAGATCAATAAACATGGCAGCGTAAACGATCGTAAAATCGAGCGGCGAGGAATGCGAATCAAATTGCTTCCAGGGAGATCATCGAGCTGATAGACGAACATCCATGTTCCTCTGCACTGATCTGCAGTCAGATCAGCAAACAAAGCCTGTTAAAAACTCGTAAAATGTATTATAGCTGGGTGGCTTGACCACCGATCAATAAAACTACTCAAGAAAGGGTTAGACTTAGGTGATCGTTCTACATATCATAACCAAGTTCTTGCTTCCGCTTGGCTGATGCAATTTATTCGACTGGATTCCAAACCCCACTCGATCAAATGGTCTCTCTCCAACGAAAGCGGCTGAGAAACCCCCTTACAGCCCACACAGTCCACCGAGAGATTCTTCGCCGCTGTGGTCTGCACCTCCCTTCTTTGAGAAAACTGGCAAGCCGATCTTTGAGCCTGAAATAAGTGCTCGAGCACCGCCGAGTGGCTCTCAAACTGGATTCGCGTTCTATTGAAAGTGTTTCGAGCGCTCTCAGCCAGCCAGCTCGCCAACTAATGAATGACGATCGGCGAGCGGTAACTTTTGACGTGGAATATTTTGCTCATGAGCTGGCCTGGCAAGACCGGAATGGAATGGACGGAGACCCGGAGCGGGTTCTACGTGAGTCTGGGCCTTTTAATTACCGATAGAACGGCAAACTGGCAAACTGGCGTCAATGGGGCGGCCAGAAATAGTTCAGTTCGGATCGGATCGACTCGGATCGGTTTAGTGGCATTTTCACACGCTGGCTGGCCAACGCGGCGGATGCGCGTCATTGAGAACTGGGCCCACAAGTGTCGTTCCAAAAGGGGAGTGGCGGTCGTCACGCGAATGGGTTGGCCTCAGCCGATCTCCAATTGGCCATCAATGGGGTACTCTCCCAGGTCAAAGCAATGTAATTTTCAGAACGTGTCTGTCTGGGCAATAATCTTAAATCTTATTACTACCTTTCCTACTAATCATAAAGTCTCTATTTGTACAAAAATTACTAACCACTCATATTTTGAAGACACTTAAGTGGGGACTTGAATGTGTTATTCGGATACCATATATTGATTTGATTTTTAATCATCACGAAAAATTGTGAAAGCAACGTGAAACTAATATAACTATGCTGTTTTCTGTATGCGGGGCTTACTTTGCCACCAAATCGGCGAATAACTCGGCGTCTTTTTGCCAAACAACGAATATCGAGGAGGAGAAAACAGAAATGAGACGACGAACCGGCAGAGAAACAAAACCAAACGGCGGCAAATGCCGAATTCCGATTCCGAGCTCCGAGCTCCGAGCTCCGAAATTCCACTTGCTGTGCCAGTTATGGCCAAACAATTTGGTGTCTTTGAAATGCGCGAAATGTCCCCGCCGCCGATAATAATAATGAAATGGTTGCTGGTTGTTGGTTGCTGGTGATGAGCAGCCAACAGGGCGGAGTGGGCCAAAGAAACCAGCGCACACGTCGTCGCTTCAGTTGGCCCGGCACCACCACAGCGCACCGCAGTCCGCACCACTGTGCACCACACCCCGCCGAAGTGCCCAACTAGGCGGAGGTGGCAACGGCGGAGGAGGCGATGGCCTCCGCAATGAGAGCAGCAAGCAGCGGGACAGAAAAAAGCAGCCGCAACGTGTGCCGCATGCCAAATCGAAGGCGTGCGAAACTATGCCTGGCGTAATACCCTAGGAAAACAGCACTGCAACGGGTGTCTTGGTTTAATGGATGCAAAAGGCGGATAACTAATGAAGCGATTGAGTTTGTTTATAACCCGATATTCTATTTAAAGATCAAATAAAAAACTGAAGTCCAATTCTTAACGGATCCAACGTTAGACAAACAACTTTACTACCGTAAATATTGACCAGGATCCCAATCCCAATCTGCGCATTTTAAATGTTCTATTTTTGAAGAGTCTTCGAGAACCAGTTCAAGTATAAAATCTCCCGTATCAGAAGCCTAGAGCGCATAAAAGATCAGCATCGATTTATTTAATAGTAGTTTAAAGTTTATAGCCGCCATATTTCTTCCGATCACTATGCACCAATCAGGCTTTCGATTCTTTCTGAATAGCATTTTTGAAATAAGCTAAAGTTTTTATGACTGTGGCAGACGGGTTCAAGTCAGTGTGAAATTAGTAGAAATAACTCCCCGAACTTGAGTGCCCCTTAAAGGTCATTCGATAGTCTATCCCAAACTGAATGAACTGGCAAAGCCGCGCTATATCTCTATCTCAGCCTCGACTCCGATTGTCATTCAAAATTTGTTTAATTTGTTGTACATTTTAATTGCTTGAATTGTTCGAAACAACAGACAACCGCACTTGTGTCTGTGTACATACGCACATTGGCTGCGTGCAGGAATTTCGGTTTACGAAATTATTATTTTAAGTATTTATTATCATTGCTGTTGCCGTTGTCAGTCTCAATGCAAAAGCCCAGGCCTGAGGTCAAGTGTGATGTGGATGTGGATGTGGCGATACGGATGGCGATGGAGATGTAGATGTCTAAATGGCAGAGCTCAATCGAAAAACCACAAGCCTACAACTACGAAACGGGGAGTACATGTGTTCATGGCGAGATACAGATACAGATACGTCCGTCCGCAGATACAGTTACCCATATGTATAATTGCCTGGTGGCAGAATCGTTTAACGATTAGCGATTAACGTTAACCGCTTGAAGCTCAACGTCTGATACCCAAAGCGTGAGTTTCCAACCATTTGTTTATCTTTCGCAGCTGATTTACATTCGAGATGTCTGATTTGCTGGCGTAATTGCCGGGCGGGCTCTGATTTCAGTTATTGTTCCCCGGTTCCCCATTGCCAAATGAAACCCCAACCCGGCTCAACAACACAGCGCCATCCCATCCCCATCGGTGGATTCGATTTCCCCCTAATTGTTCCGCTGTCGATCGTTTTCAGACAACAGTTTAAGCACCACCTGCCCCTTCCCCGGTAATAGACCACTCAACCCACTAGACCCACCTATCTAGCCCACTTGAAAATTAGAATTAGGTTTTGGATCGATAGGGGACCGAATTCTGGAAGTTTGAATGCCCTTGGTTACATTTCTTCCTAATCAATATCGGGCAGATTATTATTCCAAACGACAAAACGTTTTATTTTATAACTCAAAAGAGCTTCCTAATTTCACTATACCCTCCGATGAGCTAAAATTTGACTGACATTTGATACTCAACGGGTGAATTGCACAATTCGCTGGATTTTCGACTCTTTAGCGGGGTGCAAAAAGAAAACAAAAACCTTAAAAAGCGGGCGACAACAACGAAAAGTTAAACAATCGTTGGACGTTGGCGATTTTATGGTTGGCAGATAAGAAATTCGCTGGCATTTGTTTTGTTTGCCGTGTGCTTTATGAGTCCGTTTTCGGGGAGTCATTAAAATTCCGGGGAAATGGGCCCCATAAGGGTTTACTACTACTACTACTTTATGTATCCATATATGTATATATATGTATGTTTATATACCTAGCTGTTTCTCACCTTAAGCCGCTGCAGTTGTCGGCATTGTTGTTTCGCGTAATCCACAAAAATTGAGTTTTCAAGGTGTAGTTTGGATATTGGGTTAATTCACTGCCTATGCACTTTTAAACAAATCTATCGATTTGGCTATCGATAAACGCCTAACAGTAAAATTTTCGTTTGGTTTGCGTAGTGTTGTTGTTTTTTGACCTCTTCCACAACGCGCGCTGCGACTGCGCAGTCAACAGCAAACGGGCCGCATTCCAGCGTCGCTGGAAGGGGAGGGGGAGGGCGATGGGGCCGAGTGTGGGAGAGGGAGAGCGCACACAACGTTTTAATCAAAATTCACTCACACCACCACACGTACACATACACACTCGCAGAGAGCGCAAATGCGTGTGTGTGTTTGCTCTCTCTTTGGAGTCGTTGTTGTTGCGCGAAAGAATGCCGTTTGCTGGGTTGTTGTTGCTTTACTTGTAGTTTCCAGTGGCCAGTTGTTGTTGTAGCTGGATGTTTTTTTCTTTTTTGACCAGCGCCAACTTTTTGGAGTTGGTTTTTTGAGTTGATTTCAGCTTTTTTCACTGCCTGCTAGTCGGAGTTATTTTCGTGGTTTTAAGGCGCGTTTCCCCAAAAACAGCACTAGTTGCACACACGAACAAAAATCACTTCTGTAATTTAAGCGAATGCGAAAAGGAAACGCGCTGTTTTTGTTTCAGTGAAAACCGAACTTCACTTCGAGCCACTGTATCTGTGTATCTGTGTGTGTGTATCCGTATCTCGGCTAGCGAGTGTGTGTGCAATTGAAATCCGCAGATCACCTTTTCCGAAAGTTACACGTAAATTTATTAAGCTATCTTAATAATTTTAAGTGGAAACCACATGCTTTTCTATCCCGGCGATCTCTTCGGTTGCCGATGAAGTTAAGTGATATTGCTCCACTGATTTTTCACTGCAAGCCGAAACACACGGACACGACGAGCGCTGCTGGAAGACTGAGAGTGCTCGAGCGAGGTTGCTTATATAGACTTTTTGGATCGAGACCCGAGCGCAGATTGGTTTCAAGTAAAAGAGAGAGAGAGAGAGAAAGAGAAAGAGAGAGAGCCCCAAAAAGAGAGGGAGATCGGCTCAGCCGAAGAATTTGGCTACGTTTAGAAAAAATAAAAGACTGAAAAAACACTCGCACACAGTTACAGTTACATCTATGGCCCCTATCCCAAAAAACGTAAAGAAAAACATAAATCCAAGAGCAACAACAACAGCCTCGAAAATGTAAATAGCAATAAGCAATAAAAGAAAAACAAACTTCAAAGGAGAATCCCAGTAGCCAACTGCCTTTGTGAGTGTGTGTGTATGTGTGCCATTGTCAGTGTGAGTGGAATTCCAATGGTTTATCTCGCGAGAAGTCTAAGGACCGGATCGGGGTGGGGGGTAAGTAGGAAGGGGTAGCCACTGGAATGTGGAACCCTTCAGGAAAATATCAAGGAGCCAGCGATTCTTAAAGATTCGAAGGATACCCTGTAGAGGTTTATGTAAAGACTCCTCTGGATTTTTTTAAAGGAATCTGAGAGATTTATACAAAACAGGTAAGGATCTACATACACAAGTATGTATGTCGGATCCTTAGTAAAAATATCATAAGGTGTGAGAAATAAGTTTAACTAAAGAATTTTTGAACTTGTGATAATAGTGTTACGATTAGTCGTCAATTTTTAGTCTACTTCAGAACTTACAAAGTTTACAAAGATGCAATAAACATGAACAGACTTATAGATGGTCAAAAAACCATTGAAAACGCGAACAGTTGAAATCAATCTTGAAGTATCCCATGGTTTTTGGATGGCTATCGATGAGGCTATCTTAAAAATAAACTCCCTGGACAGTTTAAAGATACACTGGAAGGGGGTAGATTCGGAACTGGAGGGTCTGGAAGGCACTGCCTCTGCCGACGTTGGCGTCGACGTCCTCCGCTGCTACGATATCGTCGATATCGATATCGGATAATGCTGCGCATTCCTCAGCATAATATAATGTGAGCTTGATTTGCTGGATTCTTTTTGCTCGCTCTCGCTCTCTGTGGCTTTCTCGCTCGCACTCGAAATTATTTTTTCGTAGGTTTTGTTTTCCTTTTTCTCTTGGGGCTCCCTCTTCCTTCTTGTGCTTCAGCTTTTTCTTCTCCTCTTCCTCCTTCTTCTCTTCTTCTTCAGCTTCAAATATGCGGCATACACACGCCCCACAAAGGAGCGGGGAAAAGGGGAGCAGGTCGAAGTAATCAACCTAGACTTAAATAAGGATACGTTCTGATAAAAAAGAAATCTTTAAAAACAGTTCAAATCGTTTTCTAGTTTTGGAAATAGATGTTCTTTACCCCCTTCTGTCGCATCCTGCCTACGCCCTTGGGGTCTTGGCCAGAAGACGGAGCAAGACTCGCAATCGGAGAGCCGAGAACCGAGAGAGCACGTTCTTGATGGGTCGGGGGTCGGGTCGTCTTGCCATGGTCATAACTTGTTGACTGAAGTCAGGGGTGACGGAGGTAGGGGCGGGGCAGTCCGGGGAGGCGGGGGAGCGATGGGAACTCCCTGCTCAGCCTTCGATTTTTTTGAGTGTACTGTGCCTATTAACGAAGAACGTATCCCATCCTCAAATTCTAAGTGTTCGAATTCTAAAACACCGTTTTGCAAAAATGTAGTTTTTATAGTTTAGGGTTTTTTTATCACATATGTAGATAATTCTGACAACTATCAACTTGACAACTCGAAGGAATCTTAGAGTAGCTCCATCTTCGGCTTCTGGGAGCCACAGCTTTTCTTTCTCGTTTTTATTCTTTTTTCGTAGCCGTTCGTTATTCTTTCGTCTTTGGTCGGTCGCCTGGTCTCTGGTCTCTGGTTCTCTAAGACCGGTTGTTGTTGTTGCTGCAAGCTGCCTTTTGGGCGCTACGTTCTGGTCAACATTGTGTAGATATACGTTCTGCATGTGCGGCTGTGTTGGTGCGCGGGGCTTGGAGCCTGGTCGAGGCCGAAGTTTCGACCGCAGCGAGGAGAGCGAAAAAAAGTAAGAAAGAAGCAAGCATTTTTTATGCAATTCCTTGAAGTCGGTTTCAGTCTCCAGTCTCCGGGTCCAGAATCTCTTTTGCGGAATTGGCGCGCAATTCTGGCCTGTCTTTTTGCGCACTTTTGCGCCTTTTTTTGGCAAAATGATCTTTTAGCCAAGAGCAGCTGCCATTGATCCTCTTTCTATTCAAAATTCCTCGGACTTTTTTTTGGCTTTCGGTTTTGGCCAGAGCCAAAGTCGTTGGCGATGATGATATGGCGAGGAGGCCTGGAATTTATTGAATAAGTTGGCAAATGACGCGGGTCCCAGCCCTCCGAAGTGGTATGTGTTGCTGTTTCTGGTGTGTTTTCGTTACGCTTCATTGCCGTCGATCGCTCGTCGATATCGCCGATTGTCGCATACTTTCTACCCTTTCTCGCAGAGAGCTCTGGCTATCATGGATACCTTGAGTGCCTAATATTTCTCCAAATAAAGTATATAGTAACTAAGAAAGAAAACTATTAAAAGTAATCTCTTCAAGTAGATAAAGTAAAACAGACCTATCCTAACAACCAGTGGTTGATTGGGTTCAGTTTGGTAATCCTGTGTAGAATGGAATTTAACGCTTACCTTATCGCTCCCGATCGAGGGTATTAAGCTGCGATGAGTTGACGATTGGGTTTCCGCTTCGATTCGCCGCTCGATTCGATTCGCTTTGTTTTGTATTCTTTTTATTATGGTCAAATATTTCTGCTGGCCACGATAATGTTAATGGAGAGCCCCTCTTTCGCCACTTCGTGCTCGACCCATCATCGTACCTTCTGTCCCAGGAATTTTTATGACTTTTGTTACACTAACTCACTTCCTATTCGTGTGCTGGCATTTTGTTGTTACCACTGAATGTAAATGGGGTTTGGTGGGGAATTCATGAAGGGGAGAGAGTGAGTGGGTGGGATGGGATGGGGTCCAAAATGGGCGTCGTTCCACAGTCGATTGCTTCGACTGAGCTGGAATTTCAACTCTGACCTTTGACTGCCCATTGGACATTTGACTATGTGACCTGTGCAGAGCTGCACCTAGAGAAAAATGTTTTTGGGGTTTTAAAAGTGGTTTAATTTCCTAAGGCAAGCCAGCTGACGAATCATATATCTATTCGGTGCAAGTGTATATTGCTCGCCCAGCTGGAGTCAGATCCGATCCAAAGAGCCGATCCAAGAGTCGGAGCATAGTATCGAAGCAGAGTCTAATCTGCCTACCCTACTTTCACTCCATTTCCAGTCGGCATCTCATTCGATTCGATTCGATTCAATTTATTCGAACCGAACTTCTCTCTCGCCTCTCTGGTTTTTCAGCTAGCGAGCGGGAATCCGACTAAACTGCATTGAAACTTCAGGCTGCCAATCGATTTGCCGCTGCTGCAGCTTGGGATTTGCCTTTTTTGGGCCTTGGAATGCAGCATGTTGCTGCCGTGTTGCTGCTGGTCCTGCTAAGCCCCCGGCAGCAACATCGAAGCTGCAGCAGCAACAACAGCAGCAACAACAGCAGCAACAACAGCAGCAACAGCAACAGCAACATCCAACGGCAGCAGCAACAATGTGTTCTAAATAAATTCCAGCGAAATGAAATTCAGGGAGCAGGGAGTCGAGGCGACGCAGATGTATCTTGCAGATACAAATTCTGTGCGCTGCGCGCAACGTGATTGCAATCTTTAGCATCGTCATCATCATCAGCGGCCACAGCAACAAAACCGACTAAAGTACTCAACCTGGCGATACCGAGTAGTTAAGGGATCGAATGTGTGGTTAAACGTATTTGTTGCTTCTTTTAGTAATAACCTTTGCATCCTGAAACTGTTCATAGGTCAAAATTATATTTTTTAAAGCCAACTTTCATTTCAAAGATCTATGGTTGGACTCTAAGCCTCCTCTCGCACCCTGTAAATACCGGCTAATACCAAGAAGAAGAGCAACACGAGGCACGAGATTCGAGGCTGCCAAGGCCCCAAGGCCCCAAAAAAAGGAAATAAAACACACACACTATTAAGGCAGCCAAACGCAGCAGAGGACGTCGACGTCAACGTCGCGCGTGCGCAGCCTGAACGGATGTGTGCACTGAGAGAAACAATGGCTTTCAAATGGAGTTTGTGGGAGGAGATGAAGATGGAGGTGCGCTTTCAGAGTGGTCCAGTATTCCTACCTAGCTTGAAAGAACCAAAGTGTTTGAGAAACCCTGCCGCATTTTTTGCAGTGCAAATTGTTTGGCTGTTGTTGACTTACCTGTTTTGGTCTTTCTTGTGCTTTTCTTCCTTCGGAGGAGATTTCTTCCCCGGGAACCGCGGGGGGATCGCGGGGAGGGGAATATATGGCCACTAAAAATCGACAAAATCAACCAAGGTCCGTACAGTAGCTGCTGCCTTGCCTCCATACCGCTCTTTTTTATGCTTTTAATGAGCTTTTATATGGGCAGACGGATCGGGCGGACCGGGGGGCAGAAAGGGGGAGGAACCGGGGGCATAGGAGCTGCATCTCCATGTCAGCCGGATGGGGCTTTTTGCTCTTGCGGTCTGCCCACAAGCTAGACATCGATTCCCCGGCTATCAATGGATTGCCGGCGAGTATTCGGTTCCCATGGGTGGAAGACTGAGGGGTGGGTAAGGTTATGGTAACACAGTTTTGGGCAGAAATAGAATAGCAAGCCGCAGAAGGAACACTTGTTCAAACAGAGGCGTGTGGAGGGACTGGAATGTATGGAATTACACCCGAATCACAAATGTTCCATAGGGTTGTGGAGCTACATACTTTAATTGATCCTAACAGATTTCAAGTTGTTTTGTGTTTTGTGTAAAGCCAGTTGAAAACAAAACCCAGCCGAAAGAACTTCACACATTTCAGTTCGTTCGGCTCGTGCGCCAGAAATATTTGCAACTGGCGGGGAGAAGAGGGTTCCGAGTGAACGGGAGGGGTATGGAGTATCTGGAGTATCTGGGAGCCCCGGCGAATACCTTTCTCGACTCGACTTGACTCCGCTTCGCTCCACTCCAGTCCACTCCACTCGACTCACGGCTCAATCTGCAGCTGTCAGGTGTGGCCGGCTAATTGAGAGTCGCGTTACGAGATCATCTTGACACCTCGGAGGCACCTGCCGCCGGACGAGGCGAATCCGCCGATGATTAACTAGTCACTCCGATTGAGGGGCAGGTGAGCGAGCACTGGAAAAGTGCGGCAAGTCGCAAGTCGCAAGTCGCAAGTCGCTGGCATGTCTGTGATAAAAATTACAAACAGAAAAAAACAAACCCGTCAAGTGCCCGCAAACGCTGACGCATTTTGGCCCAAAGGCTGATAAGCCCAGTCAACGCGAATTCAATGCCAAAAAGAAAATGAAACTCTCCTCGAAAACGGAAACGAGCAAATACAAGATACAGATACAGATACAGATAGAGATAGAGATAGAGGTACAGGTAGATGTGTAGATACAGATACACATGTACACGACAACAAAATGTGTCTGAGCCCGCATTTAAAATTAGAAAACAACAAGCCAGTTAATTTAGACCAACCTAAGAAAAACATAGTAAATCATTGAAGAAGTATTTGCTTAGATCCGTATCGTTATTCTGATTTTGGCTTTTATTTCGATGGATTTATGCTATATTGTTATATTTCGAGTCAAACAAACAACATTGTTACTTGATCTACCAAATTAACACGGAATTCGGCAACCAGATTGCGCTAATACCATCTTTATGAGCCCTATTAGCATTTTCGAGTTGTGTGTCCGTTTAGAAGACACAGTTTTTCAATAAGCACATCAATAATTCACGGAATTTATTGTTTTTCCGAGTGTGTGAACTGTAAGCTTTTTGGCACAACTGGAAGCTCGTTGTGGCGGAGCGTTATTCAAATTTCGATTAGCATCTTGGCCCCGGACCGTGGGATCCCAGATCTGTAATCCCCGGCTAAGTAGAACTGGTAGATCGTTTCTGCGGTTCGGAGTCTAGCCCCTTCTAGGCCGACAAATATTTGGCTTTTGCATGCCAGCGCGATGAGTTCAACGTCGTCGGACGTTGCTCATTTAATTTTCAAACATTTATCAACAAATATTTGGCGCTTATCATTTGCTCGAGCCAAACAAAGGGAGGGCGAGGGGCGGAGCTGGTGGAGCTGGTGGTGGCGGGCCAGTGGGACACTCCCGCCAGAAGCCACTTCTCTGGCTCCGGCATCAGCAGATTTGCTGACCCGAACACCTGACAAATGGCCACTGGCCGTACACAAGCATAATGATTCTGTGTCGGATTTTGCACAACATTTGCCGTAGCTTCGCCGTGGATTTTCTGCCGAGTCCGCTAATTAAAATGGTTAGACCGCGGAGAAGTTGAGGGCGGGTCTGGGCTGCGAGGTATTTCGCAACGTGAATCAGTTTGCATTGACCGCGGCGGAGGTGCGAGCGGAAAACGAAAGTCATTCATCGAGTGTTTGGCACTCAAGACCTGCAATTCCTCACTCGCCGGTCGAATTTGATTAAAACTGTCAAGCGAAATAATGAGGAATATACTTGCATGGTGGATTACCTATTAATAAATAATTGATTTATATATTTAGAAAGGTGAATCACCAGTAAAGAGAATGAAATTGGTGCATGCAGATTTCCAACTATTACGTTTATTTCCTTTAAGAATAATATACTCTTGTTTAAATTCTAAAGCTTGTAGTGTGCATCCATGAACTGGAGATTGGTGGTCACCTCCGAGGCCTCGGGCATCACATCCTTGGCTGCGTTCAAGTAGGACTTGGCCCCCATGATATCGCCGCCTTGGGCAGCCAGCACAGCCAAGTTGTTCAGAGCAGCGCCATTCTGGGCATCCGAGGTGAGGCACAACTGGAGGCACCTCCTGGCCAGGTTGAAGTCACCAGAGGTCTGAGGAAGAACATTCGTTTATTGCTTTAGGGGAAGAGAGATCCCTGATAGACTTACCACCGCTACGAAGCTGAGGTTGTACCAGATGTCCGCCTTCTGCTCGGGCTGGGTGGCCATGGCCAAGGCTCTCTGGAAACAGGGTAGCACCAAGTCGATTTGACCCCCGTAGAGGCAGCACAGGGCTATGTTGCAGTAGAGCTCGGCGGAGTGGGCTCCCAGTGACAAGATCCTTCGGTAGTACATCAGCTGCAAGGACATTTCATGAAATGGACACGATATTAAATTCGCTTAGGAGCACGTTGCTATTACCGCCATTTCCGGATTGTTGTCGTAGAAGTATCCCACCGCAATGCTGGCCAGGGACTCCACGTTGATCGGCTGCAGCCTGGACACCAATCTGTAGAGCTGCAGCGCGTCCTCCTGCTGCTCCATGGCCTGGTGGATCCTCGCCTGCTCCAGGCGGTAGGTGACGTCGAAGGGTCGCGTGTCCACCACTCCGCCGATCAGGTGCAGAGCCCTCTCCGGCTGCTTGATCCTCTGGTAGAGCCTGGAGAGCAGCAGGTAGGTGTCCGGGTGGGGGAAGCTGGCCAGCGACTGCTGCAGGAAGGGCTCCGCCCTCCGCGGATAGTGGAGCGCCAGGAGGCACCTGCCCATCTGCTGCTGCCACCACCAGGACAAGTTGGAGGAGGAGGAGCCACTGGGCTTCTGCCGCTGAACCTCGAGGACCGCCTGGCACAAAGAGTGGGCCTTCTGCACGTCCGCCTCGTGGTAGTAGAGGAACTGGAACAGCGCCTTCACCAGGGTCTCCCGCTCCGCGTAGATGGTGGGATTGAGCCGGGAGGCCTGGTACAGCTTGGCGGTGGCGTCGCCCACATTGAAGGCCGCCGCCGAGGTGGCGCGGATCCTGGAGGCGGTGCCGCAGCGGGAGGCGGGCCTTCCTCCGCCAGCGAGCGAGGATCCCGGGCGACTGAGACTCGTTCCCGGGCGAGCCACCGCCGCAGATCCCGGTCGGGAGCTGTTCAGGCGACCGTCGCTGGAGTGGGCCACCCCGGCGCCCCTGCTCCTCGCCTGCTGCGCCCTCTGGCTGGTGAGGGGGCGTGGCTGGAAGGCGGTCTTAATGCTGCTCCCCGGCCGAGCGGCGGTCGCTATGCGCTCGAACTCCACTTCCTCGATGGCTGGAAGGGATGGATAAATCGCTGTTTTCAATTTGCTCTTTTGTTTAATTAACATTCATTTACTGCTATAATTTCATAAAACTAAATTGGTTTTTGAGTGAGAAAGTAAAAGCTCTGAATCCTAAATATTAATAAGTACTCAACGCACAAAGAATAAATCTTTGGAGTTTTGACAAAGACCCAACCTATTGTTACTCACCCTCATCCCCGGCCTCGTCCTCCAGATCGTCGAGGTAGACGCGCTGCGTTAGGGCGCGCATCTTTAATTGCCACACGCCCTCCATCAGCCAAGTGGGCATCATGATGGATGCCCCGGAGTCGGCTCCTCCTGCTGCCGATGCCCCAGCTCCCGCACCCGCTCCCGTTCCCCGTGGCCTGGGGCCAATGCGTTGCAAATTGCTACCGAATCTGCTGTGCTCCGCCTGCTGTGGCTGCTGCTGCTGCTTCTGGGGCACCTCCTCGCCCTCCTCCTCCTTGGTGGCGAACAGTTGGACGTGGCCATCGTGACCGGCCTGCAGGAGAGCGTTGCACAGCTCCGCGCAGCGCTCGTAAGAGCGGCGGCGGAAGAGGGACACCGCCCTGAAGTAGTCCAGCTCCAGTGTCGCCAGCGAAGCCATCGCTCCGCGTCCTTCGCTTTCGGCTTGCACTTCCCGAGAAATACTTGGTATATCACCTAGGATATATAATTTTTAGTTATTACTTAATTAGTTAAGGGATCTATTAAATATTTCCAAAGGTCCAAGTGCAAAGTATTGTTTCGAGTGCACTGTGTATCTGTGTGCGATTCAAGTGTTTGAATTCCTCGGCGTGGTTGCTTTTTTCGGGTTCTTCTGCTCAGCCTCGACCGCTGGAATTTCAAAACCGGATGCGTGTCGTTCCTCTGCCCCGCCGAAGACCGAATACCGAAATCCAGGGGCACCAGGAATGTGGCTGCTGCTTCCTGCGGTTCCCTGCCCCTCTCCGCACTCCCGGCTTCTTCTGGGTTCTGGGTTCGAACCTGGTCCCAGTTCTCGGCTCGTCTGCATGCCATCTAATTTTTCTATGCCCATAATTTGTGCCTCCCGCCTACCTCCTTTCCTCGGATTTATTCTGTGGATTCTACCGCTGCGGTTTGCTCTTCTGCTCTTCTGTATCGACTGGCAGGTATATATGCGCCACAAGGAAAGGGTCTTCCGGTTCGGCTCGTTTCGGATTGGTTTGGCTGATTGCCATGGAGACCCAGTCGGCCAAAACATTAATTGCCCTTGTACCGCGCGTGTTCGTGTCCCTGGGGAGTCACCCTGTCGGGACACTCTGGCCAGACCACCCTGTGGCAGGTAGAAGCGTTCTAAATTCGGTTATAATCGTCAAAAGTTAATGGCCGAGTGGGTAACATAACCAACTACTGGCTCCATTCGATTTCCCGGAAGCATCTCCTCATGGGAAAATCACTTTTTGGATCAGCCTGCACTTGGCCACAGAAAAGTAACTCATTTGGCATGTGTGCTTTTTATTACATGGTTCAATTTATTTTTAGGGCCTCTGCAGCCAGTCGTAGATGGGATTCAGACCCACTTTGGTCACCGCACTGGCCTCCACGATGGTCACCTGCTGGCGGATCTGCTTCTGCAACTTGGACATCTGCAGCATGAGCAGAGCCTCGTTCCGCATCTGGCGGTAGGAGTAGTCCATTTTGGCCAAGACCAGGAGGATCTTGACCTTTTGAAGACGCGGTTCGGTGAGGATCGAGTAGAACAGAACGCCGGCTGCTGAAATCTGGCAGAGATTCGAAGTGTCGACCACGTAAATCAGCTTCTTCACGTCCTCGAAGTACTGGCGCCACAGAGGAGCCATGCTCCCTCCGATCTCCAGGATCTGAATGGATTTGGGCAGGTTCTTGCCACCATGCGGTATGTCCACCTGGGGGTCTGTGGGAGGCGGCCTGGGCTTATCTCCATTGGGCGATTTTGTTGGAAAGTGGATGCGATATATCCCAGTGCCAATGGTGGGCATGGAGTAGGAGTTCTCGTCGATGGAGTCCGGATCCTGTAGAGCCTTCAGCAGGTGCGTCTTGCCCGATCTTTTGGGACCCAAGCAAATGCAGGAGGTCATCTCTGCTTGGATTTACTCTATTTATGGATCAAACAAAGGTAGCCTTGGTGACCGAAAACATTATAAAACTTCTTTGTGCGGTTTTCTGGTCGCTTCAAAAGATTATGTTTAAGTGCCATGGTTATCCTAAAAAAATAGTTTGACAAAGTAACGACTATAACATTTTATTTGAAATCAGATAATAAACGTATGGTAACGAATCATTTAAATTTAAAAATCAAGGGCTGGCAAAACAAAAAACCATGTAAGACAATTTAGAAGATTACGCCATCTATTAAGAAAATCAGAAAACCAATAGTTTTGGGGTTTTTATGCATACTGGCCTCGGTCACACTTTCTGCTGTCTCATTGTAAACAAGTTTAAAAATTTTTTAAACTTCCACCAAAAAATGACACCTCCAGCAGACAGTCCCCGCGAGATTGGCTTCGACAGGCAGTTTTCCGTGGATGTGAATGGAGTGGCCTCGGAAATAGTGTTCCACGGCTTCGCTAACAAGTGGTTCCTAGTGGTGACCCAACTGGGCAAGATTCCCGGCATCTACAACGTGCACTTCGATGTGCAGAGGGACGAGCGGGTGGTTCCCTTTATCCATGGACCCGTGGTCAGTCCTGAGTATCACGTTTCCGTCCCCATCACGATGAACTGTTGCCTGGGTCTGGACACCGATGAGACTCGCAGCGCCATTCAATTTTTGGTCAACAGAACCGGACTCCACAAGTGTCCCACGGATTTCGTGGTGGGACTAGGTCTTAAACAAATCGACGGACCCAATCTGAAAGCCCTGGCCAAAGTTTTAGAGGAGGTGGTCTTCTAGCTTTTCTTATCGTAAATAAACAGTGGCTGTGTGACAGTTTTTGTACAAAATGCCTCGTATATATACATATCCCATTTTCATATGACCATTCTGAAGACTATCGCAATAAATTTAGGAATACTGTTAACATCGATGTCAGCATTCTTCGATATCGATAGCTTTGTGTTGACATTTGTGGCGCAATTTCACTTAAATTTTTTAAGAATTTTTATTGTTTATGGATTTGCGCCTGTTGCGCTCCGCCGTAATCGGCCCCTGCGGCCTGGAGGCACAGGACCTGGTGGAGATCTCCGGTTCGGTGGAAAGCGGCAAGAGTCTGGTGCTCCAGCAATTGATTGCCCACTGCTTGGCGCCCTACAAATTCGGGGGCCGCGAATGGAGCGTCCTATTGATAAATCTCAGTCACAAGATTAGCCGGGAGTCGCTGACCAAGAGCCTGAAGGCGGAGTTGCGAGCGAACTCGGAAGTTGGAACAGAAGGTCCAGAGGATTCCCCACATAAGGAGCAGCTGCTTGCCGAGATTGCCGGTGAATGTCTACGTCGCGTGCGCTTCTTCAATTGCTTCTGCACCGAGGATGTCAACATGGCCCTAGTCGATTCCCGCTTTGCGGTCCTCCAAAATCCTAGCGTGCAACTGGTTGCTCTCGACACCCTGAGCGAATTCTACTGGCTAGATTTTGCCCAGAGAACCGAAAAGTTGTCTAGATTTCGGCACTATCGATTATGGCAGGCGCGTCTGGAAAGGCTCTGCAGGGAGGCCATCGTCTGCGGAATGTATACGGTAGACTCGGCATTCCTGGAGGACAAATATGGCGAACCTCTACCGAGGGTTCAAGTGAATCACCACTTCAAAATGCAAAAAATTAGGGGAAGAATTGCTGTGAACGGGCAGCCAGTTGATTTTGTTTAAGGAATTTACCGAGGCAGCTAACAAATGAATCTTGGAATCTTCTTAACCCTGAAAATCTGACAATTTGGAAGGACTTGCTTTACTCAAACAAATTGTACATCTTACTTTAACAAGTCCAATTTATCCAAATGGAAAAACTTTAGAAATATATTGATGTTTAACGTTGAACTTGATGTTACGATTTTTAAAATAATATTTAATATGAATTCTAATGAATATTAGTAAGTCTCTTTTAAACGTTCCTCATAATCGAGAAAGATTGTGATAGCCAACAGGAAACAAAAACAAACGCTACTAAAAATGATCAAAAAAAAGCATTCTTCTCAAAGTTTATGTTTAATCATTAAACAATTTAAATCCTAGTAGTATTGTCTTCCTCAGTAAGCTACCCTGAATTCTTCACAAAAAATAACCCAAGCAAAAAAGATCATAAACCCGAATTAAGCACACAATCTTTCCTCCTTTGTAACAAGTCAAACGTATTCAAGCGTTCGTTTCATCACTATTTTTAGGAATAAAATCCACTGGTTTCAAAACCACTTTTAGGTTTTTTTTTAGCAAACGTCTTCTATATTTCCTCGAGTTTGTACATTAAAACGTGTACGCAGGTCGGAAAACACGGGCACACGTCTGCCTCTCGTGAATTATAGCACAAACACAACTGATGTCAGGTTGTCGAGAAGCTCTCTAGAGGATTTCGGGGATACCCGCTTAGTCGAACAGACCGAAGCCCATGTCGTCGTCGGACTGGTCAGACTCCTCCTCCTTCTTCTTCTCCTCCTTCTTGGACTCGGCAGCTGGAGCGGCGGCGGCGGCAGCAGGGGCAGCACCTCCGGCGGGGGCGGCACCGACTCCGGATCCGATGTTGGTGATCAGATCCTTGACGTTGATGCCCTCCAGGGCCTTGGCGAAGAGGCCGGGCCAGTAGGGCTCCACCTCGACGTTGGCGGCCTTCAGGATGGTGTTGATCTTCTCGCCCTGTTTTCAGATTAAAAAAATACCATTAGCTCGTGCTGAAGGCCCACTTTTTCAGTCGTCGGACACACAAATTCTCAAAAACCGCGGCCCGATGGCACCCGATTCGAGGGATTTGCGCCTCAGGCAACAAACACTTACGGTGACGGCAACGTCGTCATCGACCAGGATCAGGGAGGCGTAAACGCAGGCGAGCTCGGCTTTGGTGGACATGTCGAAGTGCTGTGGCTAATCACTGATTGTGCAAGTTGCCAAAAATTAATTGTTTATAACAAATGGCCTTAGCTCGGTCGAGAACAAGCACGCTGGTCAAAATCCTAAACCGGAAAGAGAGGGACAACATAGTGATGGCAATGAAGCCGTGGTTCCGGAAATCGATACAAATAATCGTCTCCCATCACCGTCGAAACAGTTTCATCCACCTATTATAACATGGTTGAACACTCGGCTGGACCATATTTCAAATTGGCATATCCCGAACTCCACATTTTTGAAGGCTTAAAACTTTTTCAATTATTATCCAATGTAAAGAACGTTTGTTGTCAGATACTTAAACATTGCATTCAAAATTTTAATTTGCAGATGGTGTTCTTTTTAGTTCTTTTTAGTCCGATTTTTTTGAGTTTTTAATCATGTGAAATAGAGGGGACTGCGACTGAATTTAAGCCCAATTCAAGAGTGAAAAACCTTTCAACGTTTGAAAGTTTTTCATGTTTTTCTTTTTTTTTTGCCCATGTCAGATATTTTCGAGTTTTTGATTATGTGCAATAGAGTGACCCAAAACTGGACTTTCATATCCCATAACTTGGCCAATTTTAACCCGATTCCAAAGTGGCATGCCTCTAAATGTTTGTGGTGATATCCCTAAATAAACTGCATTTAAAGTTTTTCATTTACAGATGATCGATATTCTGACCCCTGCTCATGTCATTTTTTTTCAGGATTTTGATGATGTGACGTAGCTCTAAATGTTTGGGGTCCTTTCCTCATCTAATTTTATTCAAAATTTCTTATCCGATTGGTTCCAAGTTGCATTCCTCTTAAAGTTTATAGTCCGGTTCTTAAAATGAAATTAATTAAAATTTGTTTGGGCCACTGCTGGGAATACATCCGAAGCTATCGATATTTTTTAACCTACGTCGAATTAAAACAAGACGGTCACCCGGGAAATGTAAGAGTGCAATAAGTGTGACCAAGGCTTTCGCTTAAAAAGTAAACAATTAAAAAAGCGCGCAAAATGTCGGACCAGGAAGATAACGAAATCAAGGATGATATAGAAATCAAAAAGGAAATTCAAAGTATTAAAGATATAGACGAAAAGCCGACAAATGAGCAACTCAAGGACACCAGCAAAATCAGCTCCCTAAAAACACTGGGACCGTTTATAGCAGCCAGGGAGAATAGCCGGAATACCGTGTATCTCAGTGATGTGCCGAATGTTTGCAAGGATCAGCCCTGCATGCTGGGCGTGGACGAAGCGGGGCGTGGTCCTGTGCTGGGACCAATGGTGTATGGGATCGCCTACTGTCCGCTGAACAGCAAGAAGGCTCTAGAGGATCTGGGATGCGCAGACTCTAAACAGTTGACCGAGGAGAAGCGCGACATTATATTTAACGATATCAACACCAAGGAGTATGCAAACAGTTGCGTTGGCTGGGCTGTTGAAATCATATCACCAAATACGATCAGCACGAGCATGTACCGGCGATCCAAGTGTTCGCTAAACGAGGTGTCCATGGACTCTGCCATGGGCCTTATCCAACGTGCCGTCGACGCGGGCGTAAATATAGCTGAGGTATATGTGGACACGGTGGGCCCCCCGGAGAAGTACCAAGAGAAGCTGCTCAAACGCTTTCCCAGCTTCAAGATCACCGTGGCGAAGAAGGCCGACTCTACCTATCCCATTGTGTCTGCAGCCAGTATTTGCGCCAAGGTCACGCGTGACCATGCCCTCAAGGTTTGGAAATTCCCTGAGGGTTTGGTCATCAAGGACAATGCCTTTGGCAGTGGCTATCCGGGAGATCCAGTTACCAAGAGATTCCTGGCTGAGCACATCGATCTGGTGTTTGGATTCCCTCGCCTCGTCAGATTCAGTTGGTCCACTGCGGAAAATGCGTTAGCGGACAAGGCCTACGACATGGAGTTCGACGAACCGGATTCCGAGAAGCCCAAGTACGCTGGCACCAAGCTCACCAAGTTCTTTAAGGGCACCACTAAATCCGGAGAGGTTATTCGCGAGGAGTGCCGCTTCTTCAAACAACGACATCTGGGAAACGTCATGGAGTTTTAGCAAAACCTGAAATCTTTTTGTTTTAGTATATCTCTTAATTAGGTCAGTTAGAATGTACTCCGAAAGTTTAAAATCTGTGTTGAGAGCTGGAATCAACAAAATCGAATGTCCCAAAAGAAAAACCGCCAAACCCAAAATAAAAAACTATTTAATTTGTATCTTTAATGGATTTTGTTGATGTTTTTGTGTTTCTGCCATTCTTGTGTTCTTAATAATTCTTAGGCCTACGTTCGATTACAGACTACGTGGGGCTGCAGTTACACTGTTTTGAATGTATGCGTAAATCGGTTCGATCTGATCTGGGTTTAAGGATTTTAGAAAGGGTGCTGGCTGGCATCTTCAATAGACACAATAACAAAATGCATAAAGTTATACTAAACGATTTCTGTATAAAAAGAGACGACCTTAGAGACATAGAGCTTATAACTAAGTTTAAAAAGAGGCGAGTCGCATCCCGCGGATCGAAAGAGAACAACCATGTTGAAGCCCTCGAAATCCCAGGTGCATCTCGTTTTTGTGTGACTCGGGACTAAGCGTACGAAAAAGACGTGGACAAAAGCAGGAGGATCTCGAAAGTTAAACCTTAAAAAGCTAATTAGAACTTAAAGCAATTACGAATAAAGATTGCAAGGGCGGGATACCTTCCGGGATAGAACCGGCACCCAGTTCCAAATCGATTAACGTTGGCAGAATTGGAACTGATGATAGATCTCTTTCCGGGGAAATTATGTTTAATTAGTGAATGGAAATCAAACGTAGTTGTTTCCAGAAGAAAATGAAAATCTGTTATTCTCTTACACCAAGTTAAGACTTGAAAAAGGGATACCAGGCTATATAAGCGTTTGCTTAATAGACGAAATTTAACAGCTGCTCCTCCGGCGATCAGAACTTTCGCAGATCCAGAACGAAAACGCTGCCGTCGGAGGCGCTGGCGCCAACCTTAGTTCCCTTAGAGTTCCAGCAGACTTCGAAGATGCCGCCAGTGCCCTTGTAGCTGTGCACCAGCTGACCAGTTTGCGTGCTCCAGATGTGCACGCACTTGTCGAAGCTGCCGGATGCCAGGTGCTTACCATCCGGACTGAAGGCCACCGAGTAGACCGGCTCCGTGTGCTTGGTCAGCGTGTGGATGCAGCTACCTCGCTCTACGTCCCACAACCGCACCGTGGAATCGAAGGAGGCCGAGGCGAGGATCAGGTTCGTGTTGGGGTTATTAGTTCCCGGCCCTGTGGGCGACCACTTTATCGTGTAGATCTCCTTGGAGTGCGCCTGCAGATCGTGGCAGCAGCGATCGCGGCTCATGCTCCAGATCTTTAGTGTCATATCGTCGGAGCAGGAAGCCAGCAGCTGGCCCTGCGGACACCACTTAATGGCATTAACCTCGTTCGTGTGGCCCTTGAAGGTTTTGATTGGCTCGTTCACCCCCAGCCGGCACACATGGATCCGCTGATCCGTACTACACGATGCGAAGGCCTGATTTGTCTGCCAGTCAACGTCCAAGGCTGGGGCACTATGGAAAGCAAATTGTTGCGTGCACTGGCCCGTGGATGCGTCCCAGATGATCGTCGTCTTATCCACGCCCGCAGAGAGGATGTAGTTGCCGCACTTGTTCCACTTCAGTGCAAAGATCGGACCTTTGTGCTGGCCCAAAGTGGAGGCCAGCCGGCCGTCGGTTTTCCAAATCCGAGCGTAGCCGTCGTAACTACCGGTGGCCAGTAGAGAGCCGTTGCACTGAGAAAGAATATGTATTAGAAGCGGTGGGCATTTGCATTACACTTGACTTACATTCCAATCCAGGGAGGTGACGTCCTTGTTGCTGGGCACCTCGGCGCCGCCCTTCTGGATGCAGTGCCGCAACACTAGCTGGTTAGAGTTGGCGTTCGCATCGGACATGTCCCAGATTCGAGCAGTGCTATCCCCAGAACCACTGGCCAGTAGATCCCTGCTCGGATTCCAGGCGCAGATGAACACCTCGCTTTCGTGACCGCGAAGCACCCGAGCCTTGGATTCGGGTATTTCGATGCTCTCGTCGATGTCCATGGGCACAAGGGCGGCTGGAGTTCCAGCGCCTCCGCCGGTGGACGAGGAGATGGTACCACTAGGCGCCGAACTCTGGGCTGTAGACGACCCTGCCTGAACATTGTTTCCTTGGGCCCCCACTCGGATCGTCACCGCTCCACCGGGCGCCTTGGCTCCGGCTGCCGACGAGGCTCCGCCTGCTGATGCCGCGTCCGGATTTGAGGTGGACACTGTGCCGCCGGCGGGATTTACCCCACTTGAGGGCTGCTCTACGCTGCTGGAAGTGCTACTATTTCCGTTTGTGGATGTGGAGGAGGCTGCGTCATCGGTGCTGGTGGCATTTGCATTGCCTCCATTGCCGCCAGATGAGCTGCCTGCTTCATTGGAATTTTGCGATTTCTTTTGAGCTGCGCCGGCTGCAGTTGAATCTCCTGCAGCCGGTGTGCTTGTGCTATTGGTTCCCGCAGCGGATGCTTGGTTGCCTCCGGCTCCGTTGTTTCCAGTGTAAGTGCTGTCAGTGTTTGCCGCATTTCCGCTAGAGTCGACCTCGCTGGTGGACTGGTCCGTAGGGGTGCTGGTGCCCGTGTTGCTGCCTGCGGTCTTGTTTCCGGCTGCTGCGCCTGCTGCAGCCGTACCAGGTTCGATTTTGATCTCTGGCTTGGCACCGCTGTTTTGGTTGCCTCCGGCGGAGACAGACGAGTCCACCGCCCCCGGCTTTCCCGGCTCTGTTTTGACGACGGGCTTGGGCGGCTTCACCTCAGGCATAACGGCGTCTATTAGAGAGAGTCCCTCAATGGGTCGCGCCACCTCGCCGTCTTCGCCCACGCTCCACTCCACCTCAGTGTAAAGGAGTCCCTTCTGCAGAATGGTCAGCAGAGCGGCCGCAGGGACCAGGGCGCCGTTGATGTTGCTCTGCGAGATGTGCGACTCGATGCCGAACACGTAGGCCGAGTGCAAAAAGCCTGGGAATCAAGGGGCAGAAAATTAGGGCGGGCTATTGCGGGGGAAGGGGATGGGGACTGCTCACCCGACTCCTGCAGGTATCGGTAAACCAGAAAGTTCACTTCGTCGCTGGAAAAACTCATGGCTGCCGGCGTTGCCTCCTGCTACTCGATCACCCCAAAAATCTCCAGTCCTCAATGCCAATTATGCTTCTGTGCGGTGCGAAAATCTGAACTTCTGCTGCGTAACACATGCGTCTGCATTCGGCACGCTGGTCGCTTCCTCGCAAGCGAGCAAATCCGGAGCTCTTCCTGGTCGTGTGGTCACTGAGTTGGATCCTGTGCTTTTCAATACTGCCAATTAGCTGCTTGTCGCAGAAGCGTTTCACATATTTTTTCCACAAATAAAAAACCACGAACTAAAACGCGTTTCTGAAACGCGCAAAAAAATGGCGGAGTAATCCCAGGGTGAGCCGTGTGAGAGGTGGTGCATTTTGTGACGTCATAAAGTTTTTCTGATGAATTGAATATGCAAACAAACTAGAACGCATATTAAACAAATTTTAACATTCTTAGATATTTTGAGAAAGGAAATACTTCTAAATTAATTTTAAGGTACTTTTTCTAAAAAAAAATTTAACCTGAAGTATCCGTCTTCGGCCAAAAGTACCGACAAAACAATGGCGGGAGGGGGCCCGCCATGAAGAGAACCGCGCGCATTATAATCCGACATTTACGGCTCTATATCTCGTAAATTTTATTCGGTAAAAAGTGTTTATTTTAGGCTAATTAACAATAATGTGGCGTCAAATTTTGGCGCCCCAGTAACTAAACTCTCGCCGAATACATCAACAAAATTTTTACATGTTGTGTAATGGAAGAACCATACTAATAAATGGTTACATTCACGTTGCAACAACGGAAATTACTGTGCACAAAATCTAAAATACACCTTTTCCAGTGTACCTAATGCCAAAAATAACTTTTTAACACAATATTCTCCGGGACAATTGTCCATTCTATAGACACCGCACTGTAGGTGAACAACACAAAGAGCATAGCCTGTAAGGTCAGACAGTCATACCACCTTAAAATCATCGCCCAGCCCTTAAATTTCAGCCCTGAATGCCTCGGTATTGCGGCCCTATGCCCGTTTGGCCACACTGGTTCCACCCGCGCCCGCTAGATGGCAGCGAGACCGAAGAAAAATCAATAGAAATTTTCATAAAAGCGATTTGCCCTGCGCTCGGTAGTAGCAAAAAATAAACAAGTTCGCGGCGAAAACAGCTTGGCAAGCGCCAGCCAGTTGAAGTTACATAAAGTGCATCCCCGAGGACCAAACATTCCGCAGCCAACACCCCGGATTCCGATTCCAGTTCCAAGCGAAGCCAACTCCAAAATCTCCGATCTCTCCGCTCCTCCGCGGAAATTCCGCTACGCTAAACGATTGTGACCGCTGTCTCCGTGTGAAAAAATTCGGAAATCGGAAAAGTAAGCCTCCGAAACCACAATAGTACGCCCATTAATTTCGAGTTTTCGGTGGCTTCATTGGTGTTTTTTTTGGCGAAACGCCTTCGTCATCCAGCGGTGAAAAAAAGTGACGTGACATGAAGAACGAGAAAGATGGCACAAAGAGCGCAATGAAAAACAGAAAATAAAACGAAACAGAAAGCGAAACCGAAAACAGAAGCCGGTGGTCGTCCAAAAAATAATGCCCGAATGCACATAGCGTTTCGCCAGGCGATAAAAAGTGGGCGAGCGAGGTCGCAGAATCGGAATCTTTATCAGCGAGCAAAGCGCTGCCAAGTTGCAAATAAATCGGTTGCCAAAAGAGCGGGGGTTCCATTTTCACCCGAAAATGTCAAAGTTCGCCGAGCAATAAGTGCAGTGAAAACAGATTACGATTTAGAAGTCAGCAACTTTTAGATGAATCGTTATTTGAGTTATATATTAAGCTAAATATCTGGTGGATACATACTTCCCTTTGAACCTTTTTATTTATGTATGCTTTTATCTGATAGTTGAGTATACAAAATATTTAAAATCAGAAAATTAAAAGTGTTCCGACAAATTTAGAATATTCGTATTTTACTTAAGCCGAAAGGTTTACCATAAAAGCCTATAAGACTAGACAAAACATAATTTTCAATAATATTACCAAACCCAGCGATCACTAAATCAATCGAACCTCTTTTCATTTTTCAGGTCCCAAAGAGCAGCGAAGAGAGTGATCCGGAAGCAGAGAAATAACAGAAACACAGAGAGGAGAGTAACTAGTATATATCTCCGGATCCGCCGTCGAGTTCGAGCGATAAGAACGCCTCGAGACTCGGCCGCCTTCCATCGACGATTTTCTTGCGCCCCCAGTTTGCATAAAACCAGCGAAAATTAACAAGCTAACTACCATGGCGCCGGTGCGGGGGATGGCATGAGAGGCCTGGCCGTCTTTATATCGGATATAAGGAACTGTAAGTGCAGATCTCTTGGGTAACACCACCATTAAATCCAATTGAGCAGATCGCCGCGGCAAAAGATTTTCCATAGGGGCGGAATCAGCGCCATTTCTTGATCAATTACCAGGAGCATTCACAATAAAGCGGGGCGGCACAAAAACAGACATACAGTGAACTCTTGATTAGGTGGATATAGAATGTCAGCAAATCAAGCGTATCCTTTTTTAAAGTAAAATTGTGTAGATAGTTTGTTTCTTTAAATTAAATTTTTTAATTACAAGCTTTGGATTATAATTCATCACGTTAGTGAAGCGATTATACTAGAAACCGATTTTAATGTAACTTTTTTCCTTCGCTTGGGTCGTACTATAACACTTAAAAAATGTATCTGTGTGCGTTCTGTCGGCGTCACTGATTGCCCGATGCTTCACTGTATGACACTATCGTCAGCACTCGCTGTTTGCTATGTGCTGGTTAGTGCTTACTGGTTTGTAGACAGCATATCGGATAGCAGAGCTTCCAAAGCGGATCGGTGACTGGTACTAATTGGCGCCTATGTGACCGGAGAAAACCCGCGACATGAAAAGAATCGAAGAGTGTGAAGTTGGCTCTCCGATCTATCTATCATGGGGCGGAAAAGAAAGCGAGGCTTCCGCCGACGAATCGCTCTTGTTTTACTGTGAATCTCCCCAGACCTTGACCCGTTTTTCACATTACTAATATTCAACTTTTTTTATCCAATCGCCACCCGCAGGTAAAAGCAAAGAGGCGGAGGTCAAACGCATAAACAAGGAGTTGGCCAACATACGAAGCAAATTTAAAGGAGACAAAACGCTTGACGGGTATCAAAAGAAGAAGTATGTCTGCAAGCTGCTCTTCATCTTTCTCCTTGGCCATGACATCGACTTTGGCCACATGGAGGCGGTCAACCTGCTGTCCTCCAACAAATACTCAGAGAAGCAAATCGTGAGTACAGCAAATAATTGCTTCAATTATAATTTTTTTATTCAGCGAATTGAATAAATTGAGCTATAAGGGTCCATTTAACTTGAGCTGAAATTTCGAGTGGTCCCACTTCTTTCTTTTAACTAAAAAATCACTTATGTTGCATATGTGTGCATTACCGCTATTTAATCATTATTTTTCGATTGCAGGGCTACTTGTTCATCTCGGTCCTGGTGAACACGAATAGCGACCTCATCCGGCTGATTATTCAGTCAATCAAGAACGACTTGCAGTCGCGAAATCCCGTGCATGTGAATCTGGCGCTGCAGTGCATCGCCAACATCGGCAGCCGGGACATGGCCGAGTCTTTCTCGAATGAGATCCCCAAGCTACTCGTTTCGGGCGACACCATGGACGTGGTGAAGCAGTCGGCGGCGCTGTGTCTGCTCCGCCTGTTCCGCTCCTCGCCGGACATCATTCCCGGCGGCGAGTGGACCTCGCGCATCATCCATTTGCTCAACGATCAGCACATGGGGGTGGTTACAGCGGCCACCTCGCTGATCGACGCCTTGGTGAAGCGCAATCCGGACGAGTACAAGGGGTGTGTAAACTTGGCCGTTTCTCGCTTGTCCCGGATCGTGACAGCCAGCTACACGGATCTTCAGGTACGTTTTAAAGATTTTGTCAAAGCTGGGAAACCGAAAAAACAATTCTGTTTACAGGATTACACTTACTACTTTGTGCCGGCACCATGGCTTTCGGTGAAACTTTTGCGGCTGCTGCAGAACTACAATCCGGTGACTGAGGAGGCTGGCGTTCGGGCTCGCTTAAACGAGACACTGGAGACGATTCTAAACAAGGCGCAGGAGCCGCCGAAAAGCAAGAAGGTGCAGCACTCGAATGCCAAGAACGCAGTGCTCTTCGAGGCCATCAATTTAATCATTCACAGCGATAGCGAACCGAATCTACTGGTGCGCGCCTGTAACCAGTTGGGCCAGTTCCTAAGCAACCGGGAGACCAACTTACGCTACTTGGCTCTGGAGTCGATGTGCCACCTGGCCACGTCGGAGTTCTCCCACGAGGAGGTCAAGAAACATCAGGAGGTGGTTATTCTCTCAATGAAAATGGAGAAGGATGTGTCCGTGCGCCAAATGGCAGTTGATCTGCTGTATGCCATGTGCGACCGTGGGAATTCTGAGGAAATTGTTCAGGAGATGCTCAACTATCTGGAGACGGCCGACTACTCGATTCGCGAGGAAATGGTCCTTAAGGTGGCTATACTCGCCGAGAAGTATGCTACGGATTATACTTGGTGAGAGTCCATTTCTTTATTTTCACTTAATATGTTATAAAAATAATAATCTCCCTTTTGCAAGGTATGTGGATGTGATCCTTAATCTAATCCGCATCGCCGGAGACTATGTTTCCGAGGAGGTCTGGTACCGCGTCATTCAGATCGTAATTAACCGCGAGGAGGTGCAGGGCTACGCTGCTAAGACCGTTTTCGAAGCGCTCCAGGCGCCTGCCTGCCACGAAAATATGGTCAAGGTGGGCGGCTATATCTTAGGTGAGTTCGGAAACTTGATCGCCGGAGATTCCCGATCCGCTCCGTTGGTGCAATTCAAACTGCTGCACTCCAAGTACCATCTGTGCTCGCCGATGACACGGGCCCTGCTCCTCTCCACATACATTAAGTTCATAAACCTGTTCCCGGAGATTCGCACCAATATCCAGGATGTGTTCCGCCAGCACAGTAATCTTCGATCCGCTGATGCAGAGTTGCAACAGCGAGCCAGCGAGTATCTCCAACTTAGCATTGTGGCATCTACGGACGTGTTGGCCACCGTCCTAGAGGAGATGCCTTCGTTCCCGGAGCGCGAGAGCTCCATTCTGGCAGTGCTGAAGAAGAAAAAGCCCGGCCGGGTGCCGGAGAACGAGATCCGTGAGTCGAAGAGCCCTGCTCCGCTGTCTTCTGTCACGCAGAACAACGCCCATGCGAACAACGCGCACAGCAAGCTGAACAACAGCAACGCGAATACGGATCTTCTCGGCTTGAGCACTCCGCCATCAAATAATATCGGCAGTGGTAGCAACAGCACGCTCATCGATGTTTTGGGAGACATGTACGGCAATAGCAACAACAATTCCAGTGCCGTGTATAACACCAAAAAGTTCTTGTTCAAAAACAACGGAGTTCTATTTGAGAACGAAATGCTGCAGATCGGCGTGAAAAGCGAGTTCCGCCAGAATCTGGGACGATTGGGCTTGTTCTACGGCAACAAGACACAGGTTCCCCTGACGGTAAGTTTATGCAATACTTATACTTAGTAATCTTTAAACGAATACATTTTAAATCCATTGCAGAACTTTAGTCCCGTCTTGCAATGGTCCGCTGAGGATGCGCTCAAGCTGAACGTGCAAATGAAGGCGGTGGAGCCTACCCTGGAGGCCGGCGCCCAGATCCAACAACTGCTTACTGCGGAGTGCATAGAGGACTATGCAGATGCGCCAACCATCGAGATCAGTTTCCGCTACAACGGCACCCAGCAAAAGTTCAGCATTAAACTGCCATTAAGCGTGAACAAGTTCTTTGAACCAACTGAAATGAATGCCGAATCCTTCTTTGCGCGATGGAAGAATCTGAGCGGGTAACTGAAAGGGTTGTTCATTAGAGTGCTAAGTACCTACTAATTGCTTAATTTCAGAGAACAACAACGGTCACAGAAAGTGTTCAAGGCTGCTCAGCCACTGGATTTGCCTGGAGCCCGCAACAAACTAATGGGCTTCGGAATGCAACTGTTAGACCAGGTGGATCCCAATCCAGACAACATGGTCTGTGCAGGCATCATCCATACGCAATCCCAGCAGGTGGGCTGCTTGATGCGATTGGAGCCAAATAAGCAGGCTCAGGTAAGTTTTTTGCAGTCACATTTTATACTATACTATATATACTAAGTTTATACTAATCCCGATTTATCCACAGATGTTCCGTCTGACCGTTCGGGCTAGCAAGGAGACTGTGACACGGGAGATCTGTGACCTACTGTCGGATCAGTTCTAAGCCACAATCATGGACGGGGAGCGGTCGAAACGGAGCTACGCAGCCACGAAGCCACGAAGCCACGGAGCCACGGCAACCACTTTACAATGCACAATCCCAATCACCTAGAGAAATATCAAAGCAAAAACGGCCCTCGAACTTTGCGCGTTTAGTTATGCCAGCCACTCCTACACTCTTCATACGTACCTTTCATCTTCTCTAGCACCGAGTTGCGGAGTGAGCTATACCCACTTTCCTGTTTCGATTTGAATATTCTTTTTGTAAACCCACTCGTACTTTACCCATTTTCCATTTTCACGCCCCCAAACTCAATCACCCGAATCCGTATCAGAATTCTTTGTAAATGTTAAGCTCAAAAAGTTCATAGTAGAGAAACGAGAGAACATAATTAGATTATGTTAATATGAATGACAAATTATATATTGTTGCATCATTTCGAGGCAGTAGCAATTGGATATTATATACCTAAACACAGATATACATTCATACAAACCACATACATATACCTAGTATATACGTCGTTGTAATAAAAACAGAAAACAATATACATAAAACAAAAGAGACAAGCTTGCAAGGAAATTATTAAGATGAATGCAAATGGCAAATATGCAAATCGTTATCTAAATATTTATACATATATTGATTATTGCAATTGCATCAAAACGAAATTCATGTTTAGTGTTTTTGATTGTGACGATCCGTTGGAGGAGTTGCAGGAGCAAAAATCTCATTAAATAATAGACAAATAATTAGAGGCGGATCAACAAAGAACTCCTTGATTAATCACTGTTGAGCAAACTTAAAATTTATTAAATTGTCGAAGAGGAGTGAAATTTCTAGGAAAGGAAAGCAAAACATTCAAAATATTATTATACTTATAGAAGAATTTTTCGATTGATCCTGTGTATTATTTCGTTTCGTATGTGTACCATAGATAAACTGAAGAAAACTAAATGTTGTGCCGCTTCCTGGGAAGGACAGCGATCTTTATAGCACCAAGTATTAACTTATCCGCAGTAGCAAGCCATAAACCTGCTGATAACTCCTTTCAATCGTGAGGCGGCAGCCGATGAAGAACAAAGAATTGTAAACTAAAATATACATTATATAGATACTGATACTGAATACCGATAACGGAAATTGTCATCGTATACTTATTACCACTAAACTCTCAATCCTTTCGTATCAGCCAATGTGCATGTCAGTTGGAGGTTGAAGCCTTTCCAAAGTGCAATAGTTAAATGTTACAAAATTCTACGAAAATTCCATTCAACACAACATAAAAAGCGACTACAACAGCAACAAGAACATAAACACAACTACATATAGCAAATGCAGGAATTTAACTGTAAACGGAAACAAATATGTATTTAAATAAATAAATAAATATAAATTGAAACCATTTTAAACTGTTTAAAAAATCATCAATCAGAATTTGGCTATTAACTCCATTAAATTAACACGGGTAATTGTTGCAATCCATTTTATTAGTAGGAGTACAAGGCATAAAATAGGGACTTAATCTTAAATTCCGCTCAAATCTCGTTCAGCTTGAACCTGGCATTTATGTTGACCGAACTCAGCTCGGTCACCAGGAACTTGAAGGAGAAGGGGATCTCGATCATGGACACAGAGCTGTTGTCTCCGCACAAACGACATGTTTCCGGTTGAGAGGAGAGTCCTCCCGTTTCGTTTCGCTTAACAATCTGCTGCAGTGGCGCCAAAATTGACCCACACTTGTGGCACACCAGCGTGTGAGTTTTGTCCGAGTTGTGAAACAAGCGGTCCTGCAGCAGAAAGGCGGCTCCGTGGGAAATCAACGCATCTCGTTCCATCTCTCCGAATCTCACACCGCCGCCTCGTTTTCTGCCCTTAATTGGCTGGTGGGTGCGGGCTTCCACGGCTCCAGTGGACCTAACCTGCCACTTGTCAAACACCATGTGCCGCAGGCGCTGGTAATGCACCACTCCAAAGAATATATCCGCCTTCATCTCGCGTCCATCAACACCTGAATATAGTCTCTCCGTTCCGTAGTAGTTATATCCTCCGGCCTCGAGCATCTTGCCAAAGTAATCAATGGCCGTATTCTCCTCTGAAAAGCGGAAAGGAGTGGCGTCGTAGACATTCCCGTGGACTGCTGCATTCTTTCCCGCCATTGTTTCAATCATCATGGCGATTGTCATACGGGAGGGAAAACCGTGGGGGTTGAACACGATATCTGGGATCAGACCTGATTCCGTGAAGGGCAAGTCCTCGGCGGGATACTTCTGTGAGCAAATTCCTTTCTGGCCGGCTCTCGACGCAAATTTATCGCCAATAGTGGCCGGTCGTGGAACCCTCAGTGTAATGGCTGCCGATCTTTTAGCCGACGAATCGAAACTACCCAACCGACGAATGCTATCTACCATGCAGTCCTCCTTTTCATCCATTTTCACAACCTTATATGTGGCTACCTCGCCGTCAAAATAACAGTACAGTGGAGCTCCGTAGCTCAATTTAGAGCCTGGGTGTGGAAGACCGTCTGCATCAAGATATTTAGCTAATTCCGGCATATGCGGGTGCCTAGCGAAATAGCTGTTCTTTTTGTCCAGCGTCAAGAACTTTGTTTTGTAGATACTTCCATAGGCAAATCCTCTTTCGTATGCCGCCTTGTTGATGATCATGGCGTCTTCCATATCGTAACCCGTGTAGGAAATAACAGCTACAATAGCGTTTGTGCCCATGGCGAAGTCATCCAACTGGATGTTGTCGTAGTGAACCGGACGGAAGAGCGGCGAAGCTGGCGTTTGCAGGCGGTACAACTTGTTGGCCGCCTGCTTGGGCCAATTTAAGCATGGGGTTCCCATGGTTTGCTTTCCCATCTGACACTGGTACATGTTACGAGGCGATTGATTGTAGTCTGGCATGGGAATTAAGTTTGCTAGGTTGCTCATAAAGTGCGTCTTGGCCAATTCCAGATGCGTGGTGAAGTCTGTGTACATTTCTTTTGGATCGATGGCAATCTCCATATACAACTGCTCAAGTGTTCCAATGTACTCCACCCTCTTCCACTTTAGGTTCCAAACTGGCCTCATCATTCTGGCAGGTCCCGTTGAAAGATAAAGTCCTGGAAACTGGCCATTCTTTTTAAATGGAATAAAGCCTATTTCCATCATTTGGGGAAATGTGCCAAAAATCTTTCCGTAGCGCAAATCGTCGACTATTTTTGTGGCATCTGATTGGTGAATGTAACCCAGATGTTTACCATCTAAGAAAACAACATATAGCTTGGCATCCGGAGAGCTTTGTTGGGACAACGGCATCATGCCCATTTCTATCAGGTTAGAAGGAATGACCTGGAATAAGACAAACCATTTGATAATTTTTTTTTTTTTAAGTTAATAACTTTTTAAACTTACCTCTACTAGTTTGGGATCTGCACGCTTTGAAATTTCGCAGGTCAGAGTCAAATGGTTAAGCAATCCACAAGGCGTGCCGTCGGGAGTGTGGACAGGGCAAATAAAGCCCCAGGCATCCGGGAGGAGCTGTCGTGCCTCTGTGGTTCGCATGGTTGTAAAGTAGGAACCACGGTGAATAGCTCGGAAATGGGACATGTAACGCATCCTGTTGATGTTTTCTGCCATAATGACCAAACCACTATTTTGCATTAATCCCAGCCCCGTACGACTCGCAATATTTCCCGTGGCTAAAAACGACTCCATGGACCGACCTACTCCGCCCGCTTGCCGCATGCACTGGGTCATTACCGAGCTGGACAGTAAGCCATCTGGGGTAGTGAGCTTCTTTTGGAGACACCGTCGCACCTGCAAGGCCCAAGACTCGACGCGTTCGCCTAGGTATTTCTGGTAAAGATGACCTGGCAGGAGGACTTCCTGCATCATCGCCGAGTCGACGTTTTCCACTCTGTGTTTGCCCTGGGCGCATTGAAATAGCTTCTGCACCATAAACACAATCAACTGAAACTTATCCTCGTATTTGTCCAGGTGAATCATGACTCTTTCCTTAAGGATAAAGTCAGTCACATCCTCATCAGGTTGCCATTCCGGAACCTCTGGGAAGCGAGAGCGGAACAGGTGACCAATGAAGCTTCTGCACTGCGAGTGCGTGTAGACATTCTCGTTCTGGACTTCCCTCAGCATGCTCTGGACGCAGGATAGATAGTACTGATCGGACTCGTAGCCTTGAACAAGTCTGTTGTATATTTCTTCATCCGTATAATCCATTAGGCATTTGAGAATCAGGCAAACAGGCACATATGACAATCTCTTCACATGCGAGAACATAAACTTGGCCGTTCCATTGTTTAAATAGTGAAGAACGTTGCTAAGGGAGGATTCATCCTCCCGAACTGTTTGCACCAAAACACCCAGATCACTGAAGTTCTGGCCACGATCCTTCCAAGAAGAGCGTTTTACGCAGATTGGATGGTTTCGCCTGGTCATGATCAGCATACGCACTATCTTTTCATTTCCACGGATTACAAAGATTCCTCCCCATTCGCTGTCATGTTCTCCGTGTTTCACCATGTCTTTCGGCGAGGCCTGACCAAGATTGCAGGCTTTTGAGCGCAGCATTATGGGCAGTTCACCTAAATCCATGTTTATAGGGGGCTTCTCTACTCCATTAACACTCCAACCCAATCGAACGGAGCACATTCCCGAGTAAGAGACGTGAAGTTGCCTTGAATCTGTGGGATAAATCTCTCGTGTGCGCACATCAATAACATCCTGAGGCACCTGTGGCTTAGATATCCAAATGGACTCCACTTTTAACGAGATCTTCTCGCCGGCGGGGCTTTGCCAATAGATGGGAGTCATGTGTTTGGCCACGAAGTCCAGTCCCACGGTCAACATTTCATCAAAGGAGTCCACATGGGGTGCTCCTAAGTTTGCCAGGTGCTATCATAAGAATGTGTGAAATTCATTAGTATGAGTAGCAGCAATTACCAATTCGTTATTTACCCTGCTCAACTTTTTGGGTATCTGCCTAAATTCTGCTCGAGAATTTGTCAAAACCGGGTTATCCTTCATTTCTTTTATGTCCTCCAGCATTTTTTAGGCTTGTTTCTATTAGAAAACTGCTCAAAATTAAAAAAATCCCGGAATGCTTTCCGTTGCACGTGTTGTTTTGAGTCGGAGCTGAAGAGAACTGGTCCGTTTCAAATGTGAACCAGTCAGTGATAAGCTGATTCAGAAGTGGAACTTGTTTATGAAACTGGAGGCGAGTTAGTTTGTTTCCTATATTTAGACTAATTTGAAAAATTGTGACAACTTAAAAAAGTATTAATTTAATTAAATTAAATCATGTTAAGGTCTGTGCACTAGAACTACTACCGGCTTCACAACAATATTGGCTCATCTCTTGTCTTTAGGGCTGCCAACTTGTTTTATTTAACAGCTGGCGTTACGCGCGCTATACTTCTTATCAGTAACATTTGAAATGTTTTTTTTTTGTTTTTTTATTACATATGTAACTGTTATATCATGCAGATGAAGGTGACCCGGTAAGCAGAACACAACTTCTGCGGAAATGAGAACTTGCAACAGGATGTGAGGATGTGTCAACCAAACGCTGTCCCTAATAGAGATTTAGCCTTTATGAACATTACTCAAAAACCTCCCTGGAAACCACTCGCATCTACATACTTGTCTGTCAAGGCACGGCCGCAAAATATGCTCAAGTTCGTTGCAATATTTATGCTCGATTCCTGTTGACTAGCCAGTCTTTTCCTTCAAATGTAGGTTTCTTAAATTCTCAAATAAAGACTACATTTTTTGCTGTGTATGGACGCCTTCTTAACTGCGACTCTTGGCCAAAGTTATTCTAATTAACCGCAAGCTCCAGGAAGCTGGTGGAAGGGACATGTATGACTAGTTGGTTGTCATGATTACAGTTCCCGTATTAACTAAATACTCTGCCTAAGAAAAGTATGAAACAGTTCCAAAAAAAGCCTGCTCCAAAATCAAAAAGTACAGTAAAAATTAAATATATAATGCTACCTAAAGAAACTACCGTCTGCACAATTATTCTTTAGTATAATAATTTACTTTACTTTGCTCAAGGCGCAGACATTATTTATAAAAGAAGTTTGACTGTTTCCCGAAACAGCAAGGAACTACCCAAGGAGCTGCAGGAGTCAAAAGAAAAGTGTGAGGGTCTCAATCTGAGCCCAGTCGCTTCGGTTTATTATTCCATTATAATGAACACAATGCATTTTCTTGCAACTTTTCCGGGCACACTGTCCTTGACTGCTTCTCATATCCTTGCAACTTGCAACTTTCGCTGCACATTTGCCTGTGTGCAACCTCTGTGAAAGTTGAGGGCGTGGCTGGGCGCCCAACTTTTGCCAGGCGCTTCAAGTTTTAGCCGGATTTTTTCCTCTTTTGAGTCCCACCAAACAACAGAGAACCCTGAAGTGAGAGGAGGGAGAGAGAGAGACCATGGCAAATTGCATTGTTGATTTTCATTTTCAAGCCTGGCGACACTTTGCCAAATGTGTGCTTCCTCTATCATCCAGCCTTTCCCTAGGAAAACGCTCCGCATCCTTGGTTCAGAGTCATTGCTGCGTGTTTCCCACTTTTCAAATGCGCGTGTGGAGACAAAAAAACAGGAAGCTGGCGTAGCCATTGCAAAAATCAGCTAGCAAATGCATTTTCATTTCAAACTTTCCGCAGAAGTTTTCCGCTGAGTTCGGTATCCTACGCACCCTTTGCCACCATCACAAATTGGTTAATAAAGGTTCAGAGCTCCATCTTTGGGGAGTAATAATTGCGGAAGGATGTGGGTCAGAGCTAAATAAAGGGGAGGGAAAAAAGCAAAATGGTCCAGAATATAACTCAATATAAGAAAAAATAGTACTTATAAGTATTAGTTTATACTAGAAGGGATCTTTTATGGTAAACTACCTGAAGTTCAAGGTTCCTACCAAGTCCTTCCCTGAATATTGAAGATCAACGACCTTGTAAGCGTTGCGGATCTATCTCTGGCAGCTCTTGACAACTGGTCGTGATCTTCTCTTTCTTGTCAGGCGATGTGGCAAGAGTTTTGTTTTGATTTGCCCATTAGTCATAATTAAAATGACGCGTGGGCCTAAATTTAGACGCTTTCATGTGACATTATTTTCCTAATTAAAATGTGCATAGGCCGTAGAACAATAATTAGAAGTTCTGAGGGAAGGGGAGGACCTGAAAACACTATCAGAGCATTCTCGCAGCATAAGAGATAGTTTTTCCCGAATGCACAAACAAAGCACTTGTGCGAGAATTCTCATTGGGAGAAGCTAAAATCGTGTGAGGACAGGAGAGATTAAAGTGGGTTAAAAATAGCCAAATCTATTTGATGTTTTCTCAGTTTTCCCCGAGCTGGCCAAGCGAAGAGTTGTGTTCGACCATCGAACGGATGGAAAATTAGAATCGAAAAATTTTCCAACGCCACGAATACATATAGAACTTGATCATATGTATACTAGATAATTACTTTCGTTACTTTCCGTTGTTTTTAAAGTGAGAGTTGCAAGTGAAGCAGTTGAAAACAAATTCGATACATAGTTTCTCGAACCTCCTTGGTTGAAAAGTGAAAGTCAATAGATAATTGCGAAATCGGAAAACTCGTGTGAGATCGTCCCACACAGATATATAAGCGATCTTGTTGGTATTTTTCCTGCACCAGTATTGGTGGCGTACCAATTGGAAGCGATCCGTAGATCGGTGGATCGTTGGATCATTGGGTTTTCTTTGTGCCGACGAAGAGTCTTTCTCTAGAAGAAAAGTCGCCATCGAGGGGATCGTAAATTTAACTCTTGCCAGGCGGAGCCCATCCACATCGTCATCTTTGTCTGCATCGCGGTAAACAAATCGTCACAGCCGCATACCACAGCCACAGCCACAGCCCGTTCGCCTTTGTTCTCTTCGGGAAAATGGGAAACGGCGAGTCCACTCAGTCTGCAAATGATACGCAGATGCAGCAGGCAGCCGATGACGAGCCCTGGTGGAACGACATCGAGCACGAGAACCTTGTTCTGGAGCAGGCCCCTCAAAATACAGCAGGAAAATCAGGGGAGAATCCTCCATCAGTCTCTGTGGAGAATATAGTTCTTGCCAGAATGGAGGATCGAGCGGAGGACTCTGGCCACAAGGAGCAAACCCTGGAGGAGTTCAGGGAAGAACTTCGACAGAAAAGAGAAGTTCGTCTAAATGCTGTGCAGGATCTAAGGGATGAAATTGCCAACCTGAAATCGCAATTGGCCAAAGAAAAGGCGGAAAATCGACGCCTGAAAAAGGATCAAGGAGAGGAGGAGCCAAGCCACTTGGAGAATTCAGATACTCCCAGGCCAGATTCCGATCCAGACGATGAGAATCCCAGCTCCAGGAGTCGGCATGCCAATATCGAACTGGCCAGTGCCCAGTTGGCCTTGCAGCAGGCGCAGGCCGAGAACTTGTCCTTGCGAGGAGAGGTGGAGGTGGTCCAACGCCAGGTGGGAACGCTCAAGGAAGTCATCTCCTGCTGCAAGCAAATGCTGAGTGTCAAGGAGGAGCAGTGTGCTCAGGTGAGCTGGTCACCAACAAAACTTGAAAAGCCTTTCACCCTTCAAATACTTTTTACTTGTAGCTGAAAATGAAACTGACGCAAATAGAGGACTCCTTCAGCGAGCGAGAGATGAAGATTATGTCGAACAATCTCCGCCAGGAGTACGAGCGCCAACTGGTCAACATCCGCCAGCTGAGGCAGCTCTATGAGGAGCGGCAGCGAGTGGCTGCTGCCGAGTACGAGAATCTCCAGCGATTGATCTCGATCAAGAGGGATGAACTGACGGCCGAGCAGGAGAAGTAAGTATGCTCATCAAAACCAAATTAAGGAAATCTGTTGAGAAAGTAATTATTTAATATCTATATATTTATAGTCTATCTCTTAGACAGAAAAAAATGCAATGAGATTATAAGATTTGTTTATTTTCATAGCTATATTTATGTGGAAAATATTTTCGCACTGTTTATCCAAACCAAATCCCATATTCTTTTTTGATTAAGGACTAAGAACTTCGAGGAGCGCAACCAGGCGCTTCTTTTGGAGGTGGAGACTGCCAACAAGGAGCTGGCGAAGCTGCGCGAGGAGTGCGGGGAGCACAAGTTCGAAAAGCGATTGCTGAGCGACCAAGTGGGGGCAGTCAACCTGGTGGGTACACCTGAATAAATATATCGCCACTCTCATTCACACTCTCCATCAGCTCTTCAGCCAGCTGATCATGGGCTTCAACGGCAAGAGCAACATGGACATCGACCGGCTCAACCGAATGCTGGAGGAGAACCGCCAGCTCCTCAACCAGATGACCCAAGCCGAGGGCAACTGCAGCGATGGCGCCACTCTGCCCAAGCTGCTCTTTGAGCTCGTGGAGCAGGTCACTGGCCATGGCGACTCCGCCGGGGAATCGGACAAAAGTCGCAGCACCACACCCACTCCCACACCTACACCCACAGCCACGCCCACGTTGACGACCACAAATGAGGACACCACGGACTGTTGTCAGCCAGGAGAAGGAGTGAACAAAAAACACCGGAAAAGGGGTTCCAATGCGGGTGCGGGTGCGGGTGCCACTGCGGCTTCGTTAAAAAGCCATGAGCCCGAAATTATGGGAAAAGTTGCCTCGGCCCAAGAAATCATTGGCAACTTGCCAAAAGTTTGGAAAGTGTTGATGGAGCTCTTGAGCCACCACAAAATCGAGCGCGTGCAGTTCGAGGAGCTGCCGTCCTGCAGTGGGAGTGCGACCTCAAGTGCGGCCTCCGCATCCTGCGCTCCTGGCAAGGACGAGGGGGAGTCCCACCGCAAGCCACCGGAGCTCAGCGTCAGCAAGACCTACATCAAACTGAAGGTGAGCCCAAGTTGCCAAGCTCCAGTTACTACAGTGCAAGAAAATAGCAACAGATATTTATACATTTTTTTAAGGTCATAGGTCAGTTGGTTTAATAGGAGTATTTATTTCCTTTTGATCCAAATTTTTAGGTCTCAAAAAATAATTTCATTTTAACCAAAACTAAAGATAGGGTTTTCCCAGTTCAGTCGTAGCTCCCCAAGTTCTCCTTTCCCTTTCAAGTGTTGCGGACAATCGGGCTTGTTAGTTGTCGTATCCGGTTTGCTGATGAAGTGCACCCTGCCAGAGCCCCACTTGCCCTCCTCTTACGTTCCCACTCCTGCTCCACGGAGCTCCGTCTGTGGATGTTGCAAAGTTTTGCATTATTCACTTAAGCGCTTTATTTAGTCTAGTGCCGAGCGAGCGGCCGAGCACGAGCAGCTTCATTATTGCTGACGTCCTGCCGAGCATCGATGTGGGAAGCAGGATGTACAGGCGGGCGGGGCAGGAGGAGTGCAGCGGGCTGAGTGGGCGGCTCCTTGGGGCAAGGTCCTGGCAGCCGAGTCCGTTGTTGTGCACATAATTGAATTTATCGGTCAGTTGCCGTTGGCTCAGAGCATGTTGCACATTGCTACCCTTGAAAAGAGGCTATTGAAATTACGTTTTGGTGCTGGTCAGGTATTCTTTTTAATCTTAAGGATCCCGCTTTAATCGTGCTGGAGAAACATGCCTTAGCATTTTATAATTTAAAGGAAACTACTACTTTGGGTTACTCCTTATAGCGAGGGTATTAGGGCTTCCTTTTTTGAAAACTTTACCGCTGTCATTATTTTGGCTTAAACTCTAATTGAGTGAAAAGAGCACTTAGAAAGTTTTGGCTCCAGGATAAATTCCCCATTAAGTGGCATCGAAAAACTCATCCTCTCGCCCTTGCAGGACCTCATCCTGGAAAAGAAGTCGCTGGTGAAGGAGACGAACCGCCTGAAGACCCTCAACAGCCACCTGGACTTCCGGCTGAACCAGCAGGAGAAGCGCCTGAGCGGGGTGAGCCTGGAGCTGACCAAGACCTGGCACCTGGTGGGCAAGATGCAGCGCCAGCACCGCCAGCTGCACACCCAGGAGCAGATCCTGCGCTACCAGCTGCAGCAGAAGCGCCGCCTCCTTAGCGAGCTGAAGGACGAGCTGGAGTACTGCCGCCGGAAGTGGGCTCTGGCCAGGGCCAAGAACGACGAGAGCCAGGAGCAGTGCGACGAGTGGCGCAGGGAGTTCGCGCGGAGGAAGCTGGAGGACGCCAACCACTCGGCGGAGAGCGGCTACAGCGACTCGGGTCCGCAGTCGGATGAGGAGCGCGAGGTCTTGGCGGCTCTGGAGCACGTGGAGGCCCCCACTTCAACCTCCGTCTGCCGCAGGAAACTTCTTCGCGATCAGTTCGAGCACACCCGCAAGATCAAGCGGATGCAGAGCACCTCGCCCGGCCGTCAGGGATTCGCGGGCCAGGAGGATGAGTCCGAGGACATAGTCCTTCGCTGGAACAGCGCACCGCCGACTTGCGGCTGGAGGGAGGAACCCACGTATCCTGCGGGGCAAGAAGAAGAGGAAATGGAAGAGGAGGAGGGTGGAGCTCGAGGTGGAGTGCCAGGGATACCGCACAGCAGCAGGAGCAGGCAAAGGAGCCACGCAGACTCACCCGGAACCTCGGGCACGGCCAGTCGCATCCACAAGCTGGAGGAGCAGTGCAAGAACCTCATCCAGCAGGTCCTGGAAACCTCCGGCAACCGCGAGCGCCTCGAGATCCAGCTGTGCCAGTTCCAGGACGACATTTCGCCAGCCCAGCACGCCGTGCCCCTGGAGGAGTTCATCAACAGGAAGCGCATGGAGCGCATGACCAGGGCCAGTTCCGCGCCAGCCACCGGCAGCCTCACTCCCCGCGAGGAGGAGTACACCAGGAAGAGGTCGGAGCGCCTGGGGCGCCTCGAGGAGGAGTCCCGCCAGCTGATGTCGCGGATCAAGCGCACGGCCGACAGGGGGCACTATCTGAAGAAGTCCTTGGACAGGATTCGAAGGGCTCCGAGTCGCGAGGCAAGCTTCGAGAGCAACACGGAGGAGGAAGCAGCGCCTCCGGCAGCCAAGGCCGAATCCCCCCAGCCCCAGAGGAAGCTCCATCTCCACTGACCGCCGAGGAGGAGGAGTACACGGCCAGAAGGGCGGCCAGAATCCAGCGGCTGGAGCAGGAGAGCCGCCAGCTGATAGAGCAGCTCTCCAGGAACACAGAGCGCGGGGGCAACTTGGCTTCCAGGCTGGACACCTTGCACGAACAACATGGCCCCAACGCTCGGCAGGAGGAGCCCCAGACCGCCACCAGCCTCTCGCAAACGGTGGAGCAGCGCTTGGAGGACATTGAGAGGGTGTCGGCCAACAGAGCCGAGCGCCTCCGCCTGCTGGAGGCCCAGGGCAACGAGCTGATAGCCAGGCTGAGCTCCACATCTGAGCGCGGCACCGCCATGATCAACAGGATCGCGGAAAGGGAGGCCGTACGGCGGCAGGAGGCGGAGCTGGTAGAGCAGACTGTGCCGACGGAGGAGGCCACCAGCTCCGTGAACTCCGTGGCCAGCAGCCGGATTGTGGTTGAGCCGGAGGAGGAAGTCCAAGGAGCAGCCTGCTGCGTCACAGTCACCACCACGCCGAGTCAGCTGGCACTGAAGCTGCAGTCCACGGGAGCCATTCCCAAGAGCAGACCCCAATCCCAGCTGTGCGCTGCTGCTCGTCAGGATGACGCGGCCAAGAAGCGATCTCCGGGAAAGGAAGCTGCCACGGAGGAGGCCCCCGAAACGCTCGAGGATATGGTGCAGCGCCTGAGGGCGTTGCCCTTCCCAGACAAATCCCTGGAGAAAGAGTCCCCAAACCAGAAGGAAATCGAGACAACGCAACTGCAAAGTCAAGAAAAAGAGGAGTTGCTTGAAGGCGGAGCTAATAAATCCGAGTCAGAGGAGGAGAACCTGGAGATATGTGAAACCGAACCAACTGAAACTGAAACACAAGTCGAGGAATCGCCGGAGGAGCACAAGGATGACCATGATGATGAAAACTGAAAGATGTTCACTAGAATTTAATACGACTTCCAATACTCGCTGATGAAACTGCTAGTCGCATAAAGATATTGTTAAATGTAATAAGCTGCGAATAGTAAGGAAATATATTTTTTGATGTCTCTAATGATGTTTCTAAACATTAAATTTTTGGATGAAAAAGTTTAAAAGTATGATGAACCAGATTTGCGGTATTCAAGGAAATCCCGCTGACTTAATTCATTTGCATTCGCGTTTGTCGTACAGCCATTTTCCCCGAGTCTCATTATTTTCCTCTGAGAAAATGAATCGCAAAGCGTTCCTATCCGACCCCACACCATCATGCATATATCACTAATCAGCGAAGAAGTGTCCGCGTCCTTGGCTCCCAGATCTCCCCGCCTGCCACATCCTTCGCCCAGAGGAGCGGACACGGACTGGCTCGTCCTTCCGGGGGACTTATGTGCTCTCTTAGCCACGCACGCAGCCATGACATTGCACGGAATACGGAATACCGAATACGGAATAAGAAGAAGCGAGTGGCAGGGAGCAGGGAGCAGCGAGCAAGAAGAGTGCAACTGACGTGTGTGGGTGGGGAGTGGGGAGTGGCAAGAACGTGGCCATCGGGTGGCAATGGGCGGCGCATTATCTCTGCATATGCAAGTAAAAATGCCAGCGTCCGCTAACAAGTTGGCGACATCGTCATCGTCATCCGAGTCTGACTCCGATTCCTCCGCTTCCCGACTCGACTGCTTTATGCAAATGCCCCCCTCCTCTCAAGGCGTGTAAACAGCAATCGGTGGGTGGAAGGGGTGGGTGGCTCTGTTCAGGCATAAAGACAACATCGCCTCATATGCTTTTAAAGCGAACAGAGATTGTACATTAACTTATCCGCTGTCTTCCGCCCAGCAGCAAACTGTCAACAGCGGGAAGTCCTCAATCTGCCTCACCAGATACTTCTATGTGTGCAACATTTTGGGGTGCTTTACATTCTGTTACGATGTGATTTTCCAGAGCTGTTAACCACAAGCATGTTAAATGTTAAAGGTTCACTATGCCAACTACCCCTCGCGAAAATGAACACTTCCAGTCGGGTTACCAGTTGAGCTGGGGTGGTTTTGCTAACAGAACTGTTAAGGCCTTGAATGCAGAGCCCAAAGAAGTTCGGTGGAGCACTCAGTTTCAGTTGACCTAGTTCTTCTGAAAAGTAACTGAGAACAGAAGGAGTTAACAGAGGTTTAATTAAAGTGCAGTGCATTCAGTGGCAACAAGTTCGAAGGAGATATGGTGTCGAATCCTTGAAATGGAGTTCTAGAAAGTTTGCTAAGCTGTAACTGTAACAAGTTAATGGAAAATATTAACGTTGCCTAAATATAGGAAACGCACATTTATTTTGCCCCTTATAAGCCGACAAAGCCATTAAGTAGAATGCACAGCGGTTTCAGGAGTGGTTTGACCCCTTACCTTGATACCTGTAAAGGACCTCCAACCTGCATGAGAGCCCCTCAATAACAGCTTGCTTAACAGCGTATAAGAGTGGCCCCAACTCAGTCGCCATCTGCTGGAATTCAGAAAAACTTGGTTGGGGCGATGAAAGCTTTTTGAGCTTCGTAGACAGCTTTAAACTCTACAAAACAGTTAGGAGGGGAAACTGTAAATGACAGGCTTAATTAGATGGCACCGAAAATCAGGTCCCATTTGTGGCCTAATTTTTGTGGGACCCCGACCACGCCCCCCGAAAAGCAGGAGCTCCCTTTGGGGCTAAAAATGTATACAAATTGTTGCACCGTTAACTGACTCTCGCTGTTCTGGCCGAGATCATCTCGGGGACTGGCGGCCTGCAACTGGACACGTCAAATTAATAAACTGCCGGACGTACCACAAGCTGTGAAAAAGCAATCTTTGTCTGCATGCCAGGCCTCTGGAGTGTTTTCCAGCTTGTTAGCCCGCCCAGTCCACTCCCATTCCGATCCATCCCCGCTCGTAGGGTTCCTGAGCCTTTCGAGATTTATGCAGTTCGCGCGGATGTCGGAGATCCGAGGAAGCGCCGCTCCGTTTTCGAAACCGAATAAGAGCCGAACTGGAAGTGCACTGAGAAAAAATACTGAGAGTGACGGATGCTAACAATAAATGTTGATTTATTGCCAAGAGTTCACTAAACCATTTATTAAAATTTGTTTGTTCTAAGATGGCTTAATGAGCTTTTACAGTCCATAAATAAGTTTTAAGGCTCAATAAGAGTGTTAAATTATTTATTATTTTTTGTTAAAATATTATATGTATTTATCTATTTTTTTTTCAGTGCTCTTCCGAAGGGTAATCTAATTTATTAAAAGTGCAGCCTCTGGCTGAAAAAGAAAGAGAGCGAGAGCAAGTCTCGTTTGGATTTTGATTTACGCTGAAATAAATTAAAATATCATAAAAAGGAAATTAAAATTCACTCGCACAACAAAGCCGGACTCCGACTTCGACTCCCGACCCCGAGTCGATTTCGATTCCCGTCCCGACTGGGGCTCTTAGCTAATTTCTGAACAAGTAAAAATACAAATAAATATTTTAATGTGTGATTTACGACAATGGCTCGCACAGGGGGTCGACTTGGCCACTTCGGTGTTGGTTTTAAGCCGCGACTGCGACTCCATCTCCATTTCGATCTTGAGCTCGGGTTCTGGTGATGGTGTTGGTGGCGTCTTGGGCTGCGTTTTGATTGGATTTCTGCGCTTCTGGCGCTCGTGTGGAGTGCCAAGCCCGATTTCAAGACCAAGTCCCACATTGAAATACAATTTAAGCGCCTTTAATGAACTGACAGTGGAACAGATCGAGGGAGTGCAAGAGTAGATGGGGAAATTAGTACAACAAAAGAAGGAAAGGAAAACAATATGGTCAAGTCAAAAGTACTTTCGTACTTTAGTTGATTTTTAATTGAAGAATATATATTGTAATACATACTTTAAATATTTGTATTTGAAATACGAGATCTACTTTGTTTTCAACTAACTCATAAATATCAAAAATTTCATTTCATCTTCACAAGATTGGGATACCACTGCCGAGATCAGCGAAGTGTATTTAATTTGGAAATAACTTTTATGGCACAGATAGAATTGTTATTGGCACATCCAGACAAATTTAACGATCACATCGCACTGAGCCGAGTTGGGTTGCATTAATGGCCTGCGATCAATTTCAGATTTATGCGAGTACCCCGAGCGTTTCCAGATTTTGCATGTACAAAAAGAGAGAAGCTCGTAAAGTATCGAAAGGGGGCAACCCGAAAATGGCCTGCAATTAATTAAAAAACCATTGACATTCATAAAAAGTAAATTGTGGCAACAGCGAGCGGAAGCAAACATAATGTCCCACTATTATGAAATTTATCAAACAATTTTGCACCACACCTCCCGAGCTCAGGTTTGCGGATGGTTTTCTCTCCTCCTGGAGTGCCGGGCGATGAGCATTTATTAACAGCCTGCGACGAGGCGAATCGATCGCCGTTTCGATGCCAAAACACCTGCCAGGCACTGCAAATGCAACCTAGAGAGGAGTCCGTGACTCTCATGAAAGAGCCTACACTTTACCTTTTAGTTGTTTACCTTAATATACTAGAGGACCCTTTAAAGTTTTACACTTCGTTTGAAATATTCGAAACTTCTCAAGTTGTTGAAAGTCATAAGCAAAAGCGAAAATCTTTAAATTGAGGTCCTCTTTTTGTGATGGATATTCACTTGTAGTTAAAACACATCTCTAGCTGTGAGTGATCGAAGTATCAGAGGCATCACACTGTTGATGATGATGGGTATTGGGGCTGGTGATGGAGTTGGAGTTGGTTATTCTGATGGCCAGGGCGATGGAGATGGAGCCGGCGATGGGATGGAGCAGCAGCCCCGAGCTGGCTAACGAGCGCGAAATAATGCGCGAAATATGGAGCAGAGAGATGGCCGATTCGAGTGTCGTCCAGAGCCCCGAAACGAAATGAAACAGGGGAGCAGATCCAGATCCACCTGAGCCTGCAGCCTGGCAACGTTAACGGTGGCGACTGACAGAATTATAATCAATTAGTGGAGCGGCCGCGTGAGCGCATTAAATTATATATTCCGAGGCCGAGGGACCGCTGCCGCGATACCGATTCGTGTAACGCGTAGCGCAATTTAGTTTAAATTAAAATAAATTCAATTACGAGAACATGAAAATCCATTACGCAAATTATTGTCATTAAATGTGCAATTTGGCCGCCGAGCGTTTATGAAATTTTTGATTAAATTTCTGACGCTTCGCTGGAAGCATTAACCCCCCAGAAAAGCCGAGCCGCGCATCAAAACGAAAGACTCAGGCAACAAACTCGTCCGCCGCGGCCTGCACATGTCCGCCCATGGAGAAAGAGATGGTCAGCGAGAGCGCTGCCAGCTGGCTAATTAATTAATTATAATCCCAGCGATTAGCATAGCCTCCTCGCATCCCCAATCCCAATCTGAATCCCAATCCCATTCCGGGGAGCCGCTTTCATTCATAGATCGCCAGTTCAGCCAAGTCACACGCCACCGAAACGGGTTAGACTTGCTAAACGATTCGTTAGATAAGATACGGGTGTGTATATATGTCCGCATATATCGCATATGGCCAGCTCACTCGCTCGCCCATTTGGCCGGCCAGTTAGTTATAGTCACTAAGTTAGTCAGTGAGTGAGCGACTGACGCGTCTGATGGGAACATGCTGCCGAGTGTCGCACTCAATTTGTAAGACCCGCTAATCAGCTAAGGCTTTAAGTCGTGATTTATTTGGCTTGGTCACTTGATTATATACTAATAACAAAGCTATGAGCAAGGCTGGGCCACATCAACTAAAAACTGAGTTATATTTTACACTACAAGATCAGCTTACGTTCAACCCCAAACTTATTCCCCTTGTACCACCGATCAATTGCAGTGCCTTCTATAATTTTTATTTACCCAATTCAGTTTCGGTTTTTCCCTTTTTTCCGCTCGTCCGCTTAGTTGCTAAATGATTGCTGGGCCAGCTGCAGTTCGCTCGAAAATTGCTAGACCAAACAAAAACCAAACTACTTAGCCGCACACTCGCCGCATCGGTAATTGAAAATCGATAATCTCTTTGAACCAGTTTGGTCTGCTGATCGCCGCTGCCCCTCAGGTT